GTATTTTAGGAAAAGTGCCTTCCATAGGTTGTCCAAGGGGTACATGTCCAGGGGGGTGTTTCGAAACACTTGTCCAGGGGGGTATTTTTTAGGAAAAATGCCTTCCATAGGTTGTCCAAGGGGTACATGTCCAGGGGGCGTGATTTCGAAACACTTGTCCAGGGGTATTTTTGAGGAAAAGTGCCTTTCATAGGTTGTCCAAGGGTTCATGTCCAGGGGGTGTTTCTAAAAACTTGTCCAGGGGGTATTTTTACAGGAAAAGTGCCTTCCATAGGTTGTCCAAGGGGTACATGTCCAGGGGGGTGTTTCGAAACACTTGTCCAGGGGGTATTTTTTTAGGAAAAGTGCCTTCCATAGGTTGTCCAAGGGGTTCATGTCCAGGGGGGTGTTTCGAAACACTTGTCCAGGGGGGTATTTTTACAGGAAAAGTGCCTTCCATAGGTTGTCCAAGGGGTACATGTCCAGGGGGGTGTTTCGAAACACTTGTCCAGGGGGGTATTTTTTAGGAAAAGTGCCTTCCATAGGTTGTCCAAGGGGTTCATGTCCAGGGGGGTGTTTCGAAACACTTGTCCAGGGGGTATTTTTTACAGGAAAAGTGCCTTCCATAGGTTGTCCAAGGGGTACATGTCCAGGGGGGTGTTTCGAAACACTTGTCCAGGGGGGTATTTTTTAGGAAAAGTGCCTTCCATAGGTTGTCAAAGGGGTTCATGTCTAGGGGGGTGTTTCAAAACACTTGTCCAGGGGGGTATTTTTACAGGAAAAGTGCCTTCCATAGGTTGTCCAAGGGGTACATGTCCAGGGGGGTGTTTCGAAACACTTGTCCAGGGGGTATTTTTTAGGAAAAGTGCCTTTCATAGGTTGTCCAAGGGGTTCATGTCCAGGGGGGTGTTTCGAAACACTTGTCCAGTGGGGTATTTTTACAGGAAAAGTGCCTTCCATAGGTTGTCCAAGGGGTATCCATCCAGGGGCATGTTGGAAAATTGTTGTCAATAGGGTGTATTTTCCGTGGCATGAGGGGTCAATGATAAGTGTGTCCAGGGGGGGTATTTTGGGGTGAAAGTGCCTTCCATAGGGGGGGTGCGGATATTTTCTGGAATAGCCCAATGAAAATAATGATGTTGCTTTCCAATGACCTACCTAGTTGGTGACCAAATAAGAACAGGCGTTTTAGAGGCTTGAGAAACGCCAAAAGCGATAAATAGTGCAAAAATTATGTTTGACATTATTGTAACTTGTTACTTCCGGTTTGAAAGTCATATGAGAAGGAAATGAATAGTTTTTTTCCACGGAAGTTTCACTTTAATACCAGTTTATCAAATTCATTGTCTTGCTAATAACTTGATGTTGGTGATAATTAAGGTTAAATTCTTAAAAAATAAATAGATTAATAAGAACGCAGCAATTAAGCTTTTTGGAACTTATGCACAGAACTGAAATTCTAATTAAAATATTTCAAACTATACTTTACTATATATAGCCGTTTTTTCCGGACTGGAGATTTTAGGTATATGCCACTAAATATATTCCTGCAATATTCTTAATTAAAAGGGTGTCCCTCGAAGCATTAGAAATAGAAAGACCTGTTGAAAGGGAGATCCCCGAAAAGCATTAGATGGTTAGACCACTTACTGTCATTCCTGAGGTCCCGAGTTCAATTCTGAGTTTAAAACCCCAGGGGTTTTTTAGAATTTCTTTTATGCTTTTTACCAAAAAATGTACCCGGTAAGAAATCCAGGGAATTCCCCGCATATTTTTTTTGTTTGTTTTTGTTTTGGGGTTTTTCGACAAAAGTATTTTCATATCCGGACGTTCCAGCTTTACTGGTGGGGGAAGACCCCCATGTGCCCTTTCCCTGCAAATTTTTTCAGGGACGAACGGGGACCCAGTTTAAAACCCCCCACGTTTCCCTAGGCTAGCGGATAGCTTTCCTTTACATGAAAAAAATCCAAAGTCCCTTTGGGGTTCAAAAATACAGCGGTTTAGGGTCCCCCATATTTTTAGGGATACACTTGGCCCGGAAAAAACCAAAAGGGGCTATTTAATAAAAAGCTAGGGCTGGTTTCCGGATTCCCTTGTATCTCGTAGCTGTCTCTGAAGTCTAGAGTCATGTTTACGTCCCCGCGAGGGGTTTGACATCAATGGAATATAGATAGATGGAGAAATAAAATAAATGATCCTGACGGATCAGAAAAATGTTACAACAAAGCCTTCAAAATAATACAAAATAAAACGTAATCTATATATGCACACCATTCAAAATTGTATCAGGTATCGAAAAGCATTTGTTCTCACTATAACAGTACTTTAGAAGAATGGGGAAGGAATTGTTACTTAGTAATGGTATATCTAAAATGCTATGGCTAAAATTAAGATTAATTGTTTGCACAGATGTTTCACTTTTCACTGTAATGAATAGCTTTGTTCCGCTTTAATCCAGTGTCATTATGACTAATCTTGCTCTTCATAAAATGAAAGTTTGAATAAACCCATGAACAAAAAAAAAAACAAAAAAAAAACGGGTTGCTCAAACCAGACTTGTTAGTTTCATTAAGGATTACCATTCAAGTGCAAGTTTAAGTTCTTCAGATTTGAGATTTGAAACGAACATGACAAATATTGAAAAATACAAAAAGTAGAACAACTAAGACTAAGACATATGTATTATAATTTTAACGATAATTGTTCAGCATTTGCTAAAACGAACATTGCTTGTGTATGTGACAATTTTAACAAATCTTGTTGTTTTGGTTTTTTTTTTATAAATCTTCCGTAAAAGCTATCTTGCACAACATAAAGATAATTTATTTTATATATTTGATTAGCATGATGACGTAATCATGCTATGATGTTGATGTATGTAAACAACACGCCTTTTGAAACTATTGTGCATAATTATCAAGCTACATATAATTATTAATATACATAATTGGACAATATTGTCTGACTCATTAATTCAGGCTTTTAATTTGAAGGATTGCATTATTATAATTTTTTTTCTATTTATTCTCGTTCTAATTTTGATATTTTCATCTTATAGATTTTGACACATTTGCTCTTAAATAAACAGCTTGAACTTGTAATGAGCCTAATTATTTTCTAAAATATCTGTGATTCTATTGGTTTAATTTTATTTTCCGCAGGCTTAATTTTATCGGCGATTTTTTTTTGTATGTCTGTATTCAAACAACTTCAATCTACATGTGTATTTAACAGGACTTACCGTGTTGGGCTTTCTTTAGGGATTCTGTTTTTCTCTATTTTATCACATCAGTGTTATTTGTGCCGTGTGGCGGCCGTAAAATGTCTCCCGTCAGTTAATCAAATATGTTATGTTTTCGATCCTTGAAGATCGTTCAGCACGATATAATTGTTGTGTATACATGTTATGTGGTATTTGCACTTTCCAGTACCGTACATGAACAGGCTCAATCAAACCGAGCCTGCAACATTTTCAATTTTGCCGTGTTGGGCTTTCTTTATGGATTCTGTTTTTCTATATTTTATAGTTTCTTCTATTTGGCCTTTTTTCAACTTGGGTGGCTCCAGTATTCCTACTTGAATACCCTTAGGATATGTTGCCTGATTTTAAAATTTTCTTTTGACGTCTTATCTTTGATATACAGACTTCATAACCTCGGTCCCCTTTCAAAATTCCATTTTATTTAGTTCCGCCCATTGTTTTCTCGTTTAGGACACACTCATTTTGTTAATTGGGAACCATACGCCGCTTTTCATGGAATGGCACTACTGTGTCACATTGAAGGTTCCATGATAACCGCCGTATGAACAGATCTGCGGATGTTTCTAAATTCAAAATTTCACCATTTGCGTTTTTAAATGTTGAATTCTGCTTAAGGCCGGTGCTAGGGGGGCGTGGACGTTAACTTGCACTTTCCAGTACCGTCCATGAACAGGCTCAATCAAACCGAGCCTGCAACATTTTCAATTTTGCCGTGTTGGGCTTTCTTTAGGGATTCTGTTTTTCTCTATTTTAAAAAAATACTATTCTTATTTTACTCTGTTAATATTAGTCGTCTTTGAAACGTGCACGCATGCTAGCTATACTTCATGATATATTTGTAAAAAATAATAATGCCAATGAAGCAGTTAAAGTTAATACACGGAAATAAATATCCCTGGATAAAACTACCGTAAAATTTACAATAAACATGTATTTGTAATTCTGTATATTATGACTCTGAATTTCTTTTTGCGTTATAGTTCAGCTGTCTTTTTGTTAGTGTTCACGGATGAAAGGAATACTTTACCTCATTTCCATTTTGTGACACAAGTGTTTAGTGAGATTCATTACCTTAGGGTCATACTTAACAAACATGTAGTGTTTTTATATTTAATTTTCACTAGAATCTACCATATTTTAAATTATTATTAAATACTGCACAAAAAATAGTAATTACAGAAATAGCAAAATGATCGAGCACGACAGCAGAAAAAGATATTGAGGTGAATTTTGTCAAGTTTTTGTAAAAATAAATCTTCCTGATTTTATAACAACACAAAATTTAATTAGTAATTATCTTATAACCTAATTTACGGTCTATAACAATTCAATTAGCCATAAACATGGTCTTTCAAATTCCATTCTATTTGAAAAACCTTGTCACAATTCTTTATTCTTATATGAGGGTTCAGAAAACTTTTTTCATAATCTTCAAAGGTTGAAAAATTGTGAATTATTTTGAATAATTTTAACATTTTCTTTTATTTTTTTTTAAGATTGGGTTACCACACACCAACTTATTTTATGTTATATGGTGACTTTCAAGCTTTACTGGTGGAAATTTACTAACAGACTTTACTTGAAGTGGTTTCACACCCTTTCTTGACCAATATTGTAAAGGTATTTCTATTTAAAAACCCTAACATATATATATAGAACAACTGTTGCATATGCTCATCAATTTGATAAGACATTTAAAATATGGCGCATTGATTTTTAGCTGATTTGCTTCAACATACCGTACTAGAACGGCATTTAAATCAAACCGGAAGTACTGCGGCCCGCCAAAATATGATATTGTAGAGAGAAAAAAAGTACTAAAATAAAAGATAAACATGAGTGTTATACCTATATACGAGTCAGAAGTCAGCTGTTTATCTAGCATTTTAGATTTGCAACAGAAATGTATAAATCAAAAAGTTGGATTCTCCTCAGAGACAAATAAATTTTTACTGTATTTGACTTTAAAGAAAGTTGGCCCCTCGGTAGCACAAAAAGTTGTGAGTAAATGTAAGTAACAAATTCTATCAAAAATGATAATTCACAGATGTATCGATTTGTCAAACTATCATTTATTAGCAATTACTATAGTAACAATAACTTTAGGAGTGTCACGTGATTCGTCTTTGTGTTATTTCTTACTGTTGGCAAAACTCGTTTGAAACCTTTTAATGAGCCTCAACATATCCACTTGCCTGCACGCATTTGCGAATAAATATTTTGCTTGGGTGAGAAAAAATAGATAACCGGCACTTTGATTCAAATGTTGCTTTAAACATTTAATATGAAATTAGGCAAAGCCTATGAACGGGGAAGTCGTTAAAAAATTCCTTTCATTCTTTCCGTTTTAAAATTGTCATTCGGTATTACATGCACCGCTTCCGTTTTCACTCGGAACACTCGACGTTTATTATTTATCCGAAAAGTTGAGATTTGTTCCGTTATCGGAATACCACGCCTTTTATCATTGAGTTACATTGTAAATGGCAGCGCCCGAGTAGAACTGACACTGAAAATTTCATTGATAGGTATAGAATTCTATATATTTTTGAAATGTTTTTTATTTGATTTTCTTTTAAATATACACGTGTAGTCTATAGCCGGGCAAGCCAAAGCCCGGACCCGCTTCGCGGGCCCGGTCTTTGACTTCCCCGTATTAGAATTATTGTTGTTTGGTAAAACAAACTGCAGACATTATTTCAATTGTAAAATACCTGTCAAACAAAAACTGGAAATGGACCAAATGGCTAGGTATAAAACTATACTGATTGCAGATGATGAAGCCATCGGGTTAGCTCAATAGGTAGAGCTTTTTCTTTGGTCACAGTCTGCCCCCTTGCCCCCCACACACATGACGTGTCAGGTGTTTGTTAGACAATGCATCAAGATGACATTCAGTTAAGTTATGTTTGAATAAAGTTCTATAGATGCATATTATATATTTCAGTGGTGGAGAAGGGTGAAATAACTTGGGAGAATGATGAAGACTTTGAAGTGGAACAAATTGTAGATTATGTAGAAGACGATGTAATTATGAATTTTGTTACCAATATCTATAAATATATAGCATTGCTTGTATATTGGTCAACATACAGAAATTCTATATGAAAGGCACATTCAGAGCAATGATAGGTAGCAAATTGTAAACTAAGTGGTATTTTGACTTCCATATAAAATGTTTAATCACTATAACTGCACTAATTGCCAAAACGCATTTATAAGTAGCAAAAGATAACACTGCTATAATACCAGTGAGTAACTTTTTGGAAACTGACCACAAAAAAGCTTTTTTAAGATAAAATATTTGCTTCCTTTATGGGCTTTATCCTTATGGTTTAAATAGTGTAATGTTGCATTGATATGTAGGTATTAACTAAAATTTGTTTAAAAGAATATTTGGTTTAAACATATTTATTTAAGCTCCATTGAGAAACAAGTTCTTGCAACTTATATTAACCACTTTCGAGTCCACTTCCTGGAACCAACCAGTACTGGTGTTGTATGAAGAAACATGTTGGTGACCCGAGTAGGGCTCAAACACGTGATCTTTGGGTTGAGAGGCAGGCACCTTAACCACTAGGGCACCGCTCCCCTTATAAATGCAGTTGAAGCATTTTGAATATTCAAAAGCACTATTTTGCCACACTGCTTTTAATTTAATAAAAAAAAAGGTTAAGCAAACATATAGTCCTTTTAATCTAATTTGACATTTACATTGATTGAGAAATTATAATGAGTATTTATTCTTTATAGGGTGTGGAGTTTTATTTGATTAAGTGGAAAGGTTGGAGCCATGCACACAATAGCTGGGAACCAAAAGATAATCTTGACTGTCCTTTATTAATTGGGGAGTTTCATACAAAGAATAATAATGGTAATGTTTTGCATCGGGCTTCTTCGAAAAGAAAATATGATGAAATAAAGGAATCGAAGGAAGATGAGAGGGAAATGAAAAGAACAAGAGTAGATGAACTGTTCCATAAGTTGGTTTCATGCAAAGAAGTGTTAACCCCTCTCCAACTTATTTCATTAACAAGTCCAGATAAAGGAAAACCTAAATCTTACAGAGGTCTGGTATCGTGTGAAGGTCTTAAAGTTCCAAAGTTTAATAATGCAAGTAAGTACCTGTTGAATCCAAGGACAAAAGCTTATAAACGGAAGAAAGTGCAAATTCTAGAAGCGCTGAAAGACTGGGAGAAACATCTAAATGCGGTCAGCACAGACCCGGCACCCATCAGTGTTGAGAATGAGGTAGATCTTGAAGGGCCACCTGAGAACTTTGAATATATCAATGATTATAAGGCAGGTAGAGGAATTGTGATTCCAAATGATCCAGTGATCGGATGCGAGTGCTCGGATTGTTTTGGTGAAAAGTCTCAGTGCTGTGCTGTTCAGTTTGGTGTCGAGTTTGCCTATTTCAAATGGAAACGACTGAGAATTCATGCTGGCAGGCCTATTTATGAGTGTAACAAGAAATGCAAGTGTGGTCCAGAGTGTTCAAACAGGGTAGTTCAACATGGTAGGAAGCATAAAGTGTGCATCTTTAGGACAAAAAATTGTCGTGGATGGGGTGTGAAGGCAATGCAGAAAATAAAGGCTGGGACGTTTGTTATGGAATATGTAGGAGAGGTAGATATCCATGATTTTGCCATTTTAATGTTTTGTATTAGTAAGGAAAATATGTGTATATATAGTTATAAGTTTACTTGCAAAATATCTTTTATTGTGATAGAAGTGGGTCACTACCCTCAGCAGGGGAAATTTTATTGTATTGGGGAATTTTTGCATTTCCTTTTTGGTTAAATTTCAGAAAACTACCACTTAGATATCATGTTTTTTTTTCTTGATACATTTGCTAATGTAAGATATTTTGAGGATGAAAGTTTTCCTGATGCATCCATACAAGTATCAAACCAGGTGGAACAGAAAATGGTGCAGACATACAATAATCCTGTGAACAAATTGATTTTACTTGTCAAAACAGCATAACTTTTCTTTATTATGCTCCCCGAAAAATTTCGGGGGAGCATATAGTCGTCGGGTTGTCCGTCCGTCAGTCCGTCCGTACGTACGTCCCGAATTCGTGTCCGGCCTATAACTTTGTTATTAGAAGTTGGATTTTAAAATTATTTCACAGAAATGATCACCATATTGAGACGACATGTCGCGCACAACATTTTGGTCGCTACCTTGAAGGTCAAGGTCACAGCATGACCTTGCAGCAAAATCGTGTCCAGTCCATAACTTCATTATTTGAAGTCGGATTTTAAAAAATATTTCACAGAAATGATCACCATATTGAGACGACGTGTCGCGCGCAACATTTGGGTCGCTACCTTGAAGGTCAAGGTCACAGCATGACCTTGCAGCAAAATCGTGTCCGGTCCATAACTTTGTTATTTGAAGTCGGATTTTAAAAATATTTCACAGAAATGATCACCATATCGAGACGACGTGTCGCGCGCAACATTTGGGTCGCTACCTTGAAGGTCAAGGTCACAGCATGACCTTGCAGCAAAATCGTGTCCGGTCCTTAACTTTGTTATTTGAAGTTGGATTTTAAAAATATTTCACAGAAATGATCACCATATTGAGACGACGTGTGACGCGCAACATTAAGGTCGCTACCTTAAAGGTCAAGGTCACAGCATGACCTTGCAGCAAAATCGTGTCCGGTCCTTAACTTTGTTATTTGAAGTTGGATTTAAAAAATATTTCACAGAAATGATCACCATATTGAGACGATGTGTTGCGCGCAACATGTGGGTCGCTTCCTTGAAGGTCAAGGTCACAGCATGACCCTGCAGCAAAATTGTGTCCGGCCCATAACTTCGCTATTTGAAGTTGGATTTAAAAAGTATTTCACAGACATGATCATCATATTAAGATGACGTGTCATGCACAACATTTAAGTCGCTACCTTGAAGGTCAAGGTCACAGCATGACCTTGCAGCAAAATCGTGTCCGGTCCATAACTTCCTTATTTGAAGTCAGATTTTTAAACTATTTCACAGAAATGATCACCATATTAAAATGGCGTGTCGTGCGCAACATTTGGCTCGCTACCTTGAAGGTCAAGGTCACAGCATGACCTTGCAGCAAAATTGTGTCCGGCACATAACTTCATTATTTGAAGTCAGATTTTACAACTATTTCATAGAAATGATCACCACAATGAGACATTGTGTAGCGCGCAACATTTGGGTCGCTACCTTGAAGGTCAAGGTCACGGTATGACCTTGCAGCAAAATCGTGTCCGGCCCACAACTTTGTTTCTGGAAGTCGGATTTAACAACTATTTCACAGAGATGATCACCATATTGAATCGACGTGTTGCATGCAACATTTTGGTCACTACCTTGAAGGTCAAGGTCACAGCATGACCTTGCAGCAAAATAATGTCAGGCAGGGCTAGCACTGGCAAATTTTTTCTTTGAGCCAATATTTCGCGGCGAAAATTGCGTGCCTGTATTTTATTTTCAAGAAGGCAATGGTACTGCAAAATAACCAGAATTCAATTGTCAGACTTATTTATAGCATTAGTTCATATATGGAACACCTTAAAAAGGCATGAGATATTTAAAAAAAAAACATAAACTACATGTATATCCAACTTTATTTTGGTAGCTACATTTTAATCACTTTAAAACTGATCATAAAAGCTTGCAGCTCAGTAGCTATAAGAATAACATTTTCCAGGCTAATTTGGTCAGCAATGTTTTCATAAAATCTAAGTTAGTGACAGTGACATCAGAACCACATTCCAATGTGCTGCTTCAGCTTGCTTGGTTAATGCCAAAGATTTGGTTTGAGGACTATCTGTATCTGAAATTATAAAAACAGAAACATTTGAGAGTAAGAAGAATAATAATTGATGAAGAAAAGAATATTGAAAAGTTGTAAACTAAACATAATTCAGGAGAAAAAATGCCAACTATTCATTATAAGAGTAAAGTAATTAGCATAAGTTCTTAAAAGTATGTTGTATGCTTCTTGAATTTTCCATAAACATTTCACAGCCATGTATGCCATTTGTAAATGAATGCTTCAGATAGAGGTTATGTACAAAGTAAGGTCATTTTTTTTTCAGGAATACTAATTGTCAAATATACTCCTTGTCAAATTTATGCTTTTTTGGAGCCATTATTAGGTCAGAGTTAGTTTGCAATTAAAAAAAAACAAACTCATAATTCCTTTGATCTTTTTATCAACAACAATAAAATTATATGAATACAAACTTACCGTAAAGTCGTCCATTTCATAACCAAACTGTTGATATGATTGGCGATCATCTTAAGATGCCGCTAGTTATTGTTTCATATTGAATATAAAGACCAATTATCCAGGGCACATTCAACAATTCACACCAATTAGTGTCATATTTATCAGCTGATAAACATGTAAACATACCATGAGGTCAGTGTATAATTAGACTGTGTTACTGTTTATAACGATAGTTTAATTGGAAGGGAAGTAACAAATATAGACCAGTCAATGACCCCACAAAAAGGAGACTGTGTCGCAGTGTTTTGTGATAAGAAGCGGAAAAGCGGAAGTTGTAAATGGAAAACCAAATGTGTACTTTTCCATTCTTAAAATAGAAAATGCTAAATTTAGACTGGATATTCCAAAAAGTTATACTTTTCGTAAGTTGGAGCCAATCATGATTTTCTTGAGCCAATTTAATAATTTTGGAGCCAATTTGCTCATTGGCTCCTGCCAGCGCGAGCCCTGGTCAGGCACATAACTTCGTTATTTGAAGTCAGATTTTACAACTATTTCACAAAAATGATCACCATATTGAGACAATGTGTCGTGCACAATATTTGGGTGGTTGTTACACTTTGAACTTTGTCTGTGACATAACTCTGACACAACAAGAGGTATACCTTCCTGTGTCCAAAACCTATTCGGGGAGCATCACCCGGTTCAACCGGCTCTTGTTCCGTTAGATTTATGTTGTGAGGGGGAATTTTTACCTCTGAGCGGGAAAAACACTTTTGGTGGGGGATTGCGGCCAATATTCGGCTGCAGATTTGTTAGATTGAGGGCCCTTTTCTAAAAGATCAAAAAATGAATTTATTCAGGTCTGCTAGTCACTAAAAGGCAATATTCATTTATATATGTTGAAATTTTACAGGTGATAAGCAGTGAGGAGGCCGAAGTACGAGGAAAGACGTACGATTCTGTTGGCAGGACGTACCTTTTTGATTTGGATTTCAATGGAGATGACTGTCCTTTCACAGTAGATGCAGCTGTTTATGGAAATGTGTCACACTTTGTCAATCACTCGGTAAAGTTCATTTGCTTTTAAGTTCTAACCTCAGAACTCCTGTAGTCTTTATGTTGGATTGAAAAGTGAAATCTTACATGACAAAAAATTGCATCTTTTTAAAACATTTTACTGGTGGTAGGGGATTGAGCCACCTTTATATTGCGTCTTCTTTAGAATGAAATTGGGATTTTGTATTAATTTTGCACAAATATTTACCATAAAGAAAACGGGGGTGTCCTTGGCCTTGTCAAGTGGTTAAGGTTGTTTACTTCAAACCACTTGCCCCTCACTGCTTTGGGTTTGAATTCCGAAAGGGACTTTGGATTCTTTCATGTGAGGAAGCTGTCCAGCTAGCTTACGGAACGTCGGTGGTTCTACTCAGGTGCCAGTTTGATGTCTTCCTCTACCAATAAAGCTGGAACGTCGCCAACACTGTTATTGTTATAATAAACTTATTGTTCATGTTCAGACCTGGCATTTTTCAAGATTTTGCACGGAAAGTCCAGATTTATACCTCAAACTTTTGAAATAAAACTAAGTTTGCTTCATAGAAAACTTCCCCGAGGCAGGGGACACTGACAATTGTTTACAAATTCTTGTTTGCATTATTACAGCTTTAACCATTCTGATTTTCTTAATTCCAATTCTCTACTATTTCCGATTCAATAATTAGTTTGGGATATCAAAAATTAGTCAGCATTAAAGAGCCTGGTAAACTGCACCTATGTGCAGGCTGGTTTAACTCTTAACTGATGGCAAAGACTAATTACTTCCCGCTTCAGCAGGTTTAAAGCCACTGTTATGGCAATTAACTTCTTGTCCCATTTCAGTGTGATCCTAACTTGGAAGTATACAGTGTATGGATCAATACATTGGATCCACGACTGCCGAGGATAGCATTGTTCTCAAGACGCGACATTGAAAAGGGTGAGGAGCTAACGTTTGACTACATGTCCAGTAAAGTGCACTGTGAGTATGCTTGAAATAAACTTTTTTTAAGCATATATTTAAGATTTTTGATGTTTATGAAAAGTATCAGTACTTACGCATATAGTTGTGCTATGATTTGATTAGTAATTTTTCAAAACTGATTGAATCTGAAATGGATTTCCATAGATAAATTGATTGAAGTCTAAAAATTCAATAAGCAGATTCTTTTTTGATTTATGATTTTTTACTGTATATTAACACGCATACTGTAACAAAGGTTTTACAGAATAATCTGGAGGTGACCAAAATCATGTTAATGTTTACTTGTGTATTAATAGCTCCTTTAGAGGAAAGTCTAGAAGGGGAAAGCATAGCTGTTGATCTCAATGCTGATGACAGATCCGAGGCACACTTGGAAATGAAAGAGGTACAAAATGGAGAAAATGGAGGAGATTTACAGAACAATAAGTTATTGATTGGTGACATAAATGGAGATGGTGCAGTTGAATCTTTGCCTACAGAAAAGGGAGATTCTAAAAATACACCGAAATCTAGTCCTCAGAAATCACAGGGTCAACAGGGTCAGCAAACTGACCCCTATCGTATGGTTTGTCAGTGTGGTGCAAAGAATTGTAGGAAATTTGTATTTTAATTTATTTTTAGATACTGTTAACTGAAGCAAATGTGTTTGCTTGATGGTATCTGGAAGTTATTTATTTATGAATTACGAGTCATGTATCAGGATTAGTACTAGGCTGAATATTTTAAGTTGTTTTGATATCTAGGTATATAGTTTGGTGTGGGTCACAGTGACTTGGAAAGTACTTGCCATGCTTGGTTAGAGAGAAACAGTTTCATTTTTAAGGTTTTAGCAAAATAGGCTTATATAATAAAAAGCCTTACATTAAAGTGGATTGGTCTACAATGGGCACATTGTGTCATATGATGAACTTTATTCTCATGTAGTGAATTTGTTTCACTACTAATAAGCAGGGGCGGCAAAATCAATTGTCCATTTTATTTGGGTTATCCCACAGTCTGTAAGGACGAATGGAAATTTTCAAGAATTTACCACATTAGTATCAGACAGACAAGCTTAGAAATGCCTGAGATAAAACAGACAAGCAAGTCAAAAATCAGATTTTGCTGGCCTTTATAAGCAACTCTAAGTATTCCTTCTATTGTAGTTAAAGGGCACATCTGTAATGTTTTATATATATTTTTTAATGTATACCCACTTGCATTAATATAAATTGAGGTGAGGATTTTTTGCAAGATTATTTTTACCAGCACAAAAGATTTTACTCTATATTATATGATGAAACAGTACTTAAATGAATCACAGAGAATAGTTTCATCTGTATTTGAAAAAAGAAGCCAATGTACTGACCTTAACTTCTAGGCATAATGAATTTTGTCCTGTTTTTAAGTGTTTTATTGGTATTTCTATATTTTATGTACATGCATGCTAGAGGTTCATTATATATAGTATTATATAATGTATATATTCTAAAGTATCTATGTTTCTGTAAAGCATACTCTTTACTGTGAAGATATCAATTTAAATGTACAGAAAGAAAAGTTTTGATGTTGACCAGTTGAACAGATTATTTATACATGAAAAATCTCGAGTCAAAAATTGGCCAAGTGCTAGATGTCAGGGTTTTTAATTTACTTGTTTGTCTTCAAAGAATGTCTTTGCTTGAAATTAATTGATGTCCTTTTAGATTAGATATGTGTTGAAAAGTTGGAAAAGAAACTTATTATACCTAGCTTCTAAGATTTCTTTTTATACCAAAACAATACATTAATGTAATGATGTTTTTGTGAGATGTACTTGATTGACTTTGGTTTGAACATGTTCACGACTGAACTTGATATGATCTTGAGTTAAGTTACTGAAAAAAAATCTGTCCTCTTATTCTTTTTATTTTTATACTGCAAACTAAGTGAAATAGTTTAATCCGAGAAAGTCAGTATAATTATAAACTATTGAATGTTCTACTTCAAACTTTCGAACATGAAAAAAGTGACACATTATATCTTAAATGCCATATCATTGAAATAAATATTCAGTACAGATTACAAGACCTGTTTCTGCTCTGCCAGAAGAGCTGAAAGATATTTTTAGCTCGACTATTCGAAGAATATGAGAGCTATTGTAGTCGCCCCGGCGTCCGCGTCGGCGTCTGCGTTGGTTAAAGTTTTTTGTAAAGTCAAATATCTCAATTATTGCTTGAGATATTCAATTGAAACTTACAATACTTATTCATAGTAACAAGGTACATCAGATTGACAAGTTTGATAACTCTGCCTACAATATTGACAGAATTATGCCCCTTTTTAACTTAGAAATTTTGGTTAAACTTTTTTGTAAAGTCAAATATCTCAATTATTGCTTCAGATATTCAATTGAAACTTACAATACTTATTCATAGTAACAAGGTACATCAGATTGACAAGTTTGATAACTCTGCCTACAATATTGACAGAATTATGCCCCTTTTTAACTTATTGAAATTTTGGTTAAAGTTGTTTTGTAAAGTCAAATATCACAATTATTGCTTGAGATATTCTATTGAAACTTACAATACTTATTTATAGTAATAAGGTACATCAGATTGACAAGTTTGATAACTCTGCCTACAATATTGACAGAATTATGCCCCTTTTTAACTTAGAAATTTTGGTTAAAGTTGTTTTGTAAAGTCAAATATCACAATTATTGCTTGAGATATTCAATTGAAACTTACAATACTTATTTATAGTAACAAGGTACATCAGATTGACAAGTTGGATAACTCTGCCTACAATATTGATAGAATTATGCCCCATTGGAACTACGGATTAAACGATGATCGAGTATAATCGAAAATTGATCGGTTATATGACTGATCGGCGATGATCGAATACAAAGTTTAATAATCGATCATCGGTAATTTATTTTCTTGCTGTTACTTAAGTGACTAACTGTATTATAACAACACTCTAAATTAACGCCAGCTTTGGTTGAAACAATAATTTTCATTCAAATGAATATTGAAAGCATATTGAGTGACCATGGAGTTAATAGTTGACAGTGATGCATTCTAGTTTAAAGATATACTATGCTCAAATTTGACATTAGAAAATATTTAGAATTGCTACACTGTCTATTTGTAAATATAAAATAAACATGTTTTGACTTCACACAAAGAAAATATGTTATGTATTAAATTATTTTACACACTCAGGTGGTTACAATATCAATATATAGTGTCATTAAAAAAAAACCTGACAGTTTTGAAAGAACCAACTTAACTGGTTCCCATACATAGTTTATTCATTCCTTTATTGAAATTGAGACATAATAATTTTATAGATTTTAATGAATTTATTTGATTAAAATATTTTACTCAAGGATGAGCATAGCCATAGTATATCTGTAAACTAGTTTATTTCAGTTGATAAAGTTGTAGTTACATAAAAATTAGAATATTAATGGAATTCTTATAAATATTAAAGCATGATATGTACATTGTACATATTTACTTTGTTATTGTAAATGTTTCGATTGTATAATCGATGATTGATCGAAAAGGGTTGTTCGATTATTTTCGATGATCGATTATGATTTTTGTCCGATTAAGAAACCCTAATTGGAACTTATAAATTTTGGTTAAAGTTTTTTTGTAAAGTCAAATATCTTAATTATTGCTTGAGATATTCAATTGAAATTTAAAATACTTTTTATAGTATTAATGTACATCAGTTTGCAAAATTACATAACTCTGCCTGCAATATTTGCAGAATTATTTGCCCCTTTTAAACTTACAAATTTTGGTTAAAGGTCTTCAAAGATATATGTACTTAGGGTCATAATTTGAGGGTCATAATTGTATGTCACTGACCAAGTTCCATAACTCTATCTTGCATTTAGGCTGATTCATATCCCCTTTTCTATTTAGTCTCTTGGTTAATGATTACATGCAAGTTTTACAAATCTCAATAACTATTAAAGATATTTATTTAAAACTTCACATATGCGTTTAGGGCCATAATTGTAGGTCACTGACAAAGGTTCATAATTCTGTCTTGCATTCAGGCTGATTTTTCTCCCCTTTTTCAACTTAGAAATTCATGATAAAGTTTTGCTTGTAAACTGTTATCTCCATAACTATTGAAGGGTTTGTGCCTTTTTTGGACAATTTTATGCATTCATAATAATAAAGCAGTGATTTACTTGAAAAAACATCTTAATAACAAGCCTTTGTTCCTTTTCTGTCAATTTTATGTATTCATAGGTAATTAGTATTATTATACACAATAAAACACCCTTGTGACATTACCTTTAGAATAGTCAAGCCAATACTGTATAATAAGACTCTCTCTCAAGGCCTATAACATGAATTTATAAAAAAAATTTAGCCCTTTTGTGAACTTAGAAAATTTAACATTATCAAGGCTCTTTTACCATCAAGCACTTAGAATAGTCGAGCGTGCTGTCCTACCGACAGCTCTTGTTTCATATAGAATTATGTATATTAGAAATGTGTGGACTTACAATTAATTACCAACTGTGTTTGATGTTTTTATTCTCGTTCTCTAATTGAAACTTTGCTTGGATTGAAAAAATGACCAACTATTTTTTAGCTCACCTGTCACAAAGTGACAGGGTGAGCTTTTGTGATCGCTTTTCGTCCGGCGTCCGTCCGTCCGTCGTCCGTCCGTAAACTTTTGCTTTAAATGACATCTCCTCATAAACCACTGAGCCAATTTCATCCAAACTTCACAGGAATGTTCCTTTGGTGGTCACCTTTAAAAATTGTTCAAAGAATTTAATTCCATGCAGAACTCTGGTTGCCATGGCAACCGAAAGAAAAATCTTTAAATATCTTCTTTTAAACAACCCTAAGAGCTAGAGCTTAGATATTTGGCATGAAACATCTTCTAGTGAGTGTCTACCAAGTTTGTTCAAATAAAAGCCCTGGGGTCAAAATTGGCCCCGCCCCAGGGGGTCATTGATTTTCCCTATATGCATATAGTAAAAACTTAAAAAATCTTCTTTGAAAGAACCCAAAGTGCTAGAGCTAAGATATTTGGCATGAAACATCTTCTAGTGAGTGTCTACCAAGTTTGTTCAAATAAAAGCCCTGGGGTCAAAATTGGCCCCGCCCCGGGGGTCATTGATTTTCCCTTTATGCATATAGTAAAAACTTAAAAATTTTTTTTTAAAGAACCGTAAGAGCTAGAGCTTAGATATTTGGCATGAAACATCTTCTAGTGAATGTCTACCAAGTTTGTTCAAATAAAAGCCCTGGGGTCAAAATTGGCCCCGCCCCGGGGGGCATTGATTTTCCCTATATGCATATAGTAAAAACTTAAAAAATTTTTTTTTAAAGAACCGTAAGAGCTAGAGCTTAGATATTTGGCATGAAACATCTTCTAGTGAATGTCTACCAAGTTTGTTCAAATAAAAGCCCTGGGGTCAAAATTGGCCCCGCCCCGGGGGTCATTGATTTTCCCTATATGCATATAGTAAAAACTTAAAAAATTTTTTTTAAAGAACCGTAAGAGCTAGAGCTTAGATATTTGGCATGAAACATCTTCTAGTGAATGTCTACCAAGTTTGTTCAAATAAAAGCCCTGGGGTCAAAATTGGCCCCGCCCCGGGGGTCATTGATTTTCCCTATATGCATATAGTAAAAACTTAAAAAATTTTTTTTAAAGAACCGTAAGAGCTAGAGCTTAGATATTTGGCATGAAATATCTTCTAGTGAATGTCTACCAAGTTTGTTCAAATAAAAGCCCTGGGGTCAAAATTGGCCGCGCCCCAGGGGGTCATTGATTTTGTCTATATGCATATAGTAAAAACTTAAAAAATCTTCTTTTAAAGAACCCAAAGAGCTAGAGCTTAGATATTAAGCATGAAACATCTTCTAGTGAGTGTCTACCAAGTTTGTTCAAATTAAAGCCCTGGGGTCAAAATTGGCCCCGCCCAGGGGGGTCATTGATTTTCCCTATATGCATATAGTAAAAACTTAAAAAATCTTCTTTTAAAGAACCATAAGAGCTAGAGCTTAGATATTTGGCATGAAACGTCTTCTAGTGAATGTCTACCAAGTTTGTTCAAATAAAAGCCCTGGGGTCAAAATTGACCACGCCCCAGGGGGTCATAGATTTTCCCTATATGCATATAGTAAAAACTTAAAAAATCTTCTTTTAAAGAACCCAAAGAGCTAGAGCAAAGATATTTAGCATGAAACATCTTCTAATGGGTGTCTACCAAGTTTGTTCAAATAAAAGGCCTGGGGTCAAAATTGGCCCCGCCCGGGGGGTCATTGATTTTCCTTATATGTGTATAGCAAAAAAACTTAAAAATCTTCTTTGAAAAAACCCAAATAGCTAGAGTTTAGATATTAAGCATGAAACATCTTCTTATGGGTGTCTACCAAGTCTGTTCAAAAAAACAAATAAAAGCCCTTGGGGTAAAAATTGGCCGGGGGGGGGGGGGGGGGGGGGGGCTATATACAGGTGAGCGACCTCAGGGCCATCATGGCCCTCTTGTCTTCATTTTGAAACTTGATTGTAATGTAGGGACACTTGTTGATTAAAGAGATGATTTAGGAAATACTAAACCTAACAATGAATATTTTGAGATATCTTGTTACACATGTTTGTTAAAATAACGTTTGTATACTTGTTTGAAAAAGTGTTTTATTATGTTTTTTCATTGTATTATAAAATATGTATGATCAAGTGTATGTATAGTGTGTGTAATATTTATTCATGAATATTTCTAGTAAGTTAAGTTTTGAGTGTTCTGATACACCAAAAAATGCCAAATTAAAGAATACCTCATTTTTCTATAAATTTAAAAATGGAAACTGACAAAAAAAAGTGTATGGGGTTCTTTGTCAAACAAATTTAAGAAAGGGTTTATTAAGATAAAATTGGTTTAAAAATATTGTAGAATTACAACAACTTAAACTTGAGTTTATTGTAGTATGTCTTATTAACTAAAGGGGGTATCAAATTTATCACGATGTTAACAGCAGACAAAGGTGATTAGCATGTAAATTTTAGAATTATTTGAATTATTAAAGTAAAAATTCTACCCAAAACATGAAAATAATTATGTTTGATATTAAAATTATACCTGGAATTAATTCCCCACAGGCTTACTGTGTGCCTATCATGATGTGTAAAAAAAGTGATGTAAGATTTTATGTATGTTTGTCTATATATGTTGGGTAAAATTGAAAAAACTTGAGAATCTTGTTGACTGCCTTTTCCATAAAAATATTTTTCATTTTTTTTTTCTAAATATAGGACCTTATACATGTATCAGTAATGTTTCAAAGGTCATTACATGTAGCTTACCATTAGATAGTTCAAGGTCAGTGTTACTATTATAAACACATTTGAGCCACGTCATGACAAAACCAACATAATGGGTTTGTGACCAGCATGGATCCAGACCAGCCTGCGCATCCGCTCAGTCTGATCAGGATCCATGCTGTTTGCTTACCAACTCTATTACAAGTAGAGAAACTGAAAGCGAACAGCATGGATCCTGATCAGACTGCGCAGGCTGGTCTGGATCCATGCTGGTCGCAAACCCATTATGTTGGTTTTGTCGTGACGTGGCTCATTTTTTAGCTCGACTATTCGATAAGAATAAGTAGAGCTATTGCAGTTACCCGAGCGTCGGCGTCGGCGTAACCACTTATGTTAAAGTTTTTGTAATAGTTCAAATATTTTCAAAGTCCATAGACACATGGCTTTGAAACTTTGCACACTTGTTCACCATCATGACCCCAACCTGTAGACAGGAGGAGGTAACTCTATCAAGCATTTTGACAGAATTATGCCCCTTTTTCGACTTAGAATTTACGTTAAAGTTTTTGTAATAGTTCAAATATTTTCAAAGTCCATTGACATATGGCTTTGAAAATTTGCACACTTGTTCACCATCATGACCCCAACCTGTAGACAAGAGGAGGTAACTCTATCAAGCATTTTGACAGAATTATGCCCCTTTTTCGACTTAGAATTTACGTTAAAGTTTTTGTAATAGTTCAAATATTTTCAAAGTCCATTGACATATGGCTTTGAAACTTTGCACACTTGTTCAACATCATGACCCCAACCTGTAAACAGGAGGAGGTAACTCTATCAAGCATTTTGACAGAATTATGCCCCTTTTTGGACTTAGAATTTACGTTAAAGTTTTTGTAATAGTTCAATTATTTTCAAAGTCCATTGACATATGGCTTTGAAACTTTGCACACTTGTTCACCATCATGACCCCAACCTGTAAACAGGAGGAGGTAACTGTATCAAGCATTTTTTTTACTATCAAGCACTAAGAATAGTCGAGCGTTGCTGTCCTACCGACAGCTCTTGTTAATGATGTTAATTGTTTTTCAAATTACGTAGTGGTGGTGAATGTTTAAGTTAAAGAGAGTTTCATGGAAGGAAACAAGATTTTGAATAAGGGAAATACACTAGAAGAAGGGAAAACACAATTTTTAGGGTGGGGAAACAATTTTCTTTGAGATGAACACAGTTTCAAAGAGGAAAGCTTGATTTTAGGGAGGGAAATGTAGTTTTAAGAAGGGAAACATGGTTTTAGGGAGGGAAACATGGTTTTAAGGAGGGAAACATAGTTTCAAGAAGGGAAACAATGTATTAGGGGAGGGAAACAAAGTTCTAAGGCAGGAAACATGGTTTTAGTGAGTGTAAACAAGTTTTTAGTGAGGGAAACACATTTTTAGTGAGGTGAACGAGATTCATTGAGGGAAACACAGTTTTAGTGAGTGAAACATAGTTTTAAGGAGTGGAACATAATTTAAAGGAGGGAAGCACAATCAGTTTCTTGGAGGTTAACATATTTAATAAAAGGAAGCATAGTTAAAAGGATGGGAGATAGGTTCAGGGAGGGAAAGCACAGTTTCATAGAAGGAAACATCGTTTTATAGTACCATTTCTGTAGAATGATTGTAAATAGAATTGAATGAAATGTTTGAGATTAAATAACATTTTGAACGTAATTTTTGCTAAACAATTTGTATTTTTTGTTAACCAGAGAAAAAAAATATTTGAAAGAGGTAAACTGTTTTAATGTGGTTTGTTTAATATGAATTTTATATGATGACATGAATTATTAAGTAAATTTCTCATTATTTGGTGCTTTTGTTAGTTGAACACTGGTTGGTGGGATAACAAAACCCATAGATTCAAAAATCCAACACTAATTGATTCATTTAATGGTTTTAATATTTATTCCAATATTCAGTTGAATGGTTAACCAATGAGGGCTGGACAGACACTGATATTATATATTAAACTTCCATAAAATGAGCAAATGTACCCCTAAAAATTGATGCAATGTTGTGTAAAATATAACTTAAGTTTGTTAAAGAGGGTCAGAATTGTAAATAAACATAAAAATGATCAATATATTCAAAATAAACTTTGATTTATTGTAGAGGTTATCTCGCCAACCAGTATAGGGTATGAGATTAAGTTTAAACTAGAGTATATATCATACTGAAGATATTGATCTTTAGATTAACTGATGACTCATTTTCATATAAAATAGTCTAATTTAGACATATTTGTTATTCTGAATGTATAATTAATGTTATTTTTAATTCTGTGTATATGCATGTAGTTGTAGTTATAGGACTTCAGAACTATATATTGGCGTTATAAGGGACTGCTGAACATTGAATTAGCTTTATAGGACTTCAAAACATTGAATTAGCGTAAGAATTCTGAACATTGAATAAGTGTTACAGGACTTCTGAAGATTGAATAGGCTTTATAGGACTTCTGAACACTGAATAAGAATTTTGAATATTGAATTAGCTTTATAAGAATTCTGAACATTGAGTTAGCATTATAAAAATTCTGAACATTGAATTAGCGTTTTAGGACTTCTGAACATTGAATTGGCATTATAAGAATTCTGAAAACATTGAACTAGCATTATAGGACTTTTGAACATTGAATTAGCGTTAAAGAACTTCTGAACATTGAATTTGTGATTTAGGACTTTTGACCATTGAATTGGCATTTATTAAATCTGTAGAGGGTATAAGTACAACACGTTAAGATTTGTAGGTAGTTTTAGGCATAAAAAAGGATTATGATTATTTTAATGGATTTTTACAGTTACAAATGATCTTGATTCAATTCATGTATTAAGGTAAACAATATTAATCAACTTTTGGCATCTGAATGTTGGAGATTTTTATATCTATATTTAATCATGATGAATTTTCAGCACCATATGTACCTGTTAATTAAATTGTTTTACATTTTATTCAGTTCTTACAAGTTTTAAAAGTTATGTTAAAACTTGTTTTAATCATGTGTGTTTTATCACATTTCTCAATAAATTCTTTTTAAGATTTCACGGTTTTAATTTTTGTATATTAACTTTTATTAACTTTTTATATGCCTAACTTTTTATAGAGCTGTAAAAAAAGTTGAGCGTATAATATTATGCAATTGTCTTTCATCCGTTTGCAATTTTGTGTCCGCTCTGTCTCTTTTGACCCGATGGAAAGAAATTAAAACTACTAGGCAGAAATGTTATAACCATGATGAATCAATGTGCAAATCAATGGAGACTAACATATATTGGAAAACATATCCTGGTCTTGTATGAAACTACAATGCCCAGAGCATACTAGTTGATGAAATGGCATGAAGCATTGTTTAATGGACTTCTACTAAAGTTAAATCAATCATTACCCTAGAGTAAAAAATGGCCCAACCCTGCTCTCTACCACCCTAAGAGTGGGTGGGTGTGGACCTTGGAACAAAAATCCCTCCACCATTCTTTGGGTGAGTGGGGGTGTTTAACATGAATCGGTCTGATCTTCTAATGAAAGATTCTTTTTAATTACGTAAAAAAAATCATTGTAGCATATCATGCCCTGCCTTGGTACTACTGTTCTATTTGCTTTGGAATTGTTACACCAACTTGCATACAGGAGTGAAATCTGTTTTTTCCTAGGGCCACCTGTGGCAGAGTGATAAAAGTAATTAACTTGGGAGACCGCCTCCGTGGTCGAGGGGTTAGAGTCGATGACTTCTAAGCTAGTTACCTCTGGCGTGGGTTCGATCCCCAGGAGATGCTTTGGTAGTTTAGCGTGGAGGAAGGTAGTCTAGTACTGGTGGAACTCTCCAGGAACGATGATTAAGAAACTACCCTCCTATATGACTGAAATACTGTTGGAAAAAGGCGTAAAATGAAACAAACGAACAAAATTGACTTGGAATTATTTGCCCCTTGCAGTTGTTGGGAATTACTTGTCCACTAGGAATTTTAAATTCTGTCATGGTGATTGCTCTACTGGGATTCCCACTTGTGCCTGAAACAACACATAGGCGCACCCGATGTCTTCCTACACCACTAAAACTGAAAAGCCTCTATAATATCGGCTATTTATACTTTGCGAAACAGAACGGAACAAACATTGAGGCACCACACGGGGCACAGCATTTTTTTACCAATATGTAAATATATTAAATAATAATAATGAAATATTGAAATTGCCTAGCGAACAGTCGATCAAGGGCTTTTTCGAACTGAACCATCTAAAAACCCACTTCTAAATGGATATTATTAATGTAAAATCTTCGGGACTGCAAACAGTTGTTCCATTTCGTTCCGCAAAGTATAAATATCCCATAGAATAATGATATTCTACGGAACGGAACGAACAAGATTTATTTTTTCTTGTCAATGGAATTTTTCATCCTGGTATATTACAGGTACACGAATTTATTACATGCAACCTTTAGCTGTTTTAAAAAACTATGTTCTTGACTTAGTCAATATAGGAAATCCTATCGCCATAAAATTTATATATTTAAATGTTTTGCACTTGTTGCAGTAATTTAATATTGATTATTCATATAAACTGACGAATGAAAAAAAATGAGTAGACAATCTAAATATTGTTGGCGATATCAGGACCTCTTTAACCCATTACTTCATATACACGCCTTTTAACGCCTTTTTCACCCCCCCCCCCATTTTGTTGTCTCAAATGGTGAAAAAATGCCTTATTTAGGCCCCCAACACTTGTTTTTGTTTGAGAAATGTTGTTAAAAAAAGTGACCACTTTTTCGGCGCGGCCCCCCAACCAAAAGATACATCAGGGGGTTGCCAGAAGGGGGATGTGCCCCCTTCTGTTTGGGGGGTTTGAAGGGGGGCGGAGTCCCCCTCATCGCCAGGAAAATTTTGGACTTGTGAGAGGCTATAAATGACCTCAAATTGATCATAAGGCAACGTGTAACCAACGCTGAAAAGCATTTGACTCTAACTCAATCCATTGAGAAGTTGCAGCACTTTGAAATCAATTATGATGGAAAAAATCAACGCAAAATAGTGATTTTTGGCTATTTTGAGATGTCCCCTCGTTGCCATGGTAACAGAAAATTTAAGCCTGAGCATGTTGTTGCAAGGGCAATGGTCCAGTCAACATTTGTGCCAAGTTTGATTAGTGTTGAAGCAGTTTTTATAGTATTATAGCAATTTGAACTTGTAACGGGAGACTTTTCAATGAAAACAGCCATTTTTCACAAAATGCTCATGAAGTAATGGGTTAATATGTATCGAATGGCCGTCATATCCAGTACACTCATTTTGTATTATATAAAAATCTAAAAAATATTAATAATCATCGTAAACAAATTAAATTTGAAAACATGCTTGCCATATATAAATTGATATTACATGCACTAATAAAGGTTCTTGTTATACATAATCATATACATGTATGCTGGAGTGGTTGTCATTCATTAAAGCTAAATGTGAGGTCATAATTATACTTTGTATATTTAGTGGCTGATGATTCCGAAGAGAATGAAGGTATGGATTCAACAAGCACTTCTAGCGGCAGTTCAGCATTTTCTGAATCAGATTCCAGTGTGCACATGATTGAATCAAGTGTTGAAAATTCAAACTGCAAAGGTATGGCCCTTAACCTTGCTATACAGAAACCTAACCATTGTTTGTAGACCAGTGTATATATAATCAACTTTCTGTATAATCAGGGTCTACATACTTAAAGGACGTTTGTTTTGATGATCTCTTGGCCTAGGCCAATTTTTAATCAAGGTCAACTGTATTTAAAAATCAGGTCACCAACTTGAATCAAAGAAAAATCTTGCTTATACTCTGAAGGGCCATTTTGAATCCACTCTCAATGAAAGTTGGTCTTAATCTTTATATATATATTTTTGGATCAAGTTTGATTCTGGGTCATATTGGGTAAAACACTAGGTCACCAGGTGAAACATAAGAAAAACTTTGTTAGTCCCCTACCGGTTTAACCGGAGGGGACTTTAGGTTAATTGCCTCTCGTCTGTCCGCAAAAACTGGATCCCGTGATAACTCAAAAAGTACTGAAAATAATTTTTATGAAACTTGAAATATGGATAGATGGCAGTATAGAGATTATGCACCTCTCTAAAATTTGTTCGCATATTTTTGTTTGGCCCCTAGGGGCTGCCAGAGCTATAAAAACAAATTAAACAGTTTCTTTTTGTGAAGTGTAGTTACATGACCTACACCAGGACTTCTTCATCTACTTACATGTTATTAAAGCTATAGATTCAGATGAGCTGTATAGGGCCATCATAGCCGTTTTGTTTTTTTCTTAACATATCTTAAGGTGTCTACAGATGATAGGTTAATTCTTGTTGTTATCTTAAAGATGTACAATTTCAAAGTTGTACATTTCTCACATATAGACAGTATTCCATTCCCGATAAATCACTGAGCTTACTTCCAAATAATTCCCTCAAAAATGAGTCAAATTCAGGATTTAGATGGAACAGTTGTAATTGCATGACATGTGAAATTGTGCTTATGACTGCAAGTAGTCTAGCCACTAGACCGCTGATGTTCTCAATGTTTTATGTGATAGTGGCAAACGCAAGTCTATTTTGTTTTAAGAGATTTTCACAGAGAACTCAGATTATAATAATGCCATATGGCATTTGACATAGGACACAGTATCTGCTCCATCAGCTGCCAGTTGTTACAGTGACCTGCTGTTACTACTTACAGTTGCTGCAGTTGCCAGCGGTAATTACTTGCAAGAGTGACAGCTACTAACTGTAATGATTGAAAGTTGTAAAAGTAACATGCTGCTACTCATACGGCTAATGTAGCTAGTTTTCCCCCGCCTTTTCAAAGAAAAAAGGGGGATATAGAAATAGGCTCTGTCCGTCTGTCCATCCGTCTGTCCGTCCGCACAAACATTTTAGGTATATGAGCTAACTAACGGTACACTGGGACAAAAGAGAACAAAGGACTTCATTCCGTAAATAATAGTTAGCTCATAAGGAAACAATAGTTAGCCCACAAGGAAACAAAAGAAAAGAACAATAGAAATAGCTCATTGGTATGTCCGTCCGTCTGTCCATCACACTTTCGTGTCCGGTCCATAACTTTGTCATTTATCAAAGGAATTTGAAATAACTTGGCACAAATGTTTGTTATAATAAGACGATGTGTCATGTGCAACAATCAGACCCCTACCTCCAAGGTCAAGGTCGCACTTGCTCATTCAAGGTCAACATTGTCTATTTGAGGGTATATGTCATGTCCGGTCCATAACTTTCTTATCTTTTAAGGGATTTTGTAAATACTTGCCATAATTGCTCACAATAATGAGAAAATGTGTCATGCGCAACAACTGGTCACCTACCTCCAAGGTCACACTTGGAAGTTAAAGATCAACATAGTCTGTTACAGGGTATATTTCGTGTCCGGTCCATAACTTTGTCATTTATCAAAGGAATTTAAAATAACTTGGCACAAATGTTTGTTATAATAAGACAATGTGTCATGCGCAACAATCAGACCCCTACCTCCAAGGTCAAGGTCTTACTTGCTCATATAAGGTCAACATTGTCTATTTGAGGGTATATGTCGTGTCCAGTCTGTAACTTTCTTATCTTTGAAGGGATTTTGTAAATACTTGCCACAATTGTTAACAATAATGAGATGATGTGTCATGTATAACAGTGGGTCACCTACCTCCAAGGTCAAGATCACACTTGGAGGTCAAAGATTGATATAGTCTGTTATAGGGTATATTTTGTGTTCGGTCCATAACTTTTTCATATATCAAAGGATCTTGAAAATACTTGGCAAAAATAGTCACTATAATAAGACGATGTGTCATGTGCAACACCTACATCCCTACATCCAAGGTCAAGGTCACATTTCAAGGTCAAAAATTAACATTGTCTGTTAAAGGGTATGTATTGTGTCCGATCTAGAACTTCCTCATAGTTCAAGGGATTTTGAAATAACTTGGCACAAATATGACATAATAAGAAGATATGACAAGTACAACACCTGCACCCCTACCTCCAAGGTCAAGGTCAAACTTAGAGGTCAAAAGTTAACAGAGTCTGTTATATGGTATACTTTGTGTCCTGTCCATAACTTCTTCATAGATCAAGGGATTTTGAAAATACTTGGAATAAATAGTCACAATAATAAGACGATATGTCAGGTCCAAATCATAGGTCCATACCTCCAAGGTCACACTGAGAGGTCAAAGATTAACATAGTCTGTTATAGGGTATATTTTGTGTCCCATCTATAACTTCTTCATAGTTCAAGGGATTTTGAAAATAGTTACAATAATAAGACGATATGTCATGCACAACTCCTGGACCCCTACCTCCAAGGTCAAGGTCACACTAAGAGGTCAAAGCTTAACATTCATTTTTATTTCTTTAATAAATTTATTGTTGCATTTGCAGATCTAGCATTGATCATAATTTTGGACTGAAAATCCTTAGATCCATACCTCAATCTTTTGAAATAGCACAATTTTATGCTTCATATAAAACTTCCCCGAGGCGGGGGATGTTGGTAACTCTGTTACAAATTTTTGTCTTCTTAACACCTGTGCAATTTCATGCTATTTTGATACCCTCGGTTTGCATGCATGCAATGGATAATAGTTAACAACAGTTTCTAAATGAAATAACATCAACATTACCTTTATAAACTGGTCACAAATAAATTAGCAACCTTTATAGAAAAACATTAGATATAATTTTTCCTGTTTAGATAATTGCATGTTTTACATTCCAGAAGACTTTCTCCAGAACTGCCCAAAGTATGACCAGAAAGAAAGGGGATTAACTGTTAGTGAAATTGTAGAAATAATCGCATTTAAAGACCTTTCTGCTTCACAACTTTGTAAACATGTACCTGATCCATCATCAGATTCTTTGTGTGTTGTTGATCTAAATTCAGTGAGTGAGAAAGATCTTTCGTGTGATGATAGTGGCAGTTACAACAGTCATTCGAGTCCAACTGTTGTTGTCAAAGTATCATCTCAAAATAAAAAAGTGACAAACATTAAAACATTGTCAAGGCGAAGACTAAATATAGAGGACCCAATTCTAAAAGATGAAAATGTATACACTGTAAAACGGTTGTACAGTGAACGAAAAGGAAGACTTGGGCTAGACAAATACACTAGAATTATCAGTAAGGTGTATTCTTGTCATGGTATAGAGAAATATTCTATTATTCAGTATTTGGGAGCATGTATGCATTCTGGTCAAGCGCACAAGAACTCGAAAGACAAGAATAAGCTATATGTAAGAACGAAGCCATCTGTTATCGAAAGGGAAAAAAGCCTTTTACATAACCAACCACCAAAGAAGGTCATTGATTTGATAGATGAAGAAAATGGAGGGCTTTTGAGTGTACATTCATCTAGCGATGGACCTCGTGATAGACAACAGCTTTACAACATCAAACATAAACAAAGTAACAAAAACAGATCAAGAAATACCGGACCTGTAACAACACCTGATTTTACTCAATTAATTGCAGAAATGGACAATGGAAAATTTATCAAGAATATTGACTTTTCATTTAGATCTAAACAAGGAAGAATTCATCCAAACACATTTGCCATGACTGAAAATTGTGTAACCTGGATTAAAATGTTTTGCAGCCCATTCAGTTCTGTAAAATCTCAGCTTGGTATAGACATGACATATAAAGTTGGCCCTTTTTACACCACCTGTTTAAGTTTTCCTCACCCACATTTTGTTCATAAAGATAACAATCAATGTCACCCAACCATATTTGCAGGAATGATGACAAGCACTGGTCGACAAGAACATGACTACAGATACTTGGCACATCAACTTAAATTATGTGGAATAACAAATCTGATTTATGGAACTGATGGGGAAATAGCACTTGAAATGGGGTTTGAAAGAATATTCCCAATAGAAAGTAAAGATCAGAATCAGAAAAATATAAAGCTGAGATGTTTTAACCATATGAAGGATGATATACTGAAGAATTTAAAAAAATACAATATCACGAAGGAAGCAACCAATGAAATAATAAAAGATATACTGGGTTTTGAAATAAACGAAGTTAGAGTAGCAGGTCTGGTAGACGAAGATCAGGAATGCTTTGACAATAGGTATAATAATGTATCTTCAACATGGCCACCACAGTTTAAGGATTATATTGAGTCTGACAAATTGAAAGTTCGTTCTTTAAAAAGCACCTTCTTGAAGAGTATGGGTAAAGAGGTGAGAACAGATGCTGGGCTGGGAAATCCTCCAAATAAATTCGATAACCAGAGGGCAGAATCAATAAATAACGTGCTTAAAGAAGCAACTGGAGGTCAATATGTAGCGCAGTCTGCAGTGCATGACATCATTTACACACATGTAGTTCAAAGTCAACAAAATGAACTTATCAAGGCTATATATGGTTGTGGGGAATACAGGCTGTCTAAAGATTATGAACACTTTGAAATTAGTCCACAAAAATGGAAATCCATGACCAACTTCCAAAGAATAAATTACACAAACAAGGTTTTGCAATGTAAAATACCAGAAGAGAACAAGCAAAAGGTTATCACCCGCAAGTTATCTATACAACCTCAGGACTGTACCGAAAACCTATATTCTCTGCCTCCTACAATTGTCGAGCAGCTTTGGAAAAATGCAGAAATGGTGTTGTCAAACGACTATGTAAGGGAATTAGAGAATGGAAGCTTTTGTATTGCAGAGGATGACAATGCTTATATCATCAAACAAAACAAGAATACATTTGTTTGCAACTGTGCAGATTTCCAAAAATTAAGTCTTTGTCCACATGCTTTGGTTATTGCAGATGAAAAAAGCTGTCTGGTTTCTTTTATTTCTAGCTTCAAGTATAATCCATCAGCCGTTATAAACAAACACAATGTGCATGGTGCAGGTGAACGCAAGACCAAAAAGCCAAGAAAAGGTGGTCAGAATGTAAAAAAAACCTATAGAAAGGTTAATAAAGGCTGCTAAACCGGATGTGGATTATTATGCAATAAACCTACAAGAAAGAAGACCCTTCCAATTTTCTGAAGTATGGCACAATGATTTCCCGTTCTATTTCATTTATGTAAACAGTGAATCACTTCGCACAAGAAAAGTATTGAAATGTGTATCATGTGACAACATCATTGGTAGGGTCAATGCAGTACCACCTTATGATATAGTACTATCACACCTGGAGAGATACATGTATCCTCATCGAAAAGACGACGGGAAGGTTGAGATGAGACCAACAGTTTCGAAAACCGCCTTAAAGTTATATTGTGTGAAGAGGTCTTGTGTCTTAAGGAGGCATCCATACTTCTGGTGTGGTATGCTAAACACAGAAAATATCACTCCTTCAGACTTGCACAAGAAGCTGTTAAGAGAGGAGTTTGGGTTTCTGTTTAATAGACAGGCCTAGCTGTTGCTTAATTGTTTATTAATCACCGTTCCAGTATCTGAGATACATTTATTTATGAAGTCTTATCTGAATCCTTATTGTTATATCAAATGATTGTTCAATGAACAGTTTTCTCCTAGATGTGTTTCTAGTCTTACTAGGACCAGAAAGGGCAACAGCAGCCTCAACATTGTGATCATCATAAATTGACTGATTAATTATGAATTGACATGTAATTTTATGGATTTTATATGTTTTATTTTAATGTAAAGTATATGCTAGAATAGTTGCTTGTTGCCTGAATTTTAACAGTTTTTAGAATATCAGACTGGTCCAAGTTTTTCTTTATAGATATACGAGGGTTGAACGCAATACTGTAGTAACTCACATTTTGACCGAAATTGACTTTTTGTCATTTTTCATTGTATTTCATGGTAATACTGTACATAAGCTGTAAAAATGTAAAGCTCACATTCTATTTTTTTTTGTTATTTTTTCAAAATTGCAATATAGTAGTAACTCACTAAGATAAAATGATTTACCGCAATACAGTAGTATGTCTACATACTACAGTATTGTGGGAAATTTATTTCCTCTATCAGTGTCTTTTTCACTGCAACACTGTAGTAAGTTTCTTAACTTTATTATTACAGACAAATTATTGTTTTATTTTCCTTGCTGTAGGTACTATAATGCAATAGTAGATATTTTTTAATTAAGGGGTCAGCTTTTTCAACTTCTGAGTGAAGGTATTAATTAACCCCAAAACAAGAATTGCTTTTGCCTTCTGTGACAATCAGAATTGACTTTTCTTCAAACTTTTGGAGTAAACAAGATATTTTTTTTTCAAAATATCATTCAGTAATACTTTAATGTTATACAAAATTAACAATTGTTACAAAGAGATACATGAAAAAGCAGAAATTAAGAGTATTTGCCAGTGTACGCACAAAATAGTGAAATGCAAGCATTTTTGATTAGATTTTAAATTTTTGTGAAGTGCAAATACGTATATAATTATGCTGTCAGAATTTGTCTAATATCTCCGCAGAAAAAAAGAAACTTGAGGCAATTATGTATAAATGATATAATTGATACTTAAAAGCTTTATTTCTTTTTCAGTGCTATGAAATATATTTAGGCTTAGTAAATGGATGCTTGCATTCTTTTAGGATAAATTGTGTGTTGGGTACACCCCTGAGTCAGAAAGTAAATAGACACAAATGTTATAGGTAAATCAGGATGAACAAGTGGGTTGGGCAGGGGATTAAGAGTTTTAAGAGAAAGTCATTTCAGTCATTAACCAGTTTTATATTTTTCATATTTTGTACTTCAAATGAAAATTTTCCTTAATGATTTAATTGTTTGTTGTTGTTGTTTTTTTGTGTTTTTTTTTGTTGTTGTTGACATCTTGGAGTAATGCATAATAATTATATAAGATAATAGTTACAGTTCAGAATTTCTTAGAACATTTTCAAAAAAAATAATACTGAACTACATTTAAATATTGAACATTGTTAAAGAAGAGTGTGGGTCTGAAAGTGTTACATGTATGTGGTGAAATGTTTTCATGTTATATCTAGTACTGATAATTTCAGAATATATATGATTAAAAATAAAAGTTTTTAATTAAAGGATAATTGACAGACTTCTCTAAGAGTAAATATTTGTTTAGTAAATAATTCAGAAACAAATAAAAACATGTAATAATATATTTAACTCATTTACATATAACATGCAATATAACATGGGCCCATACTGTATTCAAGCTATGCTACCACCACCTGTGGTATTCCATGGAGATTTTCGTTTAATAATGCTTAGTGTTAACACAATATCGTACTTGAAATGGACTGACGATCTTTGGACGGTGAGTAGTGTCAGTATCAGCATTAACAACCGTAGCAGATAAATTGTATCAATTTTAAAAATTGCGACTTGTTATTCGCGTGAATCATGGTGGAAAACTGAACAAGACAAGCTTTTAATATTTACAAAACAAAACTGACACCATTTAATTTGTTAAAACCATGAAAACGCCTATTTCCAAACACGACATATTCAGTGGAGTTATACATAACATAAAAAATTGCAACATTACTTACTATTCAAACAGTCCTGATCTACCCCATTACATAGGGCTGTTATACCAAGATTGCAGAATACTGCATTTAGAAGTTCACCACCCCACCCCACATGGTTAAGGTTAAAATGATATTACGTTGATACATTTACAGCTTCCACATTTCTGCATACTTTGCGGAACGAAATGGAATCACAATTTATAGAGTTGAAGACGTGGTTTGTACACAACGCTGACTTTAATAGTGATATTTCAGCTTTATTAGTGCATGCACAATCAAATTATGTATGGCAAACATGTTTTAAATTTAATTTGTTTACGATATTATATAAGTTTCCAACTCGCCCGCTTAAATCAATAGGAAGAAGCGTCGGTGTCGGTAGTTCGATCCTTGGGCGGGCAATGTTCTCCGTGCCGATTTGATAAGACATTTAGTCATGTTCTCAAATCTAATTTGTGTAAGATGAGACAGTTTCCACATTTCTGTATTTGATTTATATGTTGTGATTTCTAAAAGTGACGAGTCTTCATTAGCAGGATATGTAGCCTGCGATTTTGTTTATGCATCATGAATGATTATTTATATGTGAAGTTTATACAAGCATTATAAAGGAGGAAATGGATATTTAATAACAAATCTTGTTCCGTTCCGTTCCGCTAAATATCATTATCATAGGGGATATTTATACTTTGCGGAACGAAACGGAATCACAATTTATAGAATTGAAGACATGGTTTGTACACAACGCTGACTGTAATAGTGATATTTCAGCTTTATTAGTGCATGTAATTTCAAAAAATATATGGCAAACATGGTCTCAAATTTAATTTGTGTAAGATTAGATAGTTTCCACATTTCTGTATATGATTAATATGTTGTCATTTCTAAAAACAAAGTGACAAGTCTTCATTAGCAGGATAGGTAGTCTGCTATTTAATTTATGCATCATAACTGATTATATATAAGTGAAGTTTATACAAGCATTATAAAGGAGGAAATGAGTCATGAATAACAAATCTTGTTCCGTTCCGTTCCGCTAAATATCATTATCCTAGGGGATATTTATACTTTGCGGAACGAAACGGAATCACAATTTATAGAGTTGAAGACATGGTTTGTACACAATGCTGACTGTGATAGTGATACACGTATTTCAGCTTTATTAGTGCATGCACATTCAAATTATATGTTTTTAAATTGAATTTGTTTACGATAATTATAGAAGTTTCCAACCCACCCGCTTAGATCAATAAGTAGGAGCGTCGGTGTCTAAGTTCGATCCTTGGGCGGGCAATGTTCTCCGTGCCGATTTGATAAGACATTTAGTCTGACATCATTTGTCCTCTACCTCTGATTCATGTAGGGAAGTTGGCAGCTTCAAATCTTGTTCCGTTCCGTTCCGCTAAATATCATTATCATAGGGGATATTTATACTTTGCGGAACGAAACGGAATCATAATAAATAGAGTTGAAGACATGGTTTGTACACAATGCTGACTGTAATAGTAATATTTCAGCTTTATTAGTGCATGTAATATCAATTTATATATGGCAAGCATGTTTTCAAATTTAATTTGTTTACGATGATTATTAATATTTTTTAGATTTTTATGTAATACAAAATGAGTGTACTGGATATGACGGTCATTCGATACATATTAAAGAGGTCCTGATATCGCCAAAAAATATTTAGATTGTCTACTCATTTTTTTTTCATTCGTCAGTTTATATGAATAATAAATATTAAATTACTGCAACAAGTACAAAACATGTAAATATATAAATTTTATGGCGATAGGATTTCCTATATTGACTAAGTCAAGAACATGGTTTTTTTAAAACAGCTATAGGTTGCATGTTATAAATTCGTGTACCTGCAATATACCAGGATGAAATATTCCATTGACAAGAAAAAATAAATCTTGTTCCGTTCCGTTCCGTAGAATATCATTATTCTATGGGATATTTATACTTTGCGGAACGAAACGGAACAACTGTTTGCAGTCCCGAAGATTTTATATTAATAATATCCATTTAGAAGTGGGTTTTCAGATGGTTCAGTTCGAAAAAGCCCTTGATCGACTGTTCGCTAGGCAATTTCAATATTTCATTATTATTATTTAATATATTTACATATTAGTAAAAAAATGATGTGCCCCGTGTGGTGCCTCAATGTTTGTTCCGTTCCGTTTCGTTCCGTTCCGCAAAGTATAAATAGCCGGAAGGAATGTATTTTTCAGACTGTAAAAACGAAACAAAAAAATTTAGAGACGAAATTTTGTGATTGGAATTTGAAGGAATAGAAGTAAGTTTCTCTCTTTATTACTTTTGACATTTAAGTTATTTATCTATTTCAGCTTTGCTATTTTTTTAACAGCCTGATATTGTCAGAATTGTCAGTAAAAATAAAATTGTGGTACCACATGGGGAAAATCTTAAAAAAGTAGTTTCGTCATTGAATAAAGTGGAATTATATTTTGATAATTTTCACTGTGAAATTATCAAATATAATTTTCACGGATAAATCAGTAATCCACTGAAAAGCATAAAATAAATCCATATATTAACTGAAAATTCAGTATGCCAAATCATGTCAACAACTACAAAAAGTATCACTTGAAATTTAACATCTTTATGATCATTATTGAAAGACTTTTAACACGATCGATAATTATGGCATAAATTTTGGCTGAATAATATTAAAATCTTAAAAACAACCTCATGCAAGATTGACTGCTCAGCTACTAAAGGTATAGTTTGACAGTCACACACCACGGTGCATGTCCTTTAGGCTAAGGACATGAGTTAAGGACTTCAAATGAAACATCCTTTTTGTGTGCCTTGAAAATGTCGACATACAGGGGTTACTTGCGTCGGCGGAATCGATGGCGTCCCCTTAGGTTTGTCTCGGTCACTATAGGTCATATATACTCCAAACTTAGAATGCATGTTTCTTTTTAATGACCCGAAGTCAGGTTCTTGAGAATGGTTACTCTACACTTCTCTTTTTTGTGATTGCCTTTTTGTAATGTTAATATTTTATTTTTGTTCCGGCCTAAACTTGGTTCAGCTATGGAGTTGAAACTTCAGGGCAGGGGCATCTGTGGCGTGACCACACATTTCTAGTTTTCACCAGAGATAATTTCTTTTTATGTATATGAATTTGTGCAACTAAAGTTATTCCCTTAACCACCTTTCCAAGTTGTCTTCTGTCAAGTACATTGGTGAGGGTGTGAATCGCATTCAGCTATAGTTCTAGTTTTAAATGTAAGGGAGACTTCAGTATTTTTATGCTTCCCAAAAGGATGGCATATAGTTACTGACATGTCTGTCTGTCCGTCACACTTGTATGGACCAATACATGAAAATTATTAATAAATTGGATTGAAACTTCATACAATGATATTGATGATAGCAACTACTGTGTCCAAGAACAATAACTTTAACTGGCTTAACTTTTGTATTATTACTTTTCATCATCTTTTTAATTTCTACTTGAACTTATTCATAGCACAGGAACTGAGCTGCAAAGTGTATTTTTATCATACATTAGAGAGATATTATACTTTAACGCTCAGTTTGCTCAAATCCTTCAAAAATCAAGATGTCTGCAGATATGTTATTTACATGTACTTGTTACAAATACGAGTAATGTTTAGGAAAGTCTAAAATTAAAGGTATATCATGTCACTGGTCCCTCTGAAAGGGAAAAGCTCTGTGACTGTTATATATAGGGATAAGATTTAGGGCAATTTGCATTCATTATTATCCCCCGCCGAAAGGCGGCGGGGGGATATAGAAATAGTCTCCGTCCGTCCGACATTTTTGTCCAGAGCATATCTCTAAAAGTATTTGAGTAATCAACTTGAAACTTCATAGGTGGATAGACCTCATTGAGGAGGAGTGCATTGCACAAGAACGATAACTCTACCCTGCATAATTTTTGAGTTATTGCCCTTTGTTATTGTTTTTTGTTATGTATAAAAGTCTTGGACCTTTTGCAAGCTTTAATGGTGGATGAAGAACGCACATGCTTGTCCATGCATTATTTCAATAGAAACATAAGAGTTTGAAGCTTGCAGGACAGATTCTGGGGAAAGTACCTGAAGTTCCTGACAGGATTCGAACCTGCAGAAGTGAGGGGCAAATAATTTGAAGTCAGTGACCTTAACCACCTTGCTATGGACATGCACAGCGCCTGAAACCAAACTGCACAAATTTAAGATGTTATGTATATAGTACTTCATAAGTGGATAGTTATACATCAGAAAAATTGAATTTAATACTTTTTTTGTGATATCATTAATTAAGCATGTACATGTTAAGAATATGCCGTTATTATTATTGTTCTATTCAGTTCGTTAATACCTTTGTAATATATATAATTGTTTGAAATATACATTGTTAGTTTGTTAAAGGACCAGATCACACATTTCTTTGATATATTTTGAAATCTTATTTTGTAATATGAATAGCCTTTTGTGTTGTTAACACATATATTGTTTCATTATATGCTTTTCCTCTGTTACAGGTTAGAAAATTTGATGACCAGATTGAAAGGGATGCATTCCAATATCAATTATAAAGCAGTTTCTTAGAGGACCATCCAACATTTGTATATGAGAAATTTATAAACGTTTTGGATCATTAATAAAGTATATCATTTGGAAAATAAAAACTTATGTGATTGGACATCTCTTGAATTAAATTTTTGATGTTTTATATGAAGTTTTACAGAAATAGAAATGAAAGTTAGTTATCTTGTGGTTTGTATTGTATTGTATTGATATACATTGTTGAAAAATTAAATGATGAAAAGTTTTCATGTGTTCAATGTTTTAGCTAAATGGTACATAAATGAGCCGCGTCACGACAAAAGCAACATAATGTGTTTGCGACCAGCATGGATCCAGACCAGCATCCTGCAGTCTGATCAGGATCCATGCTGTTCGCTATCAGTTTGTTTACTTGCTAAACGGTCTTTAAGTGAACAACATGGATCCTGATCAGACTGCGCGGATGCGCAGGCTGGACGGATCCATGCTGGTGGCAAACGCACTATGTTGGTTTTGTCCTGACGCGGCTCAAATACCTTAATAGTGAGTGGTAATGATTCAGAATTTTACATGTACACTGAGAAAATGAGATGTTGGCCAGTTACATGCCCCTGACTCTGATCATTGAATAAGTATCCTGATAAATTATGACCCAGTTAAATGAAACCACACCTCTCACATCTCAGGGGAAGGATGATAAAAAGTGGGAGATGCCAGCCCAGTTTTCTCTTGCCTGGCTAAGTACATGAAGTACATGTATGATTTTTTAGCATTTATGTCCAATTCACAGTTCTGGGACTTTATCTTCTGGCTGTCTCCTCAAGGTACTGTCTTTTCCTGAAGTTTAATAATCCAAAAGTCAAAGTTCCCAATATTCACCAGGGTTGAAGAGGCCATAAATATAATTGACTAATGAATTAAAACAATTGTGCTTTGTTACTCTCAAATCATGTACAGCAATTTTCATTATCTCCTGATTAAGATTGTTGCTCTTAGAAATGTAATATTTTGGTAACAACCAGAGATGTTTTAAGACTTACCTTCAATGTGTCTTTCAGACTGTCTGTCTATTTCTAAAAACTGTTTCTTTAGATCACTTTTTAAGAACTTTGAACTTTTCCAACAATTTTAAAATAGAGAAAAATTGAAACATTAGTTATACATATTCATCCTGAGAAAATTGGATCTTTTGATTATCTGTTGTAAAAGAATAATTTTCTTACTATGTAGGGATACTTAATGATACAAACTAAAATCTCAAAAGGTATCAGTTCATTCATGTCATGTCATTCATTCAATGGCATAATTGAATTTGAGTGGCCAATTGTCCTTCAGAATGTTCATGGGGTTCTAGCCGGCAGGGGACTTTTGGATTGCTTGCAATACTATGATAAATGCTTGTTGTATAAATATTACAAATTGATATAGATTAAGTTGATGGTGGTTTATTATCTATCATGGATAATAAAGCAAGTCATCCAGGTAATTATCAAATGAATTGAATTTTGCTTTATCTTTTAGCTTGAACACTGTCTAATTTCATTTTGGCCACTATACCATTTTTAGCTAGACAAGATGAATAGTTTGACTTAATACTGTATTATCTCTTGGTCAAGGATTATTTATCTCATTAACCACTAAATGCATTCACTTGAAACTTAAATATGGTGTCTTATAGTGACTTCACTGAGGTTTTTTGACATGAAGGGACTCGAAAAGTTTTTTCAAGATAAATGTTCATTTTCATGTAGGTCTACACCAATAACTTGTGTGCAAAATTTGAGATCATTCAGTCACTCCAATTTTCCAGAATATTTATTCTAATTGTGAAAATTGACCCAAAATTGAAAAAACGTTGCAATGCTTTTCACTCAAATCAGACATATAATAGCACAAAAATAGATTGTCATTTTATTTCTGAAAGAATTTTTTATCTTCTGCATTATCTTTCTGTTTTAAGTGCCCCAACTGTTCTATGTGATAATTTCAGATTTTATTTTTTAGGCTTTTGAACCTCGGTGGAGCTCCTTTAAAATGAATTGTATAAAGGTTAAAGGTTCTGCAAGCAATACCAATTTTGTTATACACTTGAAACTGCATGTATTATGGATTGATAATATAGACCATTGTTCAAGTCCTTTAACTCTAAACATATCCATATATGAACTGAAAATTCAGTATGCACAACTACAAAAGGTATTCACTTGAAATTTAACATCTTTATGATCATAATTGAAAGTCTATTAGCAAGATCCATCATTATGGCATATATCTTGGCTGAATGATATTAAAATCTTTAAAACAACCTCATGCAAGATTAACTGCGCAGCGACTAAAGGTATCATTTGACAGTCACCCACCACAATGTCCTTTGGGTTAAGGACCTGAGTAAAGGACTTTGTGTTGCCTTGAAAAAGTCGACATATTGGGGTTACTTGCGTCGGCGGCGTCCCCTTAGGACTGTCTCGGTCACTAAAGGTCATATTGACTCCATACTTATAGTATGCATGTTTCTTTCAATGACCCGAAGTACAGTGCTTAAGAATATTTACTCTACACTTCTCTTTTTTTTGTTATTGCCATATGTTAATTTTCATACTTTATTTTTGTTCGGATCATTTCTCCTAAACTATAAAAGCTATGGAGTTTCTTTACAATTGAACATTGCCAGCTGATATTAAAGTTCAATTTACATCTTAATCTGTGCACATTGTTCAAATCTCATAGCTGTACATAGTAGCATCTTCAATGCTCTTCCAGCCCCTCTTAAATCCAGTAGCCCATTTTTTCACAGTGCTATAGGAAGGGGACTCATTCCAAAGTGTATGCATGAAGTCTTCATTGATTTCCTTGAGGGACATACCTTTCCTACAGAGGTACTTAATGACGGCTGTGGTTTTAACTTTCTCCATTTGGTCTAAATGACATGCACACCCCTCTACTGATCAAAGTGTATTTTATATGACTCAATCTGTGTAGAACCGCATGTAACTCAATAAGATATCGGTATCGACGTATCGTGTGTAAATGTCGGTGTAGTGGCTAGAAGTAGATCGGGCCGAGGACCTTTTGATCATACCTCGTATAACTGGCAATATACGTGGCAATATTACTTTTTGCATTTTAAGAGTAAAAATATTTGCCCGTATGTAGATGCCGTGGATATCTTTATAAGAATTGTGTTACTAATCATAGCAGAAATGACTAGGACCACTGACCAGTTTCATTTTATTTTTGTGATTCTTCACCTTTATGCATGTTTTAATGACGCTCTCAAAATAAGTTACACGAACACGTGAAAGAATGCTGAATCAATATAAAAAATCGAAAGTTTTTTTTTCGAATGTAGACCTGCACATGCACATTTTTATGCATTTGGGCAAATTTTCGTAGGTTCATGCTTACTTGTTATTAATAAACATAAAAAAGTTTGTCTACAATTAAAACTTTATTTTAACTTTATTCAGAGATACAGATTTGAAGTATAACAAATAACAAAATTTCCATCTCAAAACCATAACAAACAACACTAATTAATTAAGTTACAAATTTTGCGCCAACCAGCTGCTAAAGTACCAAGCATCTGCATAAACTCCAGGGCTGTTTTCTCTTGCGCAGCCAAATCCCCAGCTGACAACACCTGCAAAATACGTTTAAATCATTTATAAAATTCTATAGATGACTTTGGAAGGAGACCAGTAATGCAGAGTAGGTACACGAGTATATTTTAAACAACTTTTTATGACAGACATAATTTGAAATGCTGGTAGGCATATGTGAAACAAATGTCGGTGTATGTTCCTGTAGTACTACCTGACTGTGTTATAATTTGCTATAGTTTAACCATATTTGACTGACAATACATGCATATATACAATAAAACAAAAGCATATGAGTTGGGCAACAGTGTTAACAACATTACATTACATTAAGTCCTTCCCAGATTTTATTTGTAGTTGCTTCGTTTTGTTGTTATATTTCTGTTCATCAAATGATTGAGGCTGTTATATAATATCAACAAAAACAGCAGCCATACCTACAAGTTCCCATGCATTATTTCTATTGGCGACAAGTGGTCCACCGGAATCTCCCTAAAATATATAGAAACATCACTTTTTCGACGTTTGGATTGTTTTCAAAGTATATTTCATTTACATACACGTATGTATATGCATTCTACTTTGCTGAGTAAAATATAGAATACATAGGAATACAAAAAAATAGAGGATTTAGAAATCTTGTTGATGTATCTCTTCTCTAAACCGATCTCTGCTGATGTTGTAATTGTAACAGAAAAAAAATTGAGTAAGAATTCCACGCAACCTGACAAGCGTCTTTGCCGGCTTCTTCAGCACACATCATGGTTTTGTCTAAATGACCTCCATTGTTTGTTTGTTCACATCGGATTTTGCTCATGGCTGTTTTCCAGACATACTTTAGCGTCGATGAAGATGATCCACCTTGGAAAAGAAAACACAAATGTTAGAAAAGATGAAGCCAAAATACAAATTAATCATGTCTGCAGTAGTATACATGTACTAAATGTAAATTTTATCGTTTAAGCACATGTTTTTTGTTTTTAGTTTTTTAATTAACTTATGATATACACTAAGTTATATACATTTCTACCTTCACTTGTGGTACCCCACCCGGATACAACATTTTTTAATGTTTCTAAATCCCTTTTTAAAGAATCGAGGTACATATTTTTAGCCAAATTGCTCAGTGTTGCTAACGATAACATAGCGTTAATGTCAGAATTTTCACCTCTAACTATTTCCAGTAACTCCGATTAAACTTCAGTATTTTAACTTTACGCATTTACTTCCCTTTGCATGTATTTTGCCTTTATATTTATCAAACAATATACCCAAGCCAGACTGAACTTGAAGTCTGGTCGTGCTCTATGTTGTTAGTAGCTCCATATTTTGTATTACATTATTGAAATCCCTTTATTAAATGGACTGTTCCAAATTCAAAGCAGGTTAAATTCCTTGCATAAATTCAACAGAAAATGATTAATTAATTAAACATCCAACCTTCACTTGTAGTTCCCCATCCAGATACGACGGCATTTTCATTGTCAAGATAGTCTCTGCTTGGAAGACATGCCGGTGATGCAAACGTTTCAATCAAATCGAAAGGAAGTTTTCCATTGAACTCTGCAAAATATGAACAGAGCAAACTAATTAATATGTAACTTCCATATATCAGCAACAATGGCATGTGTAAATGATTTATAATACAAATTTTTAAAAGGTTTATTTTGAATTATCGTTATATATTTCTCTGTCCTTCAGGGCTTCCGTTAATGGGCGTACGGCCGTAAATTACGCCCGAGAATCGTATCTGTACGCCGGACTCCTTTTCTGGAACTTCTACACATTACCATTGTCTATCACGGACCTGACATTGACATTGTTTTAAAGACTGTGGAAATATATCTATAACATGTTGCAAATAAAGAGGTCAACTTAGTTATAATTAACATATAACAACTAAAGAAATTTTAATAATATATAAAATCGAGGTTAATTAATTATCAGTCTGAACATGTGAAAATGCATTTTAAGTTTTCATTTAACCTGATTTTATCCTTTATCCCATTGATGTTAAATAGGACAATTTAAATCACATAAATATATATACATAATTTTTCAAAATATTGAAAAATTAAGATGGCTAGTGGATAGCGAAATAGCACACTTTCCATCATCCGACGCGAAATGCAACATTCGTTAATACGGAAAAATCGTATTGTAAAGAGGTCTATAAAATCATGACAGACACCAAAATGTTACACGTATTAGCATTTCCAAAACTGCTTGGAATCGCCGTTCAGCCATGAATATAGAAATAATAGACTTTATTGTATGTGGTCAACACATAAAGCCAACAAAAATACTTGATTTACTTTACCATTTCGTGCTTGTCAACATATTTTGACGCTCTAGCTCAGTTAGATTAGATGCTGGGTCAGAATGTGGGAACCATGAGAAAAATATCACAATAACTTACGGTGTTCCGTTTGGACAATCGCGATTTTTTTATTTAGTCTGTACCCGCGATGCACGATGGTACGATGATGAAAACGCGATGGCACGATGATGAAAACACGGTGGTACGATGATGAAAACGCGATGACACGATGATGAAAACACGGTGGTACGATGATGAAAACGCGATGGCACGATGATGAAAACACGGTGGTACGATGATGAAAACGCGATGGCACGATGATGAAAACACGGTGGTACGATGGTGAAAACGCGGTGGTACGATGATGACAACTGGTGAAATCGCGATAGTACGATGGTGAAAAATAAGTGATCGTTAGAATTGAAATAATGTCGATCTGAGCGGTGTTTATCGGCTATTTAACACATGTTTTGTCGTTTTGATGCGACAGGCCTACGACAAAACTGTTTATCCGGTCCATGCACACAATATTAATTTAATCTTCGATAGGCTAGATTTTCGGTACAGTAAGTTCTGTGAGATGTAGACAGTAAGGTGTTATATAATTTAATTTGACTACAATGTACGTTATATAGCGCAAAAGGGTAAACTACGGGTTTATAATTTCTAAATGTAAGATAGAAACCGCCTATGTCCATGGTATTTGTTCAACAGTATTGACGCTATCATTGTTGTTTTTTATGTTGTTCGTTTGTTTTGACATGCTGTTTTACTTATGTTGGCCTGTAAGTCTTCTACTTTTGAAATAACAATGTTTAAGGAATAATATTAAAAAATTCTTTCGGATTAAATCAATGAATGTAGTTTCAATGCTGTGAAATACAACACAATTCGAGACAAAACAGTGTTTTAAGTGTGGGCAATTCCGCTAGCAATATTTCCATTTAAATATTCTGCAAAAATAAAAAAGTGAGTTATATATAAACACTTACTGATTATAGCGATGTCATTCGAAAAGGTCCGACTGTTGTATTGATTATGTTTGATAATAGAAGATGCATCAAATATTTTCCTGCCTGTACTGTTCGTGGTTTTATGCATTCCAAAAACAACTGAATAGCTGCTCGCCTGCTTATCTCTAAATAATGATAAAAGGAAATTATCATTAATCATGTTCTGTGTCAATATAAACCGGGTGAACAGCCAGGTGTTGCGTTGTCGATAGCGACAAAACAACCTATATCGTTATCGCCTTTTCGTCTTGTCGCTAGCGAAAACATGACAAAGTGCCAAACGGCGCGTCGTCGCACTGTCGTCCTGTCTCTAGCGAAGCACACCAAACGTCGCGTTGGCATGAGGCGCGTTGTCGCGAAGTCGCCCTGTCGCTCGGCTTAAAAGCCAATCCTTCGATTTAAACCGAGCGACGTTTGACACTTTGTCGTGTTGTCGCACAAAAGCGTTCCAAATCAGCCACCATAATTAACGTTTCTACGATTTCAGTTTCATATGGTGGCTGCTTTGGAACGCTTTTGTGCGTCGTGTTGGCGCTAGTGACAACAGGAGAAAGCACCAAATGGCGCGTTGTCGGACTTTATTCACAACCTCTGATCTCCTTTCAAAATTCCATTTTGTTTAGTTACGCCCATTGTTTTCTCGTTTAGGGCACGCGCTTTCTATTACTGGGGACCATACGCCGCTTTTCATGGAATGGCACGAAAGTGTCACATTGAAGGTTCCATGATAACCGCCGTATGACCACATCTGTGGATGTTCCTAAATTCAAATTATACCATTTCATGTTTAAATGTTGAATTTTGCTTAAGCCGGTGCTAGGGGGCGTGGACGGTAGTTTGCACTTGACATTTCTTTGGAAATTCTGATTTTCTCAATTTCGTCTTGTCGTCCTGTCGCTAACGATGTACGCCAAACGGCACGTTGTCGTGCGGCGTGTTGTCGCGATGTCACATTGTCGCTCCGTTCAAATCGACAGGGCGACATCGCGACAACGCGCCACATGACAACGCTAGAGACAGGACGACAAGCCGACAGCGTGACAACGCCGTGTTGTCGCTATCGACAAGACGACAAGGCGATAACCATATAGGTTGTGTTGTCGCTATCGAAAATGCAACACGCAATGTACCAAATCAGCCATCATAAGAATGAGCATACCAATTTTTTATAACAAAGAACTGAACATATTATGGTTAGGATGAGAGTAATACATACTCAACACAATGAGCTGCTGTTATAACTTCAACTTGTCCATTGTTACCAGTCACGTAGGTGCCTCCACAAATTAGATATCCATTTTCTACTATGCCTACCTAAATAATGGAGATGTATTACTTTAATCACATATGTACGCCATATACCAACTGTCGAACACATCTTCACATTTGATAATGAAATTCACTGTAACATGTCTTGCAAGTTTATACTAAATAATAAATCTGCGCCATGTCATGTAATCAATTTAAAAGCACCTATTGCCTATTACTGAACCTTTTTTGCAGGAAGGGGGGCGGAAGAGACGTGTGCCCCTCCATTTGTTACACATCAAGAAGTTGCCAAGATCTCTTCATTTAATTAGGATGGCTATGCCGTTAGATATAGAGTCGTAATGCGCTTTCAGAATGCGTGGTGCATAAACCTAACGCTCTTCCGGTTGATCAACCTTACTGGTACGATGTTTTAATGCTGTAGTTCTAGCGGTGTCTTTATTCAACAAAGTTTACATGCTATAAACATGATAAAAGCATATGTACATCGTTCATGTTTGTAGTAATATCTCACAAGTCTTAAGTCAATTTATAAGCGTATCTGAATTTTTAACAAAACTCGTGTTTTAATGCAGTTTAAGATTAAATTATATTAAAATTAATATATATTTACCTGCCACGGAAAATCACCTGGATTTGCATCTCGACCACCAACAATATACGACGCTGCTATACTAGGGGTTGTACTTAATGCTGACTGACCACAGCTTTGTACCAATGCAGCTGTTAGTTTAAAAAACGTAACTATTTAAGTCTACTGAAACAAACTTTTATATCTATTACCAAAAAAAAAAAAAAAAAAAAAAAAACTAATCAAAATTTACTGGTATATAAAAAGTTGTTATGTGTCTCTGTGATACATGCATATTCATAATTAAGATTACAATTTAATTGCTCTGTTCTTAACGCAAAGTCTTACTTCAAGTTTAATACATAGAGCAACGAACTGTTAAGCATTTCTTAATGCATGTTACTCACAACATAAGAGAGAAATCAAGCAGCCTAAAACTAGTTCCGTCATTTTGAAAACTACTAAGGCAATCTTGCCACGCTCCGCTTTATATATATGACACTTATTTCGTTCACCCCCACAAATATTTTGAAATGTTATATTTCAACCAATAGGATATCATTTAGGAACTAGCACTATTTTGTAAATTAGTATAATAATTTTAGTTTTAGTCTTTCTCTGACGAGATGCTTTGTCCTTAGGTAAAGATAGGGCCCAGTTAATGCACATTGCTAAATTTCATAATATTAAGTTTATGATTTTGTAACGTAACATAATGTAAATCATTGATTCATTAGTCATGAACATTTAAGTGTTGTTGTTTTTATTTGTTGTTGTTTTTTATGCTGTGAAATTTGGTTCTTGTTGTTGGGTGGTAGCTGGAAGGTTGTGTCCGCTCGAGCTATAGTACGAAACACTAGAGCAATGATGGAGGCGGGGTGCAGGGAAGGGGATGCCCTGACCTTTTACACATATATGTATATGCTACAAAAATGTACAAAGTGAACATATAGATGTGAACAATTATAAACATTGAAAAGAAACTGTAACACTATTTTACCTGAATGTATTACCTAAGAAGGCTATTAACCTGACCAAAATTTGTGATAGTCGTACAATAGTATCCGCAAATTTGAGTTGGATTTTTGTATTTTTGTCACCATTTCTGAATTGGAAAAATATTTGAACCTGATTGTTACTTTATTTAACAATGCCACTATTTGTTCTTAATTAAAATGATGTTAACGTTCCATATTTTTTAAATTACTAATACAAGGTCTTAAATTTGTTTTAATGCAGGAGACATAATTAATCAACTTGTGGTCACAATATAACAGTAAATTTTAAGGGTTACGTACGAAAGGACATTACAGATAAGTCTGTTGTTTAGGTTATCAATCGCTGCGATTTAAATAACATCTCTCGACTTTCCAATGTTTTTGGCGCAAGAGATTAGAGAAATGGTCTATGTAATATGTGAAGTGCCTCAGCAGAACCATCTATACTCCATAAGTTAGCCGGATAGTTTTCTAGCATTAGAAAAAATCCGTGTCTGTTTTTGATAGAATTTAAACCATCTGCGATGAGGGGCAAATTATTCTATGTACGCCAGTCTGAAAGTACTGGAAATTTCAAAAAAGCTTACGTAAAGTGGAAGTACCCTTGTTAAAACAGTACCATAGTATTATGTTAATATAATTATGTTTACTGAAATTTTCATTATGGTTAACATTTATGTTTATTTTGTCATTGCATTTATAACTATTTAATACTATATTTTATAATATTATATTGTCTTTTGTACAATTATTTGATGTAAATATGTTTTTAAAAATGATGAGGTACATATGGAAGATCGTTTTGGCGAATATGTAGCCTCGTTAAAAAAGTAAAGCCTTTACTGTATTATTATTATTATTGTTATTATTATTAACGCAACAACTTGAATCGCTTGGCCAAACTGAAAGGTATAACTATATTAAAATTTTATAAAATGCCTCTGTAATTTAGGCCCGTATACTTCAATCTGCTTACAGCAAATGTCTGGTTGGATGCGATTTTACTTGTCATTGTACAAAAACAATGCCATAAGAACATTGGTGTCATTTGTTTAGATTTTGACAAGCATGTGCTTGAATTGGTCACTTGACTGACAATACTATAATAATGATTTGCATTCTACAATAACCATTGCTCTTTCTAGATTGACACACAGAGAAATAAGATCTCGTGGAGAACTGTGATTTCGCCTATAGATGAGCTGTATGAATTCAAAATAAAGTAGGTTACTAACGAATGTACAAGTTCTTTTGATAGACGGAAATAACGATGTTCGACACATGATTGCAATTTATATGATAAGAGAGGGGAAAAAGAATGTGATGATGTCATGAGATATTTTCACTATAACCAGATGTACAGGACACGAAACCTACTTTAAACTAATTTCTTATCTGAATTGGTCATGAGTTCATTGTTTGTCTTCATTTTATTGCGCAATGATCGAAAAATTTCTTTTGTTCCTTATTTTTTTTCTTTTAGAACGGAAATGCTCTTGTTATTGTTAAAAAACTTTTTGGTTAATAAATGATATGTTATTTGTATGATGGTTTATTTTATTAATATGTGTAATTGTGTTTGAATGCGAGATCTTTGATCTTTGTCATTATGCATGTTCTATTAAACGATTTCAAAATTGACCGAGTAATCTATTAAAAAAATATCTGATTTTTTCATATCTTTATCATCATTATGTATATGCACATACCTTTTTCATATTTCTTTTTACCTGAACCGCCTTTAATTAACATAAGATATTGCAAAACATTTAAGCCAATAAATATTATAATTTTGAAAGGAAATAAGTGTGTGTCATATTTTGTATTAATTTTGTATTGTATGACAACTAATGATTAATACATAATAAGTAAATCATAGACGGTATTTGTACTGTCGTAACTTAAATTACTACGACCTGTATTGGAAGAGCCATTGGAGGCAATTTGTAAGTCCGTAATGAAGGAACAGTACCAATTGAAAAGTACAAAAGATATGAGCCGCGCCATGACAAAACCATCATAATGAGTTTGCGACCAATATGGCTCCAGACCAGCCTGCGCACGAATAGTAGGATACTTTCTGTTTTGCCGAATGAAAGAATATCGGCAACAAGAGGACAGCCAGCTGTTTGGTATGTATCTTCCGATACATGAGTTCTGGTTATTTTTGAAACGAGTCCGTCCTTTAAAAATAACTGAACAAACAATCTCTGAGAATCTGAAGATGCGATGTGTGGAAGTTCTGACTGTCAATGTCAAGTTGAAAACATCCTAGGTAAAGCAATCGCATATGTACGAGTAGGAAAATGCGAATTTAAGTTTTTCTACCTTTCTTCAGAAATTTCTCTGTGTTGCAATATATATTTATTTACGTTTATTTATCTATATATGATTACATTAATGTCATTACCTTTGGTAACATATCTCGAATCTATGGAAATCCACACTACACCCCTGGTGTAGCACTATAATTTCTTATATAAATCTATTGCTGTCCTTTTCGTCGGCGCTTTGCGAAATTCCGATGAAGATGAACTAATGGTGTTCTCCTCCGGCGAGTCTTTCTTTAATTGACATGAAGAAGAACTAACAATAGCTAGTTGTTAAAGTGGACTCAAACTCATTTGAGTTGTCAAGGTAAGTTGAATCGCAATAAAAACTAATTTAAAAGATTGTGTATTATATGACAAATGTATGAAATATAATAAAATGAAAAGAAAAATTTACAAAAATAAAAGATGTAAAAGATTGCCCACCGTTCTTCGAGCATTACAAAAGTTCCTAAGAATATATACCGAAAAGTTATTTGGGGTTATCATCGATTAAATTAAAGTAACACAAAAAGAAGGATTATATATATTAAATAAAACACCGGAAATCGTTCGACTATTTAGTGATAAAGATACCGGTTATTTGGCATTTGCGTTTTATATTTTACTTGTAAGACCAATTTTCGAAAGAGGGAAACAATAGACACAACTGGTGTCCTTATTCAGGACGAAACGATGCAGGTAAAGTACTTAAGCATGTACTGAATTGCTTTATGAAATCTCTTTACTGAAATCAGACATCTTAAAGCGTGATCAAGATAAAACTATTTAAAACCCAGATTGTTGTACATGTATAAACATGGTTTTCGTGACTGAAAGGTCATTTACTCTTGTATCAGGTTGACCTAGTTTATATTTCATCAGTGTTGAAAATGAACAGTCTTTGCGCTATTAACATTTTGGAATGAATACTTTTATTAAATGTCAAAAAACCTTTTGAATTTGGAAAAAAGCTCAAATACACGTCTTTTGAAACAGAAAGTGATTTTCCATTGCCACCAGTGTAGTGCTAGACCAGCCTGCCCATCCGTGCACGTGTAACTAGGTTCTATACTGCTGATATTATAATCCAAGTCTGGAGGGACAGATTCATTACACAACTTCAACAGACGAAACATTATGTTTGTACAACAATATACTTTATATTAGACGAATGCTGACGTAATCATGGGACAAATACTTGATAGTCAATTTAAATTTCTATCACAGGAAAGGAAGAAAAAACACACCGAGCACACAGCAACACCACAGCAATTATAATAACAACATTAAATGGTGAACGAATTTTTTCCATGTTTTTAATTGATTGGTCATCATCATCGTTGTTCAAAAACTCTCCGAATGGAGAGAATATAGTCGCCGCCTTGTCCGTCTGTCCTTTTTTTAAATTAAATGAAACACTTTAGTGTAGTGCAAAAGAACCAAAACTCTGCATTGCCATAATGTTAGAGTAATTGCTCTTTGTTATTTTTCACGTTGAACTTTGTCCGGGACATAGCTCTTAAACTAGAAGAGATATCAACAAGTAACTGCGTAGGTATAAATCTCATTGGATAAAGTGCAGTACAAAAGAACCATAACATGCCTTCCCTATTTTCGGAGTTATTGCACTTTGTTCATTTTTTCCCTTGATCTTTGATCCCTTTGAACCGCAAAAAAAGACCGACAGTTAAGTGATACTTAAAGTATCTTATAGATGGTAGGGCGAGATATATCAAAAGGATCTTTGCTTCAGGAAAAAGTTTACTTGATTGCCAACTTTCCATAACATGCTGCCTCATAAAATTGTCGTTTTAAGGCATCTTTGTGGTAGAAACTTAAAAAAGTGTCAAATATCTTTAATTGTCTTTAAACCTTGTAGCACTGTTTTTGACCATCTGTTTGACATAGCAGGCAATTGCCAAGAATACATCCTAAGGTTCTTAACTTCTGTTTTGTTAAAGACCACATACTTTTTATTATTGGGTTAAATGTCTTTTTCCTAAAACAAATGGGAATGAAACAAATCTGCAAAATAAATGATTTCTGGTTTAAATCTAAGGCCTGATTGAAACACTTTGAATAGGTTCTCACAAATTGAAATCCTTCTAAGGAATTACAAAAAGTAAATTGAGAATATTGCAGACTGGTTGCAAAAATAATGCAGAAATGAATAAATACAAAAAAACTCATCCAAAAAGGCAAGGGTAGTTGCATTTGAATATATCACAACATGTTGCAATGGGAATGTTTAGTACATTTGTATTGGAGAGATGGATGCATAACACTAATAGCCCGTTATCTTTAAATCTTGACCATTAAAATGACCGGAATATAACACGATGCCAACCATTATTTCAACTTTAAAAGGTCATAATACGGTCATTGTCGCCCTCGTTTTTGTGTATAAAACCCGCATCGAATAGGTCAAACATTTACTTGAAAACAAAAGGAATAAACATGAGGCTTTGCATTCTTTTAAGTTTGATTTATGGTAAATAGACTTGTTTTATTCAAAGAGACTGTTAAAAGTATTAATTATTTATAATTTGAGCTATATCTGTAAAGTGTTTTCGATGTTTACATTCCTTTAGCTTTTAATGATGTTCTTTTACACCTTCAGAACAAAACAAAATGGATTTAACCTGCTTTCATTTTTATAACTTTTATATTATCGGTTTTAGTTGTGAGATCCCAGAGTTGTGGGCAAACCTCATTTAATCCAACACCTAGAGTTGCACAAAGTTATATAGTTGGTGGAGCATTTGCAAGCGAAGGCGATTTTCCATGGCAGGTATAAGATCAATTATGGATTTATAACCACGATCTTCATGATAAATTATTTCTTATAAAATATTGCATTTCTTTTTCATAGGGTTAATATCTATAAAGAAGTTCCCATAGCTTACTATTCATAATGACAAAATAACAGCAAAAAAAAAAAATGCTACGGATGCTGTTCCACGAGAAATTATTTATTTTAACAGCATTCGATCTTTTCTAAGGCATTAAAGAAGCTTAACATAAGCTTTGTATTTTATGCAACTAAATAATGAAAATGTCAATACTTGTTCTTTAGTCAAATAATTCGACTGATTCAAAATGAAAAGAATGAGACACAAAATGGAATAAAAACAAAAAGAAGAACAAAAATTAAAATGTTTATACTGCATGGGAGATTGGGTTTGGGAAGTGTTTTGCTTTTTTTATAATAATCTGGGTATTGTCGGCAACTCCAGCATTATGTGCTAGGTACTTGGAAACTAACCTATCAAACGACCCAACAACACATTTTTCTCCTTTTTTCAAGAATATGTATCTTAATAGTTTAAATTGTTCTTTTAAAAAAATAATTAAAATATCAATAATGTGATGGCTTCAAATTTATTTGAAAAAATCATGCGATTAAACTATTTCTATTTTGTTAAAGGTAGGGCTGATCGAGAATGGATACCTGATTTGCGGGGGAACCTACGTGTTGGGAAATGATGGTACCGTTAAAGTAGTTACAGCCGCCCATTGCATAACGTACGACATTTTATATAAAAATCAAATATTTCTGAATAATTAATCCATATGAATTTTCAGTATTCTTTTTTCTCGTAAATTACAAATTAAAATATGCCAAGTTTACAATGTACATGTGCTAACTGAAAATGATTTGTTTTCTCCATTTAAGGGGCAAAAATGTCAGGCCTGGGGATTACAGAGTTGCGTTTGGGATGCACATTACAACTTCTCCAGGCACTAGACAAATAATTGACGCCACATCGGTAACGCTCCACAACGGATACAATTCAAACACAATGGCCAATGATATCGCCGTTTTAAGTAAAGTTCTTCTTTGAATGTGTTTACATGTATAATACTCGTATATATGCTACACCTCATCTGAAATGACAAGGCATTGCTTAATATAAATCGATGTGATGGGTTGACCTAATTTAGTAATGTTTTATCATAAAAGTTCTTTGACAAAAACTCGACGTTCAAAGTTTTTTGTAAAAGAGCATATGAATTATGCTAGCCAAATCATATAGTACATAGTAGAAAGGAAAAAAGGACTGTTTTATTGTATATCTTCTGGTTGGACAAATTTACAATATTTTGAATCGGGAGTCTACAGTACACTCGTAAAAAGAATTGTGCACATGTATGTATTTTCTGATTTAGGGAACGTGTGGTCGTGTGATTGACTTGAAAATTTCATTGTACCTTAATAATAGGCCGAAACATGGCACCGTCATCAGATACATGGGCTGACCATCTGGCTTCCCATATAAATGTGCTCAGGTATATACGTCACTAGCGTCAGAACCAATGAGTTAGCATGCATACACTTTATTCGGCAAAGATGCACTTCTGCATCAAATTTCAATTGAATTCATAGTTGACGGTTTCGAAATTGAAGAGCATTTCATATGTACATGTACTTACCGCAGAAGCGAATTTCTTTTATCTTAGGTTTTGGTAATCTGACACCGGCCGATATTGCAACAACTTTTGCGGCACCAGCATGTTTGGCTACCCGGGCTTATTTTGATAACGAAGACGTGCTTGTATCCGGATGGGGTACCACAAGTGAAGGTAGAAATGTTTATAACTTAGTGTACATCATAAGTAAACAAAAACAAGTACTTAAACGATAAAATTTACATTTAGTACATGAACTACTGCAGACACGACAAATTTACATTTGGTTTCATCTTCTCTAACATTTGTTCTATCTTTTCCAAGGTGGATCATCTTCATCGGCCTTGAAGTATGTCTGGAAAACAGCCATGAGCAGATTCCGATGTGAACAAACAAACAATGGAGGCAATTTAGATGATACAATGATGTGTGCTGGAGAAGCCGGCAAAGACGCTTGTCAGGTTGCTTGGAATTCTTTTTTTATTGCTACCATTATGATCCGTTTAGAGAAAAGATAAATCTCTTAAACCTTTTTTTGTATTCCACGGGTCCAATATTTTAATCAGCAAAGTAGAATGCATATTAATTATTACGTGTATGTAAAGACATTATATATTTCGAAAACAATTCCAATGTCGAACAAAGTGGTTATAACACGTTGTTCTTTATATTTTAGGGAGACTCCGGTGGACCACTTGTTGCATACAGAAATAATGCATGGGAACTTGTAGGTATGGCTGCAGTATTTCTTGACATCTTATGAAGCATTGTATATATCGCCTCAATCATTTGATTAACAGAAAAATAACAACAAAACGAAGCAACTACAAATTAAACATGAAATGGACTTAGTGTGACGTGTTCCCAAACACATTTGCCTTTGTTTTATTGTTCTATTTTTATTTTTAGTGTATATTTGCATGTATAAAGTCAGTAAAATATGGTTAAAGTATAACAAATTAAATCACAGTCAGGTAGTACTATAGGAATATACACACACCGACATTTGTTTCAGGTTATAAAGCTATACATGCCTATCATCATTTCAAATGATGTCAATAAAAAGTGTTTATATATACTCTTGTACCTACTCTGAACACTAATCTCCTTCCAAAGTCATCTATAGAGTTTAATAAATAATTGAATTGTATTTTGCAGGTGTTGTCAGCTGGGGATTTGGCTGTGCAAGAGAAAACAGCCCCGGAGTTTATGCAGATGCTTGGTACTTTAGAAACTGGTTGGCGCAAAATTTGTAACTATATTAGTGTTTCGTTAAGTTTTGTTATGGTTTGGAGATGGACATTTTGTTATTTGTTACACTTCAAAACTGTATTTATGAATAAAGTTATCATAAAGTTTTAATTGAAGACTTGTTATGATTGTTAAATGACAAGTTAGCATGAACCTTCGAAAAATTGGCCAAATGCACGAAAATGTGCATGTATCTTCATACAAAAAAACTTTCGATATTTTGATATTGATTCAGCATTCTTTCACGTGTTCCTGTAACTCATTTCGAGAGCGTCATTAAAACGTGCAAAAAGGTGAAGAATCACAAAACTTAAATGAAACTGGTCAGTGGTTCTAGTCATTTCTGTTATGATAAGTAATACATTTCTTATAAAGTTATCCACGGCATCTCTATGCGGGCAAATGTTTTTACTTCTAAAATGCAAAAGTAATATTGCCAGACATATTGCCAGTAATATATTAAGTCTTGAACAGTCTGTACTCCCGTGCAATCTGGTCGGGTAGGACACTTGCTGACTGCACAAATTTAATGTGTTGACAGTGCCATAAGTCTTTATTCTCCTTATCTTCTATTATAAGGATTTTTTCCAGCATAAATGCCTCCAGTTATTTCGCTAAGTAATCCGAAAACGACAAGGATGTTCACCTACGCTTTAAATTGATACATCACTTGAAATGTGTATACCGCTTGACAAACATTTCTTACTAGTTAATTGTGATACAATATGGTTTGTAAAAGACCAATGTGCACCGTCGATATATTTACGTTGTTTGCTTGGCGCATCGTGTAAAACAAAAACATTTTTGTAATATATTCCGTTTATATGTATTATAAATTTACGTTTTGTCCGATAATTATTCTTTGAATGACGAATTTCTAGTGAGGGCTTGTTTGTACAGAAGATGAAACTGTTGCACTAGGTCGCGACCAAGAACAATGTTTGTCAATATGGGTGTTACGATAAATGAAAAAGTTTACGCGTAGTTAAGATAAACTGTTTTGTACGAACGACCGGTGGGGCCATTTCAATTCATGAATTCCTGATTTCATCTTCATTAATTCACAAGTTAAACTTCGTAAATTCCCGTTTTCAACATACGGAATTCACGAATTCACGATTTCGGCTCTCAACTTCACGAATTCACGATTTCAACTTCATGAATCCACAATTTCAACCTCATGAATTCACGATGTCAACTTCAAGAATTCAACTTCGTTAATTCACTTGAAGCTGAAATCGTGAATTCGTGAAGCTCACCAAGTTGAAATTGTGAATTTACGAAGTTGAATTCGTGAAGTTGAAATCGTGAATTCATGAAGTTTAAATTGTGAATTCATGAAGCTGAAATCGTAAATTAGTGAAGTTGAAATTGAGAATTCATGAAGCTGAAATCGGAAATTCATGTTCTTTCTTCGTTTTGTAAATAGCTAGTAGTGCTGTTATCTCATAAGATGCAGGCTCATACAAATCCCAATCATTGTTATTTTTTGAAAAATAGGAAGATCTGTGCCAAATGGTTTCCGCTGAGAGATGAACATAAAAAGGCGCACGTGTCCACTCTACATCTATCTACCCGCTTGTCTCTCAATCTTAACAATACCTATAAGGCCGGAAGATTGTTTGGCACAAACACTTTGCTTCAGCAATATCTTTCCAGTGGCGTTTTAGCGTTCTTGTCACAGATTATGGAAATGTGTTAAGGATCGAAATAGATGACTTCATATTGAATGGTAATTGACCAAGTTAAATATGATGCCAAGTATTTGATTAAATAGAACACAAATCATGAATCAATATTTTTGAAACTCAACATGAAAATCGAAATATTGTTATCACGTTGACAGTGTCAATAATAACGTCCTCTTGTCACCAATATATAGACAGGCTGGCCGGTGAATCCGTACAATATGTTGAGAGATTGAAGTTAAAAGATTGTTAAAGATAGATTGAAACCTAGATTAGGTGTAAAAGTATTTTGTATGTGTATGTGAAATGCATGTATGAGTACGTTACATTGACATTTGTACAATATTGAAACAAATTGGTTTATTTACATATTGGTCATTTTTCAATTATATAGTCTCGACTTTGCATTTTTGGCAGTCCGTAAAATACAAATAATAAGAATCCCTAAAGAAAGTCCAAAACAACATAAATAAAAATGTTGCAGGCTTGGTTTGATTGAGCCTGTTCATGGACGGTACTGTCAAGTGCAAACTAACGTCCACGCCCCCTGACATCGGCTTTAGCAGAATTCAACATTTAAACATGAAATGGCAAAATTTGTCTTTAGAAACATCCTAAGATGTGTTCATACGGAGATTATTATGAAACCTTCAATGTGCCCCGCCCGAAACGAAATAACAATGGGCGGAAATAAAACAAAATGGAATTTTAAAAAGTGATCAGAGATTATGAAACCTGCATGGGTGATTCATCATTATTCAAGCTTGAATATTCGAACCGTCTTTTACAAAATGTCTTCCGGATTCTATTTTAGGTGACGTTTTAGAATTTTCCTTTCCATGCCTGTAAAAACACTTAATAAATTCCATGAAAATCCTTCAAAACTTAAAAACGATATGGTGCAAATGTGAAAATGTTGTGAATGACCTCCAACGGCGAATCGAAAATAGTATATGCCCAGACGTTGATCTTTTATAAGTTGTGTTTCATGTCGTTTAAACACAGCATAGTTCAAACGGTGACGGAAGAATCCAGACTTTGAACAAGAAAAGCATTGATGCAAAGCATCAAAGGCGACGCCAAAAAAAAAAGGATCAAGTTTTGCACCTAAATACTTTACAAAAGATGTGTAATTTTTAGCAGTACCATTACATTTGAGCTGGAGGCTAGGCCCACTTTAAGTTGAAAGACAAGATGCAAAGACAATTTTAAGTCAATAAACAAATCACTAATAAAAGTCATGCCATAAGAGAGAACTTTTTAAGACTTATTTTACCAGAAACAAGGATACCCGAGTCATCAGCATATAATACAAGCTTATTGCTTATGGTTGCAGACATGTGATTGACATATATTAGACATAAAAGAGGACCTGAACTCGAATCTGTGACCCACAGAATAATGTATCGCGGCTGTAGCGATTGAGCTATCTGGCCGCTTACACATTTTCTCCCCTAAATAGTGAATAGTTCTTAACCATGAACGATACTTTTAGTTTTTTAATTAACAGGTAGATTAATTCTTAATCAAACAAATAAGAAAAAACTTACATACTCATAGTCTTAATCAAAATAACGATTTATATATTGTATAATTATTTCTGCTAAAACGGCTTATACACTCATTAGTTGTGCCATTATTTATAACAGGTCAATTTTAAAGTGAACATAACTGAACTAATAAATATACAATATCTTTTTTTTGTAGATAAAAAATCTAACCTTTTTCTTTGATAAGAAATTTTATGGAGGCTGATTTTTATTTTACATCAGAGGGCACCGGGCAACAACATGAAATACAACAAACGAATCACTTTGTGGTAGATTGTATTTTCATATTTTCATCTGGCGCCCGGTTACTTTTTGTACTTTGTCGGTTTTCATGTGGCACAGATCACCCACTATAAATTTTAGTGCACAAATTTATTCAAGTGCAAGTAAAAATCTACTCTATGAAAAGTCTGTAGTTGGGTTGACTCTGGGCATTGTATATCAAATGTTTAATTGGTAACTTCAGGATGTTATCATTTCTCTGTTTCAATATATGGACATGAACACCTACATGCATAGCTTTAATTTTCCAACTTTCGTTTTTACCAATGAAAGGTTATTTTATTAACAATTTATATACAAACATATAGAAAATAATAATTAGTTTGACATAGTGATTAGACGATTCCTGTAGCACAATACCTGTAGGTATGTACTAACTGAACAAACTAGAAAATCCAGTATACGGTATATCAAGCTGTTAAAAAAATCCATAAATATTCACTCCTCAGGGCCTCTATGCCTTTGTTGACCTTACAACTGGTAAATTTTATACAACAAAAATAGATAGTAATACCTAAGATAGACAGAAAAGAACAAATAATTTAGTAAACCAGAGTTACTTTTCCTTAAAATAGAGAAAATCTGAAACCCACAAGAACACCCTAAACAGCAAAATTATGAAATTTTGCTAGCTCAGTTTTATTGAGCCACGCAAAGTAATGGTAAAGTATTCATAAAAAGTTAGATGGATATGTGACAGCAGTAATTGCAGAAAAACGGATAGCTTTCAGCATCCGGATACTGGTACACTTTGTAAAAACAATCATTCTGTGCAAATGATAAACTTAAAATGGATAAAATCAATAGGATAATCGTTTACAACAGTTCAATTACCAATCTTTATACTCATTTTCAGGTGAACGTTCTTCTTGTGAGAAAATTTTCAAAAAAAATGTAAATGAATGAAAAAGAATACGGCATCAATATAGACCACAACGATATTCGAAATCCGGGTTTTAGTATTGCCAATAAAGCTAAGGAACAAGCTGGTAAACTGAGCTTGCAATTTCTTGAAAATAATATCACAATATAATATTGAACAAATAACAAAACGCATCAAACATGCCTCTGGTTCATTTTCAAAATATTAATTCAGTACATGATCAAAAGAAGATGATGTTTTATTATTTTTCAGTGAAGTAATAGCTTAAAATATTTCTAATACAGAAAACGCAAATCAAATCAGTGGTATTTGACGAGACATTAGCTATATCAAAGTCAGCAATATCATCCCGAATGTCAACCTTATACAATTAAATAAAAGGTTAAAAAAAACTCAATTGTTACTTTAGTAACAATTTCCTCCCTATCACCTGAATATGTGTTCCATAGACTCTAGGACGTAATGATTAAGGATCTTTGTTTTTAAGCCTTTTAACCATATTTTTCTGAAATGCTCTCTCCATTAAAAAAAAACAACAGAAAAAAAAGAAAGAAAAAAACAGACAAATTAACGACATAAAATATATACGCAATTTCTACTTTCAGTTATTTTTGTATTATATTCTGGATACTTAGATACGGCTTAATTCAGCGAAAAATATAAATTAACGAAACTAGTTAAAACATTATTAATACTCTTTTTACTTATATACTAACAAAATTGCCTATAATTTAAACTGATCATGAGTGTCAAGTGACCTATTATGAGTCTGTGGCCCGATGCCGAAAACTCATAAACATAATCGGCCCGCTGTGCGTGCACAAACTAAAACAATGACGTCACATTTTTCTTCATCAAAACAGCTAGCTGTCAAAGTCAAAGTAGGTTATAAGCACGAATCGCTTGGTTGTATGGTAAGAACTTAAGCATATGTTTATACAAACACAGTTTTACTAAAAAAAAAAGACTTTACAAGTATATTGTCTGTTGTGATTAATTTTTCATTGGTGACTCTATATGTACTTACATAAAAGTTTATAATAAAATTTAAAAAAAATTTAGATCTATATAATATAAAAGAGTGAAAAAATCAGGAGCAAAAACTGTATTATGAGTAAGTTGAATGTTAAAACCAAATTTACACTAACTGATAAACTGATTTTAATTTGATAAAACGTGCAATCACGTTCCACTTCTTCATATCTCGCGTGCTTGGTTGCAAATTTCATGTCAAATGTCAAACCAGTCTGACCCTGTCTTGAGACGTAGGTTATATAAAGGGAGCGCGAAAATGGAATTTGCCTAATTTACTGTAGTTTGGTTGATTTTACTGGACACCTTTATCAATGGAGTTGTACGTTGCCGTTTTATTGATTGGGTTAATTCATTCTAGTTACGGTAGGTCTTTGTTACACCGCATACAAATAATATTATAATGATCTATATAATAAAATAGATTAATTCTGAAATCATAGGAATACATAGTTACAAAAATGAACGTAAGAAAAATATTTCTCAATATATAACTCCATCTAAGGTACCTTTATTTCAATACAGTAGAGCGTTGGGCTATTCGCTCTAACTTGTATACAAGTTACATGTTCCCTGCAGCACTTAAGGCAACTAGAACAGCCCTACACATCGGTGGCTCTTTCACATTTTTGGGATCTGTTTAAATGAGAGCCAGCGACACTTCCGTTGTAAAGCAATCGACCGAAATAAAGCTAAAAAAGGTAAGTACGGTTTATAAAAATATCCGATTTAAAAGAACTTGCTTGTTTTTCAAGAAATTGAAGAATGCTATGCCAAGTAAAGGGCTATACAAGGAAGTGTCGAAGGCTCCATTTAAACAGGTCACCAAAATATGAAAGAGCCAGCGCTTATTGTGGGTGTAGTAATGGTTAACTGTAAGAGAGCCTGCCCTGGAACGATACGGCATCTATATTTTTTTAATAAAGATAAGGAAATATAAACTCAGTCCATCCGAACACACGCTAAAATATCATGGTGTAAAGCTTAATACTAGCGTAATGTATATAAAAACAACAAAAAAGCAATGATACTAAATAAAAAATAAAAGAATTAATAAAATGAAATAAGTAAATAAATAAATAAATAAATATTAAATAAATAAAAATAGAAAATAACATTTATAATTAAGTTATTTTCAATTTTAACTAATATATCAACTTTGAAGGACCTATTAATAAATAATGACATTTTATTGAAAACATATGGCATTAATGTAAGCAGAACAAAAAACTGTCCCATGTTAAAGAATGTTTAACAATGATTTCGCTCTTATGCCGCTCAATTATCGGGTATCACACATGTTAATAGTCTTACTGCTCACAGGGGATTAAAAAGCAGAAACAAGTTAAATAAGCCTCGAAGCCTTGCACTTTTTCATTTTCCCTCGTGAACAGACTCAATCATGTATACAATTTTGAAATCATATTTTTGTTGTCAATGCTTCTGGAAAAATTTCCAGATGTTTGCAGATACATGTATAAAGGCCGCCGTAATAGACAGGTTATAACAAATTGTATGCGTTTGAGCAATACGATTTAAAAGAGATTAAAGCTGCCACGTCACAGTATTGCCAGTGAAAAAGATGTACACAATTTAAGGTGCAAGTTATTTAAGTTCCCTGTCCCTTTTGTCACACGGTCACTGGAACATTAAAAAACACACACACACGAAAGGATGCAGAAGGTGTGCATTAGTCACGCTTTTACCCATGATATTTGGCGCTTTAAGCAATTTCAAGCTTCGGAAATATGCTATGTCACATGACCTTAGTCCCTGTGACTTTTCTCAATATCCAGCTCAAGGGAAATGCTTTCTGGAGACAATTTCAAGTCTCGAAGTTCTCTTGTACCGGTATCACTTTTTTCTCTGAGCAAAAAAGCTTCAATCTGTTGACATATAGGCAATACAAAACAGCGTGTTGAAATTAAAGCATTTAAGAATAGAAACCAACTCTACACAAGCACACAAGTTAATTCAAATTTGAAAAAAAATAGCCGCGCTAAGACAAATTTAAGAGAGGCATGTTTAGGAAATGTATTCCGACTTTTACCAAACGTTGCCAATACAGCCATTTGGCAAAGGAATGATAAAGAATAGTAGACGTCATAGATGAAATGCGTGAATTTAACTTGTCCTAGCAACAGTAAAAGGAAACCCTTACAGAGAAATGTGGAATAAAAATTAAGTCTATCTAATGCAGTTACCAGTGAAATGCATCGGCTTATCTATTCATTGTTAGTACAGGAAAGACCAGTTACTAATATAACTGCTGAAAAAACATTTGATATACTTTATCTTCATAAACATTGACAAAATTCTGAAGGATAAATACTGGAAAGGTATTTTATCTGTTTGACGAGATAGAATTGCTGTGAAATGTCAAGATGGTACACGTTTACCTTCTTTCTAAAAACACAATTCAAAAATAGCATTTTCATGAAAATGTTCTACCATCTTAGCATTTAAGTACAAATTCATTTGAACAACATGCACGAACACTCAGTTTAGCATGTGCGCTCGTCAAAGAGAAATGCAAATAGCTATAAATTCTAATATAAATGGACGGGACCTCGTATTTGAACTCCATGTTGATCTACCGTAAATATCAAATTCAAACTGAAACAGATAACAAAAGTTGGAATGGAAAAGAATACTGAAATAAAATTTGAATATATGTTTTGTCATATTCGATATTCGATAACATTCGAATAATCTATTTAATACTATTATAAGTTACGTACAGTGGTCATCCGGAATTTAATATTCGGCTTCCACTACCATTTAGTATGCTCAGTAATGTGTCCATTTCGTGTTAAGTTACTAGGTAAAATTATATGGAGAACCAAAAGTTGTTTAAGCAAACAACATTGATGATTGTATTTCATATATAGGCACATACGTCGTATTTAATTCACTGATAGTTTATCTTAAACATGCATTTAAAAAAGTCATAAATATTATTCGTAAACATTGTGTTTGAGAAGTGTTTGAAAGAGAAGCAAAATTAGATAACTACATTTACTTCAAAAGACATTTTTAAAAAAATGAACATGATTTACATTTTATACCGGGAGGTACTTTGAACCGGGAATGTCAAGATATTACAAACTATACTTACATAAAAAATTTCTTTTGTATGCAAGTGTTTTTCACATTAATTTCATACAAAATATAGCATTTTTTGAAGAAAATTCAAAGTTTTAATAACCCTATTCACATAAACGTGTTTTACGTATAAAACCAGTAATATTGCTAACAATTGGGACCCATCATGATATTTTGAATGTGTGTGCAAATGCTTATCAAATTATTACCCTTTTACTGTGTGATAACTGATAAATAATGAATAGAACTTCAGTATCATTTACAGTAATGGACCATTTACATATGTTTTTAACTTTTTATTGATTGCTTAAATGTCATTCCTGGTATTAAGTACTTAAAAACAAAAATGGCTGCCACTCATATGAGGTTATAAACAGAACTATCTTTTTATGTATAGGATCGTTATTTGTTAGAATATCATGGCATTGTCGTACTCGCAAAATATCAAACATCCGATAGAGGCATGATAATTTGTACACTATATGTTACTGTTGTCAAAAGAATTTCAATGATTAAGAATGGATGTTCGAGATATTTTCAAACATATCTGTTCGGGAATGTTTTTTGACTAATTATGAATAATTCGGTAACGAAAAATTGTTTTAATTAATGAATTTAGGAGCGTAAACATAACGTTAATACCGGCAAACGGTGAGACAATTTTGAACGTAGTAGTAATACACGGATAATTATTAAAACGAACAAAAGATATGAAACATATCACATTACTTGCCCCTACAATTTACAAAATGCGTAATGATGCTACCACACCCGACAATTTTTCATGGTAATTCCCTTGTAAATTGGACCATTATGGTACGCAGTAAGCAAACACTTTTAAAGTTACCATTTGGTTTTGCACGATTAGCAAGCATAGAGATTTTAGAAGAATACCCTTTGCAGATCGTCAAGATGTAAAAAAGAAAATAAATGTTTCTTTTCAAAACGAATATCGAATCAGAATTTTATATTTAAACCTAAGGCATATTTTCGAATATAATGTATAAGATTACACGTTTCCATCCCTAATAAGAAGGAAACTTTATTCGTTTCGTAGGCTTAATGATTGATTAATGATGCAAAAACCGTCAAAGTGGTTTAGCCTGTTATTAAAATATGAGCACACCGTTTCCCCCTTGATAATACTAACATGTGATAGTTTAAACGTATATATTTATATAAAAAAACAACATATTTCATGCTTTTATTATCTCAACAAAGGGATCGAATGTGGGCTAACTAAATCAGGGATCAGCAATTTCATTGTTGGGGGTGTCGACGCATCTGAAGGACAACTCCCATGGCAGGTGAATACAGCTTATTGTTTAATACATTTCAAAATAGCATTCATTGAATATAAGGCGTGAATGTGTTATTGCTTTTTTTTGGAAAAGATATATACTTGGTATATACTGTTGCAATAATGTGGTCTTCTTTACCTGTTGCATATTACACACTCTGAGTAAGGTAAAAGCATAAGAGATGCAATCATTTAAGTCACAGTCAACAAGATGAAAATATATTAAAAAAAACGTCAGTATATCATACACATTCAAAAAGATAATACCATTTGAATATTTTCAAAATATGATTGAAGTAAAAGACGCTACGATGAATTGGATTGTGTACAATGCGAAAGAACTTTATTGTTACATCTGACTACGTTTAAAAGGTTGTATCATAGTTCAGAGACTTTACTATATAAAACGTGTCAGAGTTAAGTCGTATATCAATACATGCACAATATTCAGATGTTCGTGCATTGATTTCTTTTTTCTGGGGTTTCATATTGTTACGATAGGTAACGTGTTTTTATTTTTGCCTATGATGCATCAACTCGGCAATCTGATAGATACTCGAGGGCTAAGCCCCCTCGTACAAATCAAATCGCCGCCTCGTGTTTTGATTTTCTATCTTTTACTTTTTTGTCAATGAGGATGCACCGTGAGTGTCGCACAAGTATGCTACTGAGGGCGTTAAACATAGGCTAGCTAAGAATGCTGTCGCTTGATATTCTTTTTAAGTATTGACTTGAAGTCTCTTTCGTATCTTCTTAAAAGGTCGGATTGCAAGTTAAAGCCAGCGGCAATTCATGGGCAATGATATGTGGAGGAACACTTGTCACCGACGGTAATGCTTTGAGGGTCATCACTGCTGCCCATTGTTTGAGGTATGAAAAAACACGTTTTTTTAAATAGCGGAGACTTTACTGGATGGGCTTTAAGTATGGAGAACTTAAGTCAATGATAATTGATATTAGTATTCTACTAGTCCGTTTCTTGTTCATTAAATGTACATGTCCAGATTATTTATTGCATTTACTATGATACTTTATAGGTGATGCTGTATACTATACCAATTACAATATACAGTATGTAACGGTTCTTTCTGCAAATAAAATTATTTCAACTAAACATGTTATTTCATATATACATAATAGACAAACAAGAATGAAATTTATCATATAATTTTCGACGTTTCTCGAGCGTTCATTTAATTGTGTACATGTAATGGTCTGAAAAAAGAAATGACGTCACAAATATATATTTTGAAACTAAAATATGAATAAAAAATTAACGTTATCAATGTTCCAGTATTTTGAACGTTTGTCAGGTACCAGTCATGCTATTTTATGTATGTAACTTTATGGCGCCGTTATATGTCGCAACTGCCCCTCACCGCTGTGGGTTCGAATCCCGACAGGGACTTTGGATTCTTTCATGTGAGGAAGCTATTTAGTTCTACGGTGGTGCCCGTTCGTGCCTGAAATAATGCACGGAAGGGCACCTGAGGTCTTCCTCCACCAGTAAAGCTGGAACGTCGCGATATGACCTATACTGTGTCGATGTGACGTAAAACCCAAAACAAAACAAATAAGAACCGGTTGAACCGGGTGATGTTCCCCGAGAAGGTTCTGGGCACAGGAAAGTATAAAAAAGTTAACAAAGGGCAAAATCTCCAAAATTAGGCAAAGCAGAGTTATGTTTTTTTGCACTGCAATTCTATTCAATGAGATCTATCTATCTATAAAGTTTCCTGATGATATCAGAGTTATGTCCCGGGTAAAAGTCAAAGTGTAAAAATGAACAAAGGGCAATAACTCCAAAATTAGACCAGTCTTTGTTTAGGTTCTTTAAGCATTGCAGTTTTATCCAATTATATCTAGCTACCTACAAAGTTTCATGTTGATATCTCTAATAGTTTTAAAATAATGTCCAGGACAAAAGTCAAAAAATAAAAATAAACAAAGGGCAATTACCTCAAAAGGCAAGGCAGAGTAATGATTCCTAAGCACTGCACTTCCACCCAATGAGACCTATCTATCTACAAAGATTCATATTGATATCTCTTATAATTTAGAGTAATATCCCAGACAAAGCTCAAAGTGTCAAAATGAACAAAGAGCAATAACTCCAAAAGTAGGCAAGACAGTGTTACAGTTCTTGTGCACTGCAAAGTTTCTTGTTGATATCTCTTATACATTAAGAGTTATGTCCAGGACAAAGTTCAAAGTGTAAAAATAAACAAAGGGGGATAATTCAAAAATAAGGCAAGGCAGAGTAAAGGTTCTTGTTCACTGCACACCTACTCAATGAGATCTATCTACCTACAAAGTTTCATGTTGATACCTCTGTTACTTTTGAGTTATGTCCCGGACACAGTTAAAAGTGTAAAAATAAACAAATGGGGATAATTCAAAAATTAGACAAGGCAGAGTTACGGTTCTTGTGCACTGCACACCTACTCAATGAGATCTATCTACCTACAAAGTTTCATGTTGATACCTCCTATACTTTTAGAGTAATGTCCCGGACAAAGTTCAAAGTGTAAAACAAACAAAGGGGGATAATTCCAAAATTAGGCAAGGCAGAGTTACGGTTCTTGTGCACTGCACACCCACTCAATGAGATCTATCTACCTACAAAGTTTCATGTTGATACCTCTTATACTTTAAGAGTTATGTCCCGGACAAAGTTCAAAGTGTAAAAATAAACAAAGGGGAATAATTCAAAAGTTAGGCCAGGCAGAGTTACGGTTCTTGTGCACTGCACACCTACTCAATGAGATCTATCTACCTACAAAGTTTCATGTTGATACCTCTTGTTGTTTTAAAGTTATGTCCCGGACAAGAAAAGGGGACGGACGGACGGACGGATGGAAAGACGGACAGACGGACGGACGGACAAAGCGGCGACTACATGCTCCCCCGAAAATTTTTCGGGGAGCATAAATATATGTCACAACCCCGCTAAATGTCCCACTTGTCGCTCACTGTTGCACAATTGTCGCTTAATGTCGCAACCGCAGCTATATGCCGCAAAACTGTCTGCCGTTAAATGTCGCAATGGTAACGTTAAAAAAATGAGATTGATCGATGCGATATTTCTTTTACAGTGGTACACGGCCAGACGCTTACAGGATTGTTTTCGGATTGCATCTGAGAAGTCAACAGAATAGTAACCTTGCTAAAATTGTGCAGAGGTCGCCGATAAAGGTTGTCCCACATTCCGGGTACAGCAGTAATACACTGAGAAATGACATCGCCGTGTTTGGTAAGTAGACGTTCCATTTTTTGTTTGTAATATTATCTAAAAAGAAAGACAATCATCTCCTTTTGTGCTTGACTAAAAGCAACATTAACGGAATAAGAGACTTAAGTACTCTTTTGTTGCGTAGGGAACACCCTAATTTAAAAAGACGTACTGAATTTATGTTGAAAATCAAAGTGTCCGTATATACACAAATGCACTTTACTAATAATTATATGTGCTTTCCAAATAATTCTACAAAACATAGCACTTAGAGTCATAATTTGACCAATCAAAAAATCCCTCGTTTTACGGCCAAAGGAAAGACAGTGCATTGTTTAATATTGCCAGAAGTGCTTTGTATTGTTTAAAATAAACTACTGATTTTTTTATTATAGAAGAGTCAATACAGTTCACAGTTCAAGCTATTATCTTACTAAATAGATACTACCATTTAAGTTGACTATATTCAAAGACATTTCAATCCATATCTTTCAGACTTATGCCTCGAACAAAAATAAAGTGACAAGGAAAGAAATACACTGGGCAATAACTCTTATTTTGTGTAGCAATGATGTTACAGCAAATCTAATTTGGCATTTATCTTAAAGTAATTGGCACTTGCTATGTCTGAATGACTTTGTTCTTTGTCTCTCAATATTCACTTTTTATAACCAAAATCAAGAAATTATCATCATTACTGAACATATACGACATTGCATATACGCATGATTCATTAACCACTTTCACATGTTATTTATGTCATTTATTTATTCATTCTACAGTGTATATCTGTGGAACAATTAAACATACTTAATCTTGAATGTTAAAAGGTAAATAACACCTTCGTTTTTTTACGGTCAATTACCTTTTTGTACCAGGTACCGTGAAAATAGTTATAAAATTCGCAAGTCAAATTTCAGATTTTGGATCCAGTTTTACTATGGACACTCTTGCGGGTACTTTTGCATCACCTGCCTGTTTACCTGACGTATTACACACCTCTAATGAAGTAGCAATTGTATCTGGTTGGGGTACTATAAGAGAAGGTGAATATTTTGTTTATCAATAACGTTTTTTTGCGTAGTTAATTTAACATGCCTCCCCATTATACAGCATATTTCCTTGCTATTGCACGGTAAATACATTCATCCTTTTGATGTTAATGATGCTGATGTTGAGAAAACGATTTTGATAATTATGAAAGTGATCATGGTTTTAACAATGATAACGCTTGGGGTGGTGATTTTGATGATTATAATGGAAGTGATTCCAACAACGAACTATTGTTGAGATGTTGATGCCTTTGATAATAATAAACGGTAAAAAGTTTTTTATGATGATTATGAATATGATGATAATTGTAATTTGATAATTAAACTTCTGAAGATAAAGATGATAGAAGAGCTGAAAATTGTTATTTTGTTACTGAACAAATTCATCGTCACTGCTTAACAGAGTTACGGATACACCTCTCTGGAGAGCTATATTTGTCAAAAACTATATATTTGGCGTAAATAGGAATACCTTTAGTTCTACTATATGTGTATATATCAGCTTGAATCAATACTCCGAAATACACTATTGAATTCTCAAAAGTCTCAATATAGTAATGCGGTTTGATTGGGTGGTGAAAACCTTTCTTGTAATTCTAAAACAAGTTAATCATAATTTGGTGATTTGCTTGTCAGATTGCCAAATACACACTGAGCTTGACCTCTTAATGAAACAGATAAATAAAGACATTTTTCTTCGTTTGTCCACTGATTAATTTCTGAGCATGCTTCAAAATGCGCTTTATAGTCTCTCCATGAGCTAGTTCCATCATAAGTAGCTGGCTTCACCATAACACTTCGTTTTGAACTTAAGTTTATAGGGTCACGTTTTATTTCTGTTGAATTTGAAGTATCCATTTGCATGTTGCTGTGTAAGGTCTCTGTTTTATTTGCTGGCTGTGACGTTCTCCTTCGAAAGATATCAAATCGATTTCTTGGATAATTTAAATCAGAGCCACAAGGAGATTCTGTAAACATTTGTTTTTGAACTAATGGGGTTATTTCACTTTCTTTTTTAAGGGCTTTTTATCTGGGGTCCGTGGTAATAACCGTCGCCTTCTTTCTGTAAGAGGTGTTGCATATCTTCTTGTCAAAACTTAAGGTGTTGATGATTGTTTGTCATCATAATTTGTTTCATATTGATAATGAAAAGATAACTGCATACTGTCGATCTGTCTTTCAAGTACTGATATTTCATTTTGCAATTTTAAAGCTTCATTTTGGTGCTGCAAATCTCTGAGTTGTTCGTGTAACAATGTAACTCATTCTCATGACTATAATTTTTACTCTCAGCCATTTCTTACGAAAATTTATTTGAACCTGTGAGTCTAGATAATGGTGTTCTTATCTATAGAACCCCACCGTCGCTGCCACCAATTTTAGTAACGTGTACCGAGCGGATGTACAACAATTATCTTACAAATATTTCTTTTGGCTACCTGCCGTTTGATTAGATACAGATGATTATGAAATTATCATATATTATAAACAATCAGCTTGAATTAATACTCCAAAATACACTATTAAATCCTCAAAAGTCTCAATATAGTAAATATGTTTACAACATTACACTATGAAATTATAATTATTCAAAAGCTATTATAGATATCAAGCTACAACACGATAATTTCATATAGTCCAGCAACTACCTCCCTATCTATGAAGCGAGGCTTCTATTTAGATAGAAAGATAAGCTTCTGGTAGGGATTTACAACAACGTTCCAACTATACAAAACGTATTCGTTTTAAATCTACCTCTGGATTTTTAATACCTATATGTTACCAATTCCCTGATAGCGAGGCTTTCAGAAAATGTGGAGGTCTATAAGTATCCAGAGTCAAATACAATTTCACAAACTTTAATATAATGACATTATATCCATGAAGCGAGGCTCCAGTTGGAAATATTTACTTTGGCCAATTATTATTTTATACCTATTATGCTAGGCTTCATTAGATATATCAGATATTACTCTTATGTATGACGCGAGGCTTCTGTTACATAGAACAACCTGGCCCCGGTGAATTCCTCTGCTGACTGAGTGTGTGTGTGTGTATTTGCGTTTATTTATACTCGCCACCGGTTGCCCATATGGGCGAGTCCTCCAGAAGAGTATTAGTCATTTTATTTTATGCGGGCTGACTGACTGCTCTAATCACCGTATTTATACCTCATGAGATGATCGCTCAAGCATGACTTTATTTTCATTGGCTGATAAGAATGGTCATAATCACTGAGACGTTTATTACATTATATGATTTCAAACGTTCAATGAAAATACGTATGCCAATCGTATATTGTAAAGTACCTTAAACTTAAATATATTGTCGCAATATAAACAATTAACATAATAGTAAGGTTTACACTAAAATCATTTCAGTAAGAGATACTTTCAATTTAAAAGAAGCTGGGTTAAAATGTCTAAACGTTACAGTATCCCCATTTACCGTTGCTTCCATGTCATATGTCTTCAAATTACCTACCATACGGTAAAAATATTTTCTGTTCAATCATTTAAACGTAACAAATGAGCCTTCTCTTCAAAAGGTACTTCGACTTATACAGACCCATTACAATACGTGACAAAACACCTAATGACAAATGCTGAATGTGAGCAGACAGGAAATAAGGGTCAGATTGACAGTACAATGCTATGCGCCGGTGATGTAGGAATTGACGCATGTCAGGTAATGAACATCTTATTCTTCTGTTTTGAGTCTGTGTCTCACCAAAGCTGTTTACGTGATTTAGCGACTTTTCAGCTTAACTGATGGATGAATACCTCAAGTGCCCGTCCATGCATTGTTCCAGACACAAAAAGGCACTTGAGTAGAACCACTGATATTCAATAGGCTAATTTGATAGCTTCTTCATATTAAAGAATCCAATGTCGCTAGCGGTGAGGGACAAATGTCAACAACCTTAACTTCTAGACCACGAACGCCCGTTAATTCTTCTACAAGCAAAGAATTTGCACCGTAACAGTATTTTTAAAATTATTACCTCGTTTTCGTAAGAAATATGCAGTCGACCTACATACAATGTGAGATGCAAAATTGGTTATGATTTTACTACTGTCAAAGTACGAAAGCAATTTATTCTTTCATTACTTAAATATAAGATGCATGCACTAAATTACACAATTGCTAACATTATAACAAAACATTTAAGCCTAAAATTAACAAAACACTTAGGCCACATAAGCTATAACTAAACACTAGATTAGTTATTCTTCGGGGAACAAAGAATCTTTTTATTAACAGGAGTTGGAGTGCGTTTTAATTACAAAAAATGCTATATGCCTTATACATGCTGAATTTCTACATTTCTTAATCTTTAACACAAAGCCTTTGGTCTGTTCTTAATTTCAGGGTGATTCGGGCGGTCCTCTTGTTGTAAACAGAAATGGCCGTTACACCCTCGTCGGTATGTATACAATCTTTCTCAAACTACCAGTTTTCATTCGGCTTTATATAGAATATGGTATGAGGCGCCTGATATAAAATTTATTTTGCAAGTTCTCAATCACATAAAAAATGATGCACAAAATTACCTTCACATAAATAAGCTTATCACTTCGAGATGCCTTTTTAATTGTTTTCTTTGTTGCAAAACATTTTGATTTACATTTTAGTCAAATGGAAATAAGATCATGATTAATGCTTCCGAGGGATCACTTTGTTTCCAGAGTTTTATACTTCACAACAGCAGGTGTCAAGTGCTGTGTGGCTGTCGTAAAAAATTGACCCGTACTTCACTTCAGTGTTGTTATATTTTTCTTTTCCTTGGGAATCATTGATACCAGCACTATTAAGTGTTGAAACTGAGTACTGCTCAAGCTTGTGCTAGGGGGCGTGAGGGATGTTGCACTTATTCAGTATCCCTCATGTTCAGACTCAATCAAACCAAATCTGCAATTCTAATGTAATTTTGTTGTGATAAATGCTTCCGAGGGATCACTTTGTTTCCAGATTTTTATACTTAACAACAGCAGGTGTCAAGTGCTGTGTGGCAGCTGTAAAAAGTTGTCCCGTACTTCACTTCAGTGTTGTTATATTTGTCTGGTTCTTCGGGATCATTGATACCAGCACTATTAAGTGTTGAGAATTGAGTACTGCTAAAGCCGGTGATAGGGGCGTGAGGTATGTTGCACTTATTCAGTATCCCTCATGTTCAGACTCAATCAAACCGAGTCTGCAATTCTTATGTTATTTTGTTGTGATAGATGCTTCTGAGGGATCACTTTGTTTCCAGATTTTTATACTTCACAACAGCAGGTATCAAGTGCTGTGTGGCAGCTGTAAAAAGTTGCCCCGTACTTCACTTCAGTGTTGTTATATTTTTCTGGTCTTTCGGGATCATTGATACCAGCACTATTAAGTGTTGAGAATTGAGTACCGCTCAAGCCGGTGCTAGGGGCCGTGAGGTATGTTGCACTTATTCAGTATCCCTCATGTACAGACTCAATCAAACCGAGTCTGCAATTCTTATGTAATTTTGTTGTGATAAATGCTTCGGAGGGATCACTTTGTTTTCAGATTTTTATACTTCACTACAGCAGGTGTCAAGTGCTGTGAGGCAGCTGTAAAAAGTTGCCCGGTACTTCACTTCAGTGTTGTTATATTTTTCTGGTCCTTTGGGATCATTGATACCAGCACTATTAAGTGTTGAGAATCGAGTACCGGTCAAGTCGGCGCTAGGGGGCGTGAGGGATGTTGCACTAATTCAGTATCCCTCATGTACAGACTCAATCAAACTGAGTCTGCAATTCTTATTTAATTTTGTTGTGATAAATGCTTCCGAGGGATCACTTTGTTCCAGATTCATATCGTGGAACCAGACTAAGAATAAATCCCGTTTTCTCCATCTAAAGGGGCACCGTTTTGCAATTTGGACGAAAAGCATCGGTGCAATAACTGTCGCATGACATTGAATATTATTTTATGCCAAGCTAATGTGTCAAATGTTACTTATGCAAACATATAAATTACTTGATAATAGAATAATATTTATCTATCAAATGGGTTATGACAGTGTAAATTTTTATTGTTTTAAACAAATTATGTTCACACACGCATTACATAAAATATATATCTTAATTAAAAACAAAGTGGGGATGGGTTTTATGTTGAACAACTACGATGGGGTCATATTCCAGCTTTCCGGCGTGGAGAAATACTAAACGTGCCCGTCAAATTAGCACATGAAATTGGAGTTATAACATCAATAAAAAAATTGTTTTATTACGTGGACAAATCTTTTACAGGTGTTGTGAGTTGGGGCTATGGATGTGGAAGATACAATTATCCTGGCGTATATGCAAATGTTTTCAATCTTATGACCTTTGTCAGAAATAACTTTTAGTTAGTGTATTTGTACAAATCTATGAAATTACCCGGTGAATTATTAAAATTTGCTACAATATCTAAAAGTGTTCACTCTTTTTTCACCCGAACATAGATGATTACATGGTAGGTTATCTAATAGTAATATTTATCACATACTCATGCCTATTTCGCAACTCCGTACACACAGTATTGCATAGCCGTGAATATTATGTTAACGCGGTGTCGTAAGCGTCAAAAACATAGTGTATAGACCCAAGAAATGTTAGCGATACACATTAAGTGCGTCAATGAAAAACAAAATGACTTATTATAACCCCGCACAACGAATTTGTGACGGGGGTATACTGGAATCAGCTTGTCAGTCCGGACGTCCGGCCGCCTGTCGGGTTTTCCTTGTCCGCCCAATAACTTCAGATTTCTTTGACCCACAGTCTTCATTTTTGGTATTTAGATTGGACATGATAAGTAGATGATCTCTCTTGATTTTGAGGTCACAAGGTCAAAGGTCAAGGTCACTGGGACCTTGACTCAAAAAAATTGTCCGCCCAATAACCTAAAATTCCTTTGATCCACAGTCTTCATATTTGGTATTGAGATTGATCATGATAAGTAGATAATCTCTAGTTATTCTGATGTCACAATGTTAAAGGACAAGGTCGCATGGGCATTGACTTTAAAAAGCTTGGCCGCCTAATGATTTAAGATTCCCTTAACCCAAAGTAAGTCATCATCAGTATATGATCCCTTTTAATTTTGAAGTCACTGTGTCAAAGGTCAAGGTGACAGGGACCTTGACTTCAAACTTTTGACCCTGTCTTCATATTTGGCATGGAGGTTGATCATGAACATTAGGTGACCCCTTTTGATTTTGAGGTCACTGGGTCAAAGTTCTAGGTCACAGGGGTTTTGATTATAAAAAGTAGATGACCCCTATCGATTTTTAGGTGACTGTGTCAAATGTCAAGGCCATTGGGATTATTACAATTAACTTGTCTGCTCAAATGCTTAAGAATGCCTGTCCGCAGTGTACTGAAATTGACATTTTCACATTTAAGTCATGTAAATTACATAACTTAGCAATGCACTGGCTTAGTAACCTCATATGTGGTAGGGAGGTTGTCCTTGAGCTCTAAATGGCCACTGTTGATTCTGACAAAGTGGTTTGCGGAGGTATTCATGCAATGACAGTGGCAGTTCTTATTTGGATATTTGATCAATAGAATATCATATTATACAATGTAGCTTTAATCCCAATGTATTTAACTCGTTGAATAAAATACCCGAAGCTTTCATATTTTTTAACTCCTTCAATTAATTCAGAATAATTTTTACCTGCACACATTTAATTTCCTCTTTTATCAACAATTTGTAAACATACAGCATAATAATTATATCTAACCAATTAACATTTTTTGCGTAGCAAACAATCTGGGCAGTTTTTGCAAATATACAATTTACAAATTTCTACTTCCAGTTCTTGTTTTATAATATTCTGAATAAGTGCTATGATCAGAATTGATTTGGCGCAAATCTATATTGACGAAACTAGTTAAACATCATAAATACACTTTTTACTGTAAACTATAACACAATTGCCTTTGATTATAAGTGAAAAATTATCTACTTCACAAACTTTTCTATCTCCAACGTTTCGATGGGTTAAACCCCTCTTTTTCAAGGAGTTTCTGTTTATTTTTATAAATCACATATTTTTCTTGCATGTCAGACAGGATTATCTACCGTTTACACCGGTGCTAGAAAACTCTGTCTTACACCCCCCATGTAAGACAAGTCGCGTGTTTTAAATGACGTCATTGACGCGAGCCTTTTATGAATGAATCGCGTTCTTAGGATGACGTCATTTTTCCGTTATGAATGAAGTTGTGAGAAAAAGAATCAAACACCGGCTGTTGGTACAGACCGGAATATCTAGCTCGAGGGTAACTGTTTTACGGCGGTAACGAGGCTCTTTTTCAAGGAGTTTCTGTTTATTTTTATAAATCACATATTTATCTTCTTACATGTCTTATCTTAATTAAACTATGTTATGCATACAGGAAATGACGTCGTTAACGTCAACAATAAAAATTACGCAAAACATGATGATGACGTTTTCCGTCAAAAAAGTTTCACTGCATAACATTGTTCCCCTTGTTAACTGTTATAAATAATATTACATGTAACATAGCAAGAATTATGAAACTTATTTCATTGAGAATACATTAATAATAATGATAATAATAATAAAACTGACAATGATAATAAATGATGATTATATTTAAATTGTTTTCAAACCATTCCAATAATATTTATAATAGCAAATAATTTAATAATAACAAAAATGATAACAGTAATAATAATAATAATAATTATAACAATGGTATTGATAATAATAACAACAATGGTAAAACTTAAGGCTAATTTGAAGTTTACCGCGACATTATGGACATAAAACAATGCCATTATAAAAAAAGTTCGGCATTTATGAGAAAACTCGGCAGTATATTTATAGGCTCTCAAGCTCGGCCATAATAAATTTGCTGTTTTTTCTTTTAGTTTTTTTAGGTTTCTGACATATTTTTGATCAATAATCTCTTTGGAGGTGAGTCATGACTGTTTAGAAGGAACTGTTAGCTGTTGTTGAAAACATTGTTGTTAATATTTGTAAAAATGTTCTTCTTACATTATATGATTAAATGCATTTTTTTTCTTCTTTTTTTAAATGTTATATTGATACTATACACATATAAAATGGCATTTTCTTTGTTACACTCTTCTTCATGGTGTTTATGGACAATATATTTTATTTTATTAAAATTTTTACATTAACTACTAAACTTTCTTAAATTAGGTGTAGTTTATTGTACATTTTAAATGATTAAGTGTTTTCATAATGGTCTTGTTACTGTGCTTTAGAGTGCAATATTAGCCTTATCAGTTTGTCAGTCTTCAGCCAAATAACAAGGCCATTACGAAAACACTAGTTATAAACATTATATTCCCCTGCAAAATGTCAGACTTAACAGATACGTATATTGTCTGTTGTGATTTAATTGTGTCATTGGCTCTACCTGTACTTATATAAAAGTTTATAATAAAATTAGAAATAAATAGAGATTTATATTTAAAGAATTGAAAACAAAATGAGGAGACAAAAATAACTGTACTATGATGAAGCTAAATGTTAAGACCAAGTTGACCCTAGTTTGATAAAACGCGCTATCACGTTCTATTTCTTCATATCTCGCCTGCCCTATTGCAAATTGTATGTCAAATGTCAAGTCAGTCTGACCCTGCTTTGATGCGTTGGTTATATAAAGGGGGCGCGAAAGTGGGATTTGCCTTATATACTGTAGTTTGGTTGATGTTACTAGACACCTTTATCAATGGAGTTGTACGTTGCCGTTTTATTGTTTGGGTTTATACATTCTAGTTACGGTAGGTCTTTGTTACACCACATACAAATAATGTTATAATGATCTATATTATTATATACAACAATTTTGAAATCATAGGAATACACAATTTAATGAACATAAGAAAAATATTTCTCTATATATAACTCCATTTAAGGTACCATTCTTGCAATACAGTAAAACGTTGGGCTATGCTCTCTGACTTGTATAGGAGTTACCAATTTTTTGGGACACTAAAGGTTTCAAATCGGTGGCCCTTTAATATATTGGAGGATCTGTTTAAATGAGAGCCAGCGACACTTCCGTTGTAAAGTAATCGACCGAAACAAAGCTGAAAAAGGTAAATACGGTTCCTAAAAATATCCGATTCAAAAGAACATGCTTGTTTTTCAAGATTTGAAAAATACTATGCCAAGTAGAGGGCTATACAAGGAAGTGTCGAAGACTCTATTTAAACCGGTCACCAAAATGTGAAAGAGTCAACGATTTTTGTGAGTGTAGTAATGCAAGCCTGCCCAGGAACGATACGGCAGCTGAACATTGCTTTTACAAAAGAGAATTCATGTTGTTTTTTATTTGTTTTTTTTTTAAACAACAACAAAAGCAATGATAATAAATAAAAAAAAAATAAATAAAATATGTAAATCAATAAATTAAAAATAAAAGAAATTAGAAAATAACATTTAACAATTCAGTTATTTTCAATTTTTACTTATATATCATCTTTAAAGGACCTATTAATAAATTATGACATTTTATTGAAAATATATGACATGAATGTTAACAGAACAAAAAACTGTCCGCTATTACTGTTTAACAACGATTTCGCCCATATACTGCGCACTAATCAAGCATTACACATGTTAATAGTCTTACTGCTCACAGGGGGTTAAAAGGTATAAACGTGTTAAATAAGCCTCGAAAGTCTTGCACTTTTTCATTTTTCTTCGTGAACAGACTCAATCAAGACTACAATTGTCACATCATATTCTTGTTGTAAATGCTTCCGGGAGATTTCCAGCATATTTTCAAATATAAAGGCCGTAATAGACAGGTTATAACTGGCTAATGAACAGATTGCATGCGTTCGAGCAATACGAGTCAAAAGCAATTTAATCCGCCACGGTACAGTGTTGCCCGAAAAAAAGATGTACGCAGTTTTGTCACACAGTCACTGGACATTTTTTAAAACAACACACGAAAGGATGCCAAAGGTGTACCTTAGACACGCTTTTACCTATAATATTTGGCTTTCTAAGCAATTTCAAGCTTCGGAAATATGCTAGCTACAAATCAACCGCCTAAGTCACATAACCTTAGTCCCTGTGACGTTTCTCAATATCCAGCTCAAGGGAAATGTTTTCTGGAGACAATTTCAAGTCTCAAAGTTCTCTTGTACCCGTATCACTTTTTCTCTGGGCAAAAACCTACAATCTGTTGACATATAGTCAATACAGATCAGCGTGTTAAAATTGAAGCATTAAAGATATAACTAATAGTTCCAACTCTACACAAGTACATACTGTAATTCAATTGGAAAAATAGCCGTTCTATGACGAATTTGATAGAAACAAGTTTAAGAAATGTATTCGGATTTTTACCAAAAGTTGCCATACCAACCATTTGGCAAAGTAATTAAAAATTTGGACGTCATAGTTGAAAATGCATGAATTAAACAATATCCTAGCAACAGTTCACTGACATCATAACCCAAGATAAAAGGAAACCCTTACAGAGAAAATGCATTATTTCTTTCAATTTGGAAAATAATATTGTCTATCTAATGCAGTTACTAGCAAAATGCAGCGGCTGGTCTATTCATTGCTAGTACAGGAGAGACTGTTTAATAACTGTTGAAAAAATATTTAATATTTACTTTTACTTCATAAACTTTGACAAATTCTGAAGGGTAAATACCGGAAAGGCAATTTATCTATGTCTGACGATATCGAATTGCTGTGAAATGTCAAGATTGTACACGTTTACCCTCTTTCTAAAACCACAATTCAAAAAAGCATTTGCACGACCATCTTAGCCTTTACACACTCAAACTACTGGTGTGAACAGTTTAAATGCGCGTTTAACATAATGAGACGCAAACAGCTTGGTCTTATTCTAATAACTTGAGGGGACCTCGTATTTGGACTTCCAAGTTGTTCTACCGTAGATTTTGAATTCAAACTGAAACAGATAAGAGAAGTAGGGATGGGAACTCGAATACTGAAATAAAACTTTGAATTATATGGTTTACAATATTCGATATTTAAATACATTCGAATAATCTATTTAATACTATCATAAGTTACTTACAGTTGTCATCCGGAATTTAATATCCGGCTGCCTCTACGTTTTAGTATGCTCAGTAATGTATCCAGTTCGTGTTAACTTAGGTAAAATTATATAGAGAACCAAAAGTTGTTTAAGCAAACAACAGTGATGATTGTATTTCATTAAGATACATGTGTCGTATTTCACTCAATGATAGTTTATCTTAAACATGCATTTAAGAAAGTCATAAACATTCTTCATTAACAGTGTGCTTTTAGCGGTGTTTGAGAGAGAGGCCAAATTAAATAACTACATTTATTTTAAAAAAAACGAACATGATTTACATTTTATTTTAATCTTTCCAGATCGTTATTTGTTAGGATATTATGGCATTGTTGTACTAGCACAATATCAAACACGCGATGGAAGCCTGAAAATGTGTACAGTAATCTGTAACTTTTGTCAAGCGAATATTAATCATTAAGCATGGATGTTCAAGATATTTTCAAACATTCCCTTGTAATCGGACCATTATGATACGCGAAAAGCAAACAAATAAAGTAACCATTTGATTGTGCACGATTGGCAAGCATATGGATCTTAAAAGAACACCCTTTCTAGATTGTCAAGTTTAATGAAAAAAAAAGCGAAAATAAATGTTTCTTTTCAAAACGAATATTCGAAATGGAATTTCATATTTAAATTTTAGGCCGTTTTTCGAATATAATGTATAAGATTATACGTTTCCATCTTTAGTAAGAAGGACACTTTATTCGATTCGTAGGCCTAATGTGTGTCTTTAAAGATTGATTTATGATGCCAAACCTTCAAAGTGGTTTAGACTAATATGAAAATATGAGCACACCGTTACCCATGTTAACCTTAATAATGCTTGCAAGTCATAGTTTAAACGTGCATATTTATATAAAAAACAACATACTTCATGCTTTTATTATCTCAACAAAGGAATCGATTGTGGGCTAACTAAATCAAGGATCAGCAATTACATTGTTGGAGGTGACGATGCATCTGCAGGAGATTACCCATGGCAGGTGAATACAGCTTATTGTTTAATACATTTCAAAATAACATTGAATATAAGGAGTTTTACATTGTACTGTTTTTTCTGAAAAGATTACTACTTGGTGTATACTGTTGCAATAATGTGGTCTTCTTTTCCTGTTGCATACTACACACTCTGAGTAAGGTTAAAGCTAAATAATTCATCCATTTAAGTCATAGTCAACAAGATTAAAATATAAAAAATACTGCAGTATATCATACATATTCAGAAAGATAATACCATTTGAATATTTTCAAAATATGATTAAAGTAAAAGACGCTACGATAAATTGGATTGTGTACAATGCGGAAGAACTTATTGTTACATCTGACTACGTTTAAAATGATGTGTCATAGTTTGGAGACATTACTATTTAAAACGTGTCAGAGTTAAATCGTATATCAATACATGCACAGTATTCAGTTGTTCGTACATTCGTTACTTTTTTGGGGGGTTTCATATTATTACGATAGGTAACGTGTGTTTATTTTGCCTATTATGCATCAACTCGGCAAGCCCCCTCGTACAAATCAAATAGCCTCGTGTTTTGATTCCCTATCTTTTACTTTTTTGTTAATGAGGAGGTACCGTGAGCGTCGCACAAGCATTATACTGTTTACTGATGATATTTAAACATAGGCTAGCTAAGAATGCTGTCACTTGAGATTCTTTTAAAGTCTTTCGTATCATCTAAAAAGGTCGGATTGCAAGTAAAAAGCGGCAATTCATGGGCAATGATATGTGGAGGAACACTTGTCACCGACGGCAATGCTTTGAGGGTCATCACTGCTGCCCATTGTTTGAGGTATGAAAAAACACGTTTTTTTTAAATAGCGGAGACTTTACTGGATGGGCTTTAAGTACGGTGAACTTAAGTCAATGATAATTGATATAAGTATTCTACTAGTCCGTTTCTTGTTCATTAAATGTTTATGTCCAGATTATTTAATGCGTGTACATGTAATACAGCAACTATGATACTTTATAGGTGATACTTTATAGGTGATGCTGTATACTTTACCAACTACAATATACAGTATGTAACGGTCCTTTCTGCAAATAAAATTATTTCCACTAAACATGTTATTTCATTTATACATAATAGACAAACAAGAATGAAATAAATCATATAATTTTCGACGTTTCTCAAGCGTTCATCTAATTGTGTACATGTAATAGTCTGAAAAAAAAAGAAATGACGTCACAAATATATTTTGAAACTAAAATATATATAAAAATGAACTTTATCAATGTTTCAGTATTTTGAACGTTTGACAGGTACCAGTCATGTTATTTTATGAATGTAACTTTATGGCGCCGTTATATGTCGCAACGCTGCTAAATGTCCCACTTGTCGCTTATTTCGCAGCATTGTCGCTTAATGTCGCAACCGCCGCTATAAGTCGCAAAATCGTCTGCCGTTAAATATCGCAATGGTAACGTTAAAAAAAATGAGATTTATCGATGCGTCAGTATTTCTTTTACAGTGGTATACGGCCAGACACTTACAGGATTGTTTTTGGCTTGCATCTGAGAAGTCAACAGAACAGTAACCTTAATACCATCGTGCAAAGGTCGCCGACAAATGTTGTCCCACATTCCGGGTACAGCAGTAATACACTGAGTAATGACATCGCCGTGTTTGGTAAGTAGACGTTCCATTGTTTGTTTGTAATATTATCTAAAAAGAAAGACAATCATCTCTATTTTTGCTAGACTAAAAGCAACATTAACGGAATAAGAGACTTGTGTACTCTTTTGTTGCTTAGGCAACGCCTCGAAATAGAAAAGAAGTAATGCATTTATGTTGATAATCAAAGTGTCCGTATATATACAAATGCAATATACTAATAATTATATTTGCTTTCCAAATAATACAACAAAGATTGAACTTAGAGTCACAATTTGACCAATCAGAAAATCCCTCGTTTTACGGCCAAAGGAAAAACAGTACATTGTTTAACATAGCTAGAGGTGCTTTGTATTGTTTAAAATAATCTACTGATTTTTTTGATTATAGAAATGCCAAGACAGTTCACAGTTCAAGCTATTATCTTACAAAATAGATACTACCATTTTAGGTATATTTATTTTAAGACATTTCCATCCATATCTTTCAGACTTATGCCTCGAACAAAAATAAAATGACATGGAAAGAAATACATTGGGTAATAACTCATAATTTTTGTAAAGGAGAAATATTCTATTCAAACGATATAGAGCGGAGTACATACATGTACATACAAGCTCAGATTGACATTGACCTTGATTCCGAGGTCCGAACACGTATTATACACACAGTTTTATTATGGTTAACATTTCGGCCGTATAGTTTCAAATGAATTCCATCGGTCCAACAAGACACAGAAATTGGGAACATAACCATCTAGTGATCAGTTTTAAAATGTTTCATTCCAGACCTTAGCCCAGGACCAATATAAAAGTAATATATAAATTGAGTAATATAAGAAAATTAAAAAGCAGTAATTTAAAAAAAAAAATCAGAGACGATCTTGATACGTTTCATTGTTTTTACATGTATAAATGCTCAACAGCAACTGGCATTTTATTTATGTCAATAAACCAAATTAAATCCCCGGGTTTTAAATTTTTTTTTTTCAAAAAATTTTTAAAATTTTAAAATTTTTTTTTCAAAGGGTTTTGTCTTATTTTTTTTTGTTTTTTTATTTTTTTTAACCCAAAAAAATTTCTCTAAATTTTGTGAATTAATTGTTACCAAACTATTTTTGCATTTATTTTTATTAAGGGGGACTTAATAAAAACAAAAATCTTGAATGTCAAACGATAAATAACACCTTCGTTTTTTCAGTCAATAACCTTTTGTACCATATGCTGCACAAAGGTACCGTAAAAATAGTTATAAAATACGCGGGTCAAATTTCAGGTTTTGGCTCCAGTTTTACTATGGACACTCTTGCGGGTACGTTTGCATCACCTGCCTGTTTACCTGACGTATTACATACCACTAATGAAGTAGGGATTGTATCAGGTTGGGGTACTATAAGAGAAGGTAAGAATTTTTTTTCAATAATGTATTCTTGCTAAATTATATGAAAATGCTGCCACATTATACAGCATATTCCCATGCTATTGCACGGTGATTTTGATGTTTATGATGCTGATGATTTAGATAATGGAAGTGAAAACGATCTTGATAATAATGTAGGTGATCATGGTTTTAATAATGATAACGCTTGAGTTGGTGATTTTAATGATAATAATGAAAGTGAGTCCAGTAAGTTAAACAATATATTGTTGAGATGTCGATGACGTTGATAATAATAAACGGTGGGGAGTGTTTTTATGTAATTATGAATACGATGATAATAACAATTTTGATGAAAATTGTAATTTTATAATTATAATTATAATTCTGAAGATATAGATCACTGTAGATGATGGAAGAGTTGTAAATTATGATTTTGTTACTTAACAATATTCGTCATTGCGTAACGGAGTAACGGATAAACCTCTCCGGAGAGCTTTATTCGTCGAAAACTATATATTTGGCGTAACGATGGATACCTTTAGTTCTACTATATTTGTATAATTATAATTAAATTACAAAAATGCACAATGGCATTGAATAAATACAAACATCCAGGTTGGTGTTTCGAACTTCACTATGCATCCCCATTTCCTGTTGCTTCCATGTCATATACATCATTTACCTACCATACGGTATACATTTAAATCGTCATGTATATTTAACATGCCTCATTAAAAACAGTTTCCGTTCCATCATGTTAAAGGTTTAAACGTTACAAATAATTCTTTTCTTCAAAAGGTACTTCGACTTATAGAGACCCGTTACAATTCGTGACAAAGAACCTAATGACAAATGCTGAATGTGAACAGACCGGAAATAAGGGTCAGATTGACAGTACAATGCTTTGCGCCGGTGATGTAGGGATTGACGCATGCCAGGTAATGAACATCTTATTCTTCTGCTTTGAAGTTGTTTTTTGCGTCTCACCAACACTATTTACGTCATTTAGCGATTTTCCAACTTAAGTGGTGGAAGGAGACCTCAGGTGCCTGTCAATGCATTGTTCCAGACTCGAAGAGGCACCTGCGTAGAACCACTGATATTCAATAAGCTAATTTGATAGCTTCTTCATATTAAAGAATCCAAAGTCGCTAGCGTGAGGGACAAATGGCTTAAAGTCAACAACCTTAACTACTAGACCAGGAACGCCTGTTAATTCTTCTACAAGCAAAGTATTAGCACCATAACAGTGTTTTTTAAATTATAACATTGTTTTCGTTATAAATATGCAGTCTACCTACATACAATGTGAGATGCAAAATTGGTTATGATTTAAATACTGTCCAAGTTCGAAAACATTTGATTCTAATACAGTAACTACTAAAATAAAAAATGGGAGATGCATGCAATTAATTACACGTTTTACAATATACGAAATCATTTAAGCCTAAATTTACAAAACACTAATGCCACATTAGCTGCAACTAAACACTAGATTAGTTATTCTTCAGTGTAACAAAGAACCGTCTTATTAACAGGAATGTGTTCTTAGAACATAATGCTATACGCCTTATACATGCTGCATTTCTATATTTCTTAATCTTTAACAAAAAGCCTTTGGTCTGTTCTTAATTTCAGGGTGATTCAGGTGGCCCGCTTGTTGTAAACAGAAATGGTCGTTACACCCTAGTCGGTATGTATTCAATCTTTCTCAAATTTCCAGTTTTCATTCGGCTTTATATAGGATTTTTGATAAGGCGCGGATTCTGTGGAATTGCATGTTCTCAATAAAATAAAAATTCATGTACAAAATTACCTTCACATAAATCAGCTTATCACTTCAAGATGCCTTGTTGATTGTTTGTTTTGTTGCAAAATATTTTGATTTATATTATAGTCAAATGGAAAGAAGATTATGTTATCGATACTTCATATCGTGGAACCTGACTAATAATAAATCCCGCTTAAAACACACAAGTGTCTCTATCTAAATGGGCACAGTTTTGCAATTTGGACGAAACGCAACGGTGCAAGAGCTATCGCATTGCATTGTTATAGAAATTCGAAATTTTCCTTATCTTTGAATATTATTTTATGCTAGGCTAATGTTTCAAATGTATTTATGCAAACATATGAATTACTTGATAATACAATAATATTTATTTATCAAATGGGTTATGACCGTGCAAAAATTTTGTTTGTTTTAAACAAATTTTGTTTTTCCCCACATTACAAAAATAATTCTTAAATACAAAAAAGAGGGGTTTTACGTTTTAAAAAAAACCCCTAAGAGGTCATATTTAGCTTTTCCCGGGGTGGAGGAAGACCCTAGTGCCGTCAAAGAGCACATAAAATTGGAATTATAAAAAAAATAAAAAAGTTTTTTGAGTTCGGGAAAAATCTTTTTACAGGGGGTTTTTTTGTTGGGGGGATGGATGTGGGAGATATAATTATCCTGGCGTATATGCAAATGTTTTCAATCTTATGGAATTTGTCAGAGAAAACTTTAATTAGTGTAATTGTACAAACTTTGTTTCCCGGTGAATTATTAAAATTTGCTACAATACTAACAAGTGTTCACTCTTTTTTAACCAAAACATAAATGATTACATGAAATGTTTATCTAATAGTAATATCACATACCCATATCTATTTCGCAACTCCGTACACACAGTATTGCATAGCCGTGCATATTATGTTAACGCGGCGTCATAAGCGTCAGAAAACATAGCGTATAGACGCACGAAATGTTAGCGTTACGTTATAAGCGCTTCAATAAAAAAAATGCTTTATTTTCTCTGAAAACAGTTCTTATTTGGATATTTAATCAATAGAATATCATATTATATCACTGTACAATATAGCTTCATTACTAATTTATTTAACTCGTTGGATAAAATACCCAAGGCTCTCATATTTCTTTTAACTCGTTCAATAAATTCAGAATTGAACCTACACACATTCAATTTCCTCTTTTGTCACCAAAAATACAGCATACATCTAACTAGGTCTGGCTTTCAAAACGCAATAAGCCGCTTTTTAAACATTTTTTTCTTTCGTTAGGTGCGGCTTCTTAAACTTTATAAGCCGCTTTTTAACATTTTTTTTCTTTCGTCTTATGCGGCATTAAAGTTTTGAATCAGACCCGTGTGGGAGAAACCTTACCAGAACATGACACGTTGGTTGAATCTTGTTTAAATTTGCAAACATCCTAATCATAACCCATTCTTGTGCATTATCCGATAAAAAATGCCATTTCAACATCGTTAACGTTAAAAGACAATTTAAATAATCAAACTATTGATATTGTCAATAAAATTGCATAGTTATCATACTGCAAAACATTAATTAAACCGGCTGATGTCGACGCAAGACCTCGTGTGATGTAATTTGCGGAAACCGCTTCGAGTACTGGCATGTACTGTATTTAGAACATCTTTATTGATATGGCATAATTTCAATACTCAAAATTTCATTTTTATTTACGGTTTCTTTATTTTACAGTACTTATGTAAAATAGTAGAATGAACGGCAGCAAAAAACCTTTTACAATTTTGGAAAAAATATTTTGTAATAAAAAGACCTTGGCATTGTTTTCGCATAATTATTTAAATGAACCCGAGGTCAATCTTGTACTCACGTGATCAAACATTTTGGCAAGATGGCGGCGAAACGATGAATATTTTCACCTGTCGGAAAAAATAAGTTAGGTTATACTCGAAATAAGTTTTTATATGTTTATACTTGGCTTATTGATAGATTATACATATTTTTATAGGCATATGCTTCACTTTACTTCATCGCGTCCTCAATGAATGAATACGAGCGTGTAAGATTCCTGGCATGATTATTGATGGGGTTTCCCTACGGGTCTGTCTTCAGCTTTAAAGTCATTTTATAGTATATTATCAACAGGTACGATGAAGACCTTAAGCTAGTATCTAACCAATGTATAATGAGCGTTACTTGTAAACGTCGAAGTAATCGAAACTATTTGAAAATTGTGTACAAACTTTGTACGGACATAAAATAAAGTCGCCTCATACACATACATGTGCAAGAGGTTACAAAGGAAATACACACTTATAGGAGTTCCACTGAGGTCAAAAAGCCTATTAAAAATTCATAAAAATTGAAATTCTGACAAGGATCAATTGGAGAACTAAAAAAATGGAAACCTCTGCAAAAGATACTAGTAATAAAAAATATTCTCAAAATTACATTGAATAGCAATTTTTTTTCTTTCTTTCTTTTTGCGATTCGCAGCCCGATGTGAATGAAAGCCTTGCAAGTCTTGACATTTTTATGGAAGCACTGGAGGGCCCTTTTGACTTCTGACTTAATGACTTTTGACTTGAGAGTTATGACTTTTGACTTGGGAGTTTTGACTTTTAACTCAAGACTTATTACGTCTTGGTTGTGAAATTAATTAATTGAACCACACTTTAAGAGAGCACGTGAGTAATAAGCGAAGATGGCTGTGTTATGCCAAAATATGAAATTCGTGTTTGCGTGTTGTTTTCTGTGCACTCTGTTGAAGATAACAGCTGGTGTGGTACCAGCTTACCTGCCTTTGTCGTCTCCGAATGTTAATAAAGCATCACTCATTGAAGAATATTTCAAACAAGGTTTTAAATACAGTGAAATTCTTGGATTTTTGCTACTTAAGCATGGTATTTTGTTGTCACTGCGTCAGCTGAAAAGAATCTTGAAGAAGTTGAACCTGAAACGTCGAGGTGTACATTTGCAATCGCAGTTAAAAAACGTTGTTCGTGTAATTGGCACGGTAATGCATTATAGTGGACAGTCTGTCGGTTATTGGACGATATGGCGCCGGCTGAAAGTGAGTCACAATATGGATGTAAATTAAGCCATAAAGATGTTATGGACATAATGAAGGCAATAGATCCAAATTGTGATGGAATGAGAAAAGCGCATCGACTTGAAAGACGTTTCTGTTGTGCAAAAGGGCCTAACAATATTTAGCATTTAGATGGTTATGATTCATTCGGATTTTGTATACACGGAGCGGTAGATGGTTTTAGCAGGAAAGTTATCTGGTTGGAAGTTCCTGACACTAACAACGAACCAAAACTGATTGCGATATATTATTTGGATGCATTGAAGCGCATTGAAAAAACACCTCGCATATTTCGTTGCAATGCTGGAACAGAAAACAGTGTTGTTTGTCTTCTACAGCAGTTCTTTCGGAATGAAGCAACCGACCACTTTGCTAGTAGTCGCAGCGTTATTGTTGGAAGAAGCACTTCTTACCAGCGCATTGAAAGATGGTGGGGTAAGCTACGTCAACAAGGAATACAGTAGTGGATTAACTTTTAAAGGATTTGCGCGATTCTGGTCGTTTCAATGAACTCGACCAGATACATTGTTAAAATTTGAAATTTTATTTTATGAATCTAATACAAACACACCTGGATAGAATTGCTAAACAGTGGAATGTACATGAAATTAGACCTCAGCACAATTCCGATTTACGGAAAACCTGACATTATGTATTTTCTACCTGAAACGTTTGGCACGCTTGATTATGGTACTGCGGTTGACAAACGTTATGTGACCTGTTTTAAAGACATGTATTCAATTCTAAAGAGAAAGTTTGACAAAATCAGCGAATTGGCTTATCTGTTAAAGCCCGACCTCCAAATGCCAGTATATGCCGATTCAGCATTGAATTGGTTCCTGGAGTTGAATGATTTAGTGGCAAACTCGTATGAAGACTAAAGTCTTTTTTAGCCATAAAGTTGTTTTGTGAGGGAATAAATGATCAACACGATCCATCATTATCATCATCATCATCATCTACATCATCATGATTATCAATATAAGTATGTTGACTGCAATTATGATTGTCGTGATGCTGCTCCTCATGATGAAGGTCGACTTTATAATTTAAATAATTATGTTCTTGATGATAAGCAGAAGTTAATTTCGATGATAATGATTATAATCATGACGATGATGATAACGATATTAAGAATGATAATCGTGATGATGTTGTAAACTATAGTATAATATATTCTATAGTTCATAACGTAAGTGGCATATGTTTATTCTTATGTTTGACAGTCAATTATAACAAACGTATATGTCACGAAAGTCAAATGATATTTCTACGTTCAAATACAGCATGGCTCACAAAGGTCTGTTTGTAACCGTTAACGTTTCAGTCAAGAAAAACTACGGACCTGTGACAAGTGTAGACCGAATTAGTCTGTGCATGTGTGTAGACTTACTAGGGCCTATATACTTAACTTTCAGTTAATTAGAATCTGGCTATTTAAATAAATTCACTGTCTCACGTTCATCTTTGTAGACCAAACGCCCTAGTACGAAACTTGCACAGGATATAGATCTAGCCAGTACTACCGTATTCTTCCTAGAAATCGCCCAGGGCGCTTAGAAAATTGTGAAAGGTGGGCGCTTATTAGGAGTCAGGTCTTACAAAAGTATACAATATGTAAGAGTCGCAGCTATGCAATTTCTGTTGATATCTCGTATTTAAAGTGGTCCCGTTTCCTGACAAATCACTACAGTGGGTTTGAAATGTAAATATTCACAGTTTTTCCTTGTACAGTGAAATTTTCTAGGCCCGCGGACATGCATAAAAATTTAAAATGTCGATTGTGGTCAGTTGATTTTTTTTTCTTTTAAGACAATTTATCCTGGGCGCTTAACCTTTTACAAATGGAAAAGAAGGGATGGGCGCTTATAGAAGCATTTGTTCTTATTAGCTCGAATAGGTAGTTATCCGTGGTAAGGTCAGCTTCAAGAATTTCCAGGATGACGCATTTGTAAAGCTTAGGACGTTTTAAACGATAGTGCAATGACACTTCGTGCTCAATGGTCTGACTTGTGACTTCGTATTTCTGACTAGATACTTCCTATTTGTGACTTTTGACTTCTTACTTGTGACTTCCTACTTGTGACTGTTGACCTCCAACTTGTGAGTAGTGACTTCAAACACTTGTGGTCTTGACTTTTTACGTATCGACCTCTATTGTTTGTTTGTTTGTTTGTTTCATTTTACGCCTTTTTCAACAGTATTCAGTCATTTAGGCGGGTAGTTTCCTAACCATCGTTCCTGGAGAGTTACACCAGTACTAGAATACCTTCCTCCGCGCTAAACTACCAAAGCATCTCCCGGGGATTGAACCCACGCCAGAGAGGTAGCTGGATTAGAAGTCATCGACCTTAACCCCTCGACCACGGAGGCGGTTTCGACCTCTATTACAAATGGTTTAAGATACAACCGTTTCGTAATAAGCCCTCAAAATGGATTAAACAACTAGACCTTTTCTTGCCCTAGTATAAAGCGCCCGTGTAGGGCAAGGTCATGCACCAAAACTATGATATTTTGTTTTTATTCCACCAGTCCTATTTCCTCTAGCAAATTTAAGCTTGACATAACAAAGCTTTGGATACGAGACACAAGCACACGGAAGGTGGTTCTTTTTGTTATATTTTCCTCTAGATGACAACAATATCATTCTCAGCAAAGCTTCTACTTAAGCTCACGCGAATTAAAACTACAATAAGAGCGTCATGGGCAGCACACTCGACTATTCTTAGCTCTTGGTAGTAAAAGGAAAACCATCTTAGTCGACAAGGCAGTCAATTTTAACGAAATGCTTGACAGAGTTATCTACCCATGTCTAGGGGTTGGGGTCATTGTGGTTAACAAGTCAGCGATATCTTAAAGGACTTGAAACATAACTGATGTGGTATGAAAATTGGACAGAACATAAAACTTACGACGACGCCCGGATGAGGTGAAAGCTCTCCTTATTCTTCGAATCAAAGGGGTACGGCTCATTGAATGTTCACAAAATATGTATTTGATGGTAGAAAACATTTATCCTAAGTCAGAAATGAATTCTAAGTCCATTCCCATTACACTATATACTAATATATAGACAAGGGTAACAACTCCCATAAGAAGGTGTCTATGCCCAATCAGGGTTTTTGCTTCGCAGTTTTTTACACGATACAGCATAAATAAAAAGGAAGTATGCAATTTGTAGTCGAATGATTTATCTATCGAACCAATGTAAAACTTTTCTTATATCTCTTATACTTGACGAGTACTGGCCGTCAAAGTAACGAAAAACTGTTCATTTTCGCGGGGTCGACATCGATCGTGGCTACGCAGGAAACGCAAAGTTAATCGACTGTTGCAATCGTTCGAGATAATTTCACAAGCATTTATCATGCTGGGCAATTAAAAATACACAAAAGTAATCAAAATATACCAATAACCTATTATGACAATGTGATATAAACTCACCTGCGGCTTCAAAATATTTCCCCGTTGAAATTTCTATAAAACACCGCCATCTTGACGAATATAAACAACCGTTATCTGATTGGTCGGTTTTTTTTCGGAAATTTACGGGTATATTTTCGGGAAATAAATCGACCAATCAGATGACGGTTGTTTACATTCGTCAAGATGGCGGTGTTTTATAGAATTTTTAACGGGGAAATATTTTGAAGCCGCAGGTGAGTTTATATCACATTGTCATAATAGGTTATTGGTATATTTTGATTACTTTTATGTATTTTTAATTGCCCAGCATGATAAATGCTTGTGATATTAACTCGAACGATTGCAACAGTCGTGTAACTTAGTGTTTCCTGCGTAGCCACGATCGATGTCGACCTCGCGAAAATGAACAGTTTTTCGTTACTTTGACGGCCAGTACTCGTCAAGTACAAGAGATATAAGAAAAGTTTTACATTGGTTCGATAGATAAATCATTCGACTACAAATTGCATACTTCCTTTTTATTTATGCTGTATCGTGTAAAAAACTGCGAAGCAAAAACCCTGATTGGGCATAGACACCTTCTTATGGGAGTTGTTACCCTTGTCTATATATTAGTATATAGTGTAATGGGAATGGACTTAGAATTCATTTCTGACTTAGGATAAATGTTTTCTACCATCAAATACATATTTTGTGAACATTCAATGAGCCGTACCCCTTTGCTTCGAATAGTCGAGCTATAAATTACAGGATGTAAAATCAAGGACGATTAACACAATTGTGTTCTAAAAGCACAACATGACAATATCTTTTTAAAAATGTTAGTATTTATTATAATATTGATTTAAAAAAGAACTTTTATTTAACAATAAACAATTGAAGTAGAAAAAAATCAGTATTTATTATAATATTTTGTTCCATTTCTTGGAGCAGCGAACTAGTAGTTGGGGGCTGTTTTTTCTTCTTTGCCTTTCTATTTTTAATGTTGTCTATGACTTCCTTTATACGTTGTTTCCTATGTATGTCCTGTAAATTACAAAAAGATAAAATTTCGAAAGGTGCTTCATTTTGTGCTTCATTTTATCAACATTGCTTACCTGGTGTTTTAATAATATTATTTAATCACTGTTGCACAAGAGATAGTATTTTGTGATTTTGTGTACTTCATTCAAACATTCTCAATTAATTGAAGTTTCAGAATTACAATTTTCTAATACTAACCATTAACGACACAAAGTATACTGTCATGAGATAATCAGATTACACATGGTTTAGTTGTTTTAATAAAACATAGCAAATATATTCCGTTACTAATCTTTATTACAAATGGCATATTCTTATTAAGGGGAGGTAATTATGGGAGAACAGGATACATATCGGTAAATAAAACAAAATCAAGTCGATGACCTAAAAGAATTGAAGATGGGAAGGTAGCGGGCACTACAAACCAACATATTTTTTTATTTGGCCTAAGCACAATTAAAAACTGAATCACTTTAGTTTAGAAGGACTAACTTTATCAAAGTTAATTCTTCTTTCAAGTAAGCTTAAATTCAATGAATCTATGAAGCGAAAAGCACAGTATTACGGAATACCGTTAGGGCCATCGTGGTTGTACGTTATATTCCAGAGGGCGACAATGTGATAGTACGATGACGACAACGCGATAACACGAGGACGACAATGCTATAGACTATCACATTATTGTCATCGTACTATCGCATTGTCGCCATCGCATTATCGCACTGTCGCATTGTCGTCATCGCATTGTCGCCATTGCATTGTCGCGTTGTCATCATCGTACTATCGCCATCGCGTTGTCGCACTATCACATTGTCGCCCTCTGGATTATAACGTTCAACCACGATGCCCCTAACGGTATTCTGTACACTATTACTGATAGCAAAGTTTTTTTTATTATTTTGATTTCTGACAAGGTCTAGCTGATCAACTAGCTAGCTGAACCAAAGCGTTTTGAGCCACTTATGACCTCCTGGGTCTAGTTCTGGCTTTCAAATATAATATGCCGTTTTTTCATCTGAGGAGGCATTTTGTTCCCGTAATGTACAGTAAACTATAAATATGGGAACGTCGAATGTGTTTGACCAACCCGAATCCAGTGATAAATCTAATTCTCATATACATGGAGAGGACCAGATGAATAACCTTGGTGAATAAAATTGGTGTGTAATTGTATTTTATGCATTTAAGAAGAGTGTTTCTTTGTTTTTTAGTTTTGTGAATGGTATTAATACACTAAACGAAATCGATCATTCCGACAACCTTTTCTATGTACATGTATATATAGTGGTCAGAATAATTATGTATATATATACTTGTATAGAATAATTACAACGATTCTTGTATAAACACTTATCATAGTATCATCATTTTATATCAGTAAATGCATTTTGTAAAAATTCAATCTTAACAAGAAGCCAATAACTGATTTGGCATATATTTTGAAAACTCGAGCTTATCTGCAAGTTTAAATCTTAGTACTTATAAGTTTCATTAAGTATAGATTGTTTGATTGATGGAAGTTAGACTCGGTTCCCCCGTGAGTCTTGAAAGGAGTCACTTTTCTCACATTGAGGGAGAGTGTTAATTTCTTATGGTAAACGCATCTAGATCTCAGTGAACAAAAATACACAGACCGTCGAAATTGAATGCCCGATTAGTGATGGATATGTATAACATCGCTAAATTACATTATTTAAGAAGAATATTCAAGCAAACTATAAAAACTTACATCATCTGACAAATCCCTGTCCGCCATGTTGCATCTTCTGGCTTAAAATGAGCGGCAATGCATCATCACAAATAACAAGTCACAACTTTGAAGTCACAAGTCATAACTCCCAAGTCAATAGTCAAAAGTCATTAAGTCAGAAGTCAAAAGGGCCCTCCAGTGCTTCCATACATTTTTGGTCAATTTGCACAATAAAACATATCATTTTGAAAAAAAGGGTGGAGAAATGATGCAACAAAAACCTGCACATAAGTTATAGATCTAGACTTACATCAAATATACGCAATTCAAGGAAAAATAATTTTAGTCACGTCAAGTCGTCAAAATTGCCATGTCAAAAAATCCTCAGTGGATTCTCTTACTGACCCACTTTCAACAAACATTATGTTAAGGTTTTTACATCTTTATGATAAGGTATATCTTCTAAGAAACTTTCAAATACGAGACGTACGAAAATAAAATAATAATAATAATAATAATAATAAAAAGAAAAACATCATTTGCCTTCACCTATGCCCCCTTCACTGTTTGTATAATCAGTACTGAGGAAAGTGGAGTTTGCTCATAAGGGACATGTCTTTTTTTTTGTTCTTGCAACATATTTATTCCCAAAAGTAAGCGTAATGTACATACAAATAAACAACATTCAAAATAATTTTGCATAATAGAAAAGGCTGAGAACGGAAGACGAATCCTATTGAATTATCGTTAACATTTTATTGGTCCTCACTTAGTCTGATAAGAAATCTCAATATTGCTTCTTATTTAATTGTATGTGCCATAAGGTTTTTGATTTTAAGCCCCGACCAAAAAAGGTGAAAACAAAAAAAAAAACTTTTTTAAAATTCTAAAAAAAAAAATTTAACAAAAAATTTCCAAAAAACCCCAAAGGGCACGGGAAGGCGCTAAATTTGGGTTTTGGGTCTCATAATTAAAACTTTAAGGGGTTGATTTGGTAACTAGTTTTTTTTTGTTCACTTTTAAATTTTTAATGCTTTGAAAAAATCAGAAAAAGGTAAAATGCTGCCGAGTTGGTAAAGGGTCGAAACGTCTTGGGCAATTTTGGGCCGATACGTCTTTGGGCAGAAATGATTCGCAAACCCTGGTTTTGACTTCTCTGTGATTTCGCACACATTAATCGCACATTAATAACTATACAAACTAGTGTTTATTGCAAATAAATTCTACGATCATATAATATTCAAACAAAGATTCAAAAAAAGAGTTACACAACAACCGTAAAATAATTTAGGCAGCTGGGCATCACATCCACATGATTCATGTCATGAACTATTATGACGTCACTTTATATAAAGATAAATAAACATTTGTGACCTAATTAAAATATTTGCGCTTTAATCAATGTTATAACTGTCGCAAACTTGTTTACTTTTACATTTATCCCTGTTAAAAAAAGAAAACAATAACAAATGATAATGTACAACAAAATTGAATGAATGTTTGTACTACCTTTCTTCTTCGTGGGAAATCTTCTGTTTACTTTTCAGCGGGGTTTGATCACGTGACAAATTGATGTAAATTTTATGTAAACGAACGACATATAATTGGAGAGTACCAAACTGACGTATTTATAATCAAAATTATTTGAATATATTACCGGCAATTTGCTGAAATTTTTAAGAATTGCACAATATTAGAAATCTTTGACCAACCGTGAGCTATTTTTTCTGTTCTCTGAGAATGTGTCAAAATTTATGTGCACGTCAGTTGATACCGACGGACTTTTTGCGGATTTGGTAGTTAACGATATTAGAGTCTGAAATTCTGTATAAATTATTTGTTTGGGTCTGACGACCCAAACAAATAAAAAAGACCACACAAAATGACAGGGCGGTAGAAGTGGTAATGAATAAAAAGTGGGCACGAACAAAGACTTTGCCATTATGGAGTAAAAATACAAAAACTTGAAAACACAATAACACATTAAAATCATTGTCGAAATCTTGTCTCTCGGACTTTTAAAAAATCTGTCTTTCAGTTATAGGGTGTTAATGGTTTATTTGTTTAAAATCAGCCATAATGATTTAACATTTTGTGCCAATTTGCTTTTTTCTTTAATTTCGACCATGCCCGAAACAAAATTGCTCTTGTGTTACCAGTTTGACCACTGCTCCTTTAAAATAAGGTTCAGTGTGACATTATGCTTTTAAGAAGATGTACTTGTACTTAGTTGCTTTATCTTCTGTTTGGGACGGACTTTTTAATACTTTAGAGACATCACAAAAATGTCATTGCACATTTTCCGTTGTTTGTTATTCTATATCTTAAGTAACTAACTAATCAAAGAAGTATCTTTGTTGACGCTAAAATTTGGCGACATGAATTTGCTCGGAAGAAGCGATATAGCAATTTATTATATACCTCCGAAAAAAGTTTATCAGGGTGGAAATATATCTCATATCTGGCGTTACATTCTTAAACAATTGACATTCATTTCAGTTTTTGATTATTGAGCAAGAATAGTCCCGAATCTGATCAGAGTGCCGATCAAAAGGTAAAGCAATAACAATGCCCACAAGAGGTTACGCGACGAGACTCAAAGTATACGAAGATATCACAAAAATCTACATGTTTATGAATTTGTGACTATGAGAGTATTTAACCTGCATGTTGTTACACTTGCTTTACGCCGTTGAAATAATGATGCATGTAAACTTACTCACGAAGTACTCCTGTTTGAATAAAGCTTACCCAATGTGCTGAGTATGTGAAAACGCATTACCAAAACTGCAAAAGTAGCTCAGCAATTCTTTTTTTTTAAAGTAATGTTTGCTTGTGAGAAGAGACGCACTTTATCATAACGCCGACTAGCGTCTCACAAAGTAACGTTTATATTTATAAGCAACAAACTAATTGCACGCTGTCCTCATAGTCCAAAAAAATGAAAGTAACAAAGAAACAAACCAAGAATATCCACTAGTGGAGCGCGTAGTTGTTTTGTTAGCAGTAAATAACAAGTTTTGGTATTCCATACGCCATAGGCAATCATCTGCTCTGTACATCTTTTCAGGAAATTACTGACCAATAAAAACAAACTGTTTACTGTCCGTTATTGACCGGGCAATGGAAAGAATAGAAATGAAAATAAGCAAGGTTGTATTAATTTTTCTAACCGACACAAGTGGTTGAAATTATACGTATAGATCTATAGTTTATCCAACTCGATAGTTTCATTTTTCAAATTCTTATGACCATTTAATATTATTTAATGTAATTGGTTAAGAACGTTCGACCATTTAATTTAGTACATGCTCATTTAAGTCTAATAAACACATACCAATTTAGTGTTTGAAGTTGATTTTATAAAACTGCTCGTTTAAAAGACTGATAAAATTTAGTATATTTTAGTTAATTAATCGGCACCAGTTTGTCTCAAATTTCTACTCCGTTAAATCAGTTGATCTGTGTAAAAATTATGAAAATAATTTCAACCACTATATAGGTTAGTGTTTGTAAATATCTGCCACGCGCATGCGCAGAACCAGAAATAGTTAGTCTTATTAATGCTAAATAACATACACGGTCCTGTAACAAATGCTCACAAATAAAAAAAATATCTTTAGTGCTTGAAATTATTTTTGTGGCCATTGTGAGGGGCTTTAAATGACCAATGAAAATCCTAATTTTATTCAGTTCATTCCTATGTATTCACAGGAAGTCAATATTAACTTAGACAGCCTCGATAATAAATGCATAAACACAATACATTCACCGACCGTTATGTTAATATGAAACCTTTCCGAAAAGCGATCTTTAACTGCAACTCAACAAAGTCGGTAATGCAAATACTGCTAGGTGCGACCCAATCCCGTCTAAAATGTGTGTTAGAATTGCACGAGCTACATATCTCACTTTAAAAAGCACAGACTGATAAATGAATCCAGTCTCCTACAAGTTGCGCAGACTAGTTTATGTAGCTCCTCCTACGCCAAATTACATTAACTGGAATTAGGAACTCCCAACGGTACAACAAAAATGTAAATGTATTGCAGTACATAAAAACATAAAAGTATAATTTTCAACATGGTGATTCGGATATTCTATTTTTTTCTCTTTTTTTTCTTTTTTTTTTTTTTTTTTTTTTTTTGTTGTTTTTGGTTTTTTCTTTTTTTGGGGGGGGGGGAGAGAGATTTGCTATTTCTTAAGAATACAAGTAGATTCCACTCCGCAAAATATTTTGTTTAAAACAATCAAGCAGTAAGCTTATTCTGAAACAAAAGTAGCACATAATGATTTTGCGAATTTTAAAAAAAATGCAAACATTAAGATTTCTTCTTGACTTCAATAATAGTTTTAAATCTGAAAAAGGAGAGGTTCCACAGGAGCAATGTCAATAGCAATGAAAAATAGCAGACTCTGTTTGATTGCGTTTGTTCAGGAGAAAAAAAAATGCGAAAGTGCAACATCTGGCATGCCCCAAAGCACTAGTACTGACTTTTAATGGTATGCAATGTTCAAGCATAGTGTAAACCTTGATTGTATTTGATAAGTTCCGATTTAACGCAAAGCGCACAAAAAAAAAATAACGTTTCGTATGTTTATAAAGTACAAGGCCCTAAAAGGGCATTGGTCCCTACTTAATGAAAACAAAAACCGGTTGATGCTTCCCAAGAAGGTTCTGGACACATGAAAGTATAAAAAAAAAATGAACAAAGAGCAAAAACTCCAAAATTAGACAAGGCGGAGTTATGTTTTTTGCACTGCACTTCTATTCAATGAGATCTATCTATCTATAAAGTTTCCTGATAATATCAGAGTTATGTCCCGGGTAAAATTCAAAGTGTAAAAATGAACAAAGGGCAATAACTCCAAAATTAGACCAGGCTTTGTTTAGGTTCTTTAAGTATTGGAGTTCTATCCAATTATATCTAGCTACCTACACAGTTTCATGTTGATATCTCTAATAGTTTTAAAGTTATGTCCCGGACAAAAGTCAAAAAGAAAAAATAAACAAAGGGCAATAACTTCAAAACAAGGCAAGGCAGAGTAATGATTCTTAAGCACTGCACTTTCATCCAATGAGACCTATCTATCTACAAAGTTTCATGTTGATATCTCTTATAGTTTTAGAGTTATGTCCTGGACAAAGTTCAAAGTGTGAAAATAAACAAAGGGGGATAATTAAAAAAATAGGCAAGGCAGAGTTACGGTTCTTGTGCACTGCACATCTACTCAATGAGATCTATCTACCTACAAAGTTTCATGTTGATACCTCTTATAGTTTTACAGTTATGTCCTGGACAAAGTTCAAAGTGTAAAAATAAACAAAGGGGAATAATTCAAAAATTAGGCAAGGCAGCGTTACGGTTCTTCTGCACTGCGCACCTACTCAATGAGATCTTTCTACCTACAAAGTTTCATGTTGATACCACTTATACATTTAGAGTTATGTCCCGGACAAAGTTCAAAGTGTAAAAAAAACAAAGGGAGATAATTCAAAAATTAGGCAATGCAGAGTTACGGCTTTTGTTTACTGCACACCTCCTCAATGAGATCTATCTACCTACAAAGTTTCATGTTGATACCTATTATAGTTTTAGAGTTATGTTCTGGACAAAGTTCAAAGTGTAAAAAAAAACAAAGGGAGATAATTAAAAAATTAGGCAAGGCAGAGTTACGTTTCCTGTAAACTGAACACCTACTCAATGAGATCTATCTACCTACAAAGTTTCATGTTGATACCTCTTATACTTTTAGAGTTATGTCACGGACAAAGTTCAAAGTGTAAAAATAAACAAAGGGAAATAATTCAAAAATTAGGCAAGGCAGAGTTATGGTTCTTGTGCACTGCACACCTACTCAATGAGATCTATCTACCTACAAAGTTTCATGTTGATACCTCTTGTTGTTTCAAAGTTATGTCCCGGACAAGAAAAGGGGACGGACGGACGGCCGGACGGAAAGACGGACGGACGGACAAGGCGGCGACTATATGCTCCCCCGAAATTTTTCGGGGAGCATAAGTATGTTATACCGTAAATAATTATGTTGGTAGTATTAAGTATCATACGTTACGAAAATTAAATATGTGTGAGATACAGGATTCGATACAATGATGCTATTATATATTCTTGAGTACAATACTAAACAATATTGATTACCCTGAAGATAATGAGGATCGGTGGAGTACGATAAGCATTTGATATAGATATTTTGGACTCTGAAAATGATAATGAAAACGAGGCTATATACGGTGCGTCATGCATTTGATATGACTTTTTTGGATTCTTGAAATGGAAGCGAGGCAAACAATTTAAGATTGAATTTGAAGGTGGTTCAAACGCTGAAGGTTCACTGGTTATTGTATAAGGTGTTGAAATTAATATCCTTAAACATGTTTGGTTATTTCTACGGTTGCTTGCAATATTGTTTCCCTGGATACCATAAACAACCGTAATACTAGGTCATAAAACATGTCAAAAGCGTTATCACTAATAATGCAAAGGGCATTTCCTTCAAACAAAAGCAACTTTTTCATCACACCCTACCGCTATTTACAAAATTCCAATAATTATTAAATTCCAATACAAAGTTAATTATAAACTTTGTGAAGTCAATACATTTCTGCAAATTTCTGCAATTTTTAATCATTTACCAACATGGTGCTAAAGTAAAATACATGAATATAAAAGATTCCCAAGTTCATGTAATCAAATACACAGTTTCTTTTGCAACTGTGTACATGTATATCATTTCAAAAAAGGCATCGTGTAATGTTTGGCCGCTCCTAGTAACACCTCACCAGACATTTAATATTTTTATCATGCAACAATTTCACACATTTAGTACCATACAACCGGCAGAATAGCAATTACATTGTGTCGATTTCTCATTCATTCCTTATATCAAAATATAAGTAATAACTCGTGATTAAGAGGAAACTCCATTCAGATATTTCAACAGAGTGAAGCCAGTCCTCGGGAGACAAAAGGAAATGATGTAGTAATATCTACAAGCTGTACCTTGTACAGGACGTTACGGCAGGTGTCCAGACATTAGCACATACCCACACATTCCCCCATGGCTATTACATATTCCATATAAAATGCCGAAATTGAATTCATCTCATTTTGCAGATTGTAGAACACTTGGAATACTTCGGGAACTATCCATAGAACGGGTAAGTATTTTTCTTCTGACTTTTTGAAAATTATTGCCGTTTCTGCAAATTGTAAGTTGGTCATCAAACTTGCTTTAAAACGTCTTAAATGTGTGAAATGCTCTTATATTTTTTCAACGAATTAATTATTGACAATTTTTCAACTTTGAATCATGAAGTATAAAGATTTTTCCTTCTTTTTTTCTAACTTTCTTTTTATATGAATTACAAATAATATTTAAAAGGTGACTTTAATATATAATATTTACATGCAACAAACGTTAATTATCATATAATGTAAAACATTTGAATTAATTGCTTTTAATGTAGCGGTTATATAATAAGAAACATTGTTCAATAATTAAGTCACGTTCATATTTCCATGAAAGCTCTTATTGAACCATGTCAGATTCTGAACAATATTGACGTTTCTGCTGTTCAAATAACGTCTATGAAACAGAACTGCTTTAAACTCCTCTTTTTTTTCCTTCGCAAATCTCTCATTTTGACTTCCAGTATAATACTTCCTACACCGTTAGTTGCTCAGCGTGTGAGAAAGTCTGAAAAGTTAAGTTTGTGGTTATGACTTGTTGATAATTTATAATCATATTCTGTCATTACAAGCGCTTTACCAGTATCAATGCGAGGCCTGATTCTAATGGTAAATACTTTGAACTGAATTGAATTGTATGACCAGAGATACATTTGTTAAATAAATAACAAACAGAAGTAACTGTTCACATTCATTAACAGTATGAGACGCAGCTATCCCAGTAGCATTTAAATCTTTAATAATTGTACCGAAATGTCTTCATCAGCAGCAATGATTTAATAAAAGACTTAAACAATTTTATGTGGTAGATTTTTCACACTTTGTCATGACTATTTCGAGGGAATTTTAGCTGTAAATGCGTTAAAGTGACATTGTGTCCATCCATCGGTAAATGGTCAGTGAACAGATGAACGTCAAATTAAGTTTACATTTCGCCATAATTTGTTTTTATATTTTTTTTTATAATTTAATAGGCATGAAGGATAAATGACTAACTTGGCCGAAGGAAATTTTGTTCATATCTATGGAAATTTACCTATAAAGTTCAATTTATATAAAAAAGCGGAGCAGTCTTTTTATATTCTAAGCCGAGTTATTTTTTTATCTTGAACATTTTTTGAACAGTTGGCCTCCCTGTTATAACGGTCAATCATTCGAAATATATAGTCATTTAAGCTTACCTTAACAATAAGAAAATGAGCATTATGTCATTTAAGTAAAATTTATGTTTATGATAATTGCTAGTTCTAATAAAACAAATCATGCATTTAATTCAAATTGTTAAATGGGTAAAAATACTTGCCTTATGATACTAACACGTGTTTTTGCAGAGTAACAATGAAAACCTTTATTGCAATAATCGTGACAACACTGGTTGCTATGGTAACAATAGAGATGGCCGGGGTTCAAGGTCAAAGTTATCATTTTAGCAACGGATGGAATCCAGGAAAACGATCAATGCAAGAACCAGCAATGTGCCATTTTAGACCGGAAGTCCAAACATTAGTATTTAAATTAATTGAGGTAATTATTGTAACCAAATCACAGAAATAAACCAAGGATGGAAATTACAACTGCATTGTGGCCTTAAATATGTTAACAAATGGCAGTCAGAATTATTTCAAGATGCTGCTATTTAAGTAATATGGTAGTAAATTGCCTTACAGGCGAATGGCGCATGCACACAACCATTGCTAAACGGATAACACCCTACTTAAATTAACAGAATACTATTTTGTTCCGGGACATTATTTTCTGTTTATTACAATATTCGTATATTTTGAATAAAAAGATTTTCTATGTCACATCTCGTTCGAGAATTAACCATTGCAATATGAAAACAATATACATTTGTAATGTTACTGTTGATAGATTTTATAAATATTGCATAACATATAGGTTTATACCATTTTATACAAAATATTACTTGTATGTTATATATATGTTTTACTCTGTTTGAATAAAATTGCGAAAATAAAATAGTTTAGAAAGGATAATTCGATGCCTATCTGTACGTGAAGAGATCTCCTTGTTAATGTTTTTTTTTGGAAAAAAATGATATACCTTATTATATCAGAAGTAATTTATCTGAATTGAAAGTAATTTATCTTATATCAGCTGTTCAACTTAAGTAACACCATCGTCCTGATGTTGGTGCACCAAATGTAATTGAACATATTTCATTTAAATACAAACTATCCCACAGTTGGAAACTACTAAATATCTGGTCTTTTTATATTGATTTGCAGGAAGAAATACAACGGGTCTTGTCCGAAACAAGCTGCATTGCAGGATCCCGAACACTTAGGACTTTAGTAAGTATGGTTTTGATAAAAAAAATCGCAAAATTAAATACCATGCAAATTGAAACGACAGAATATCTTTTATCATTTGTAAGCAATTAGTTAACACATTCTTCGCGTATGTTGTATGTATGTTTTTCTCGTACAAGACGGTGCAGTTTGAATAAAATAGTGAAATTATAAACTCAGCAATTAATGCCTAGTACAGTGAATATTTTAATTTTGAAAGGAATGACGCTTCAAATCAATCTGATGATACGAATTATTTTCTATAACTACATATTCTGTAAGTGAAATAAGAAATTGAAAGTTTTGTAGAACATTCACGTAATAACTCTACACCATCAAAACATTGCATTTCTCCATCTAAAACTTGTTGTTGTAAATGGCGTCCTGTGTTGGCCTTTTATCAATTAAATCGAATTTAGACGAATAGCAGCTATACGTTAGGGACCTTATATAGGAACAAGCTGTCGCCTTTTGCAAGACTTGGTCTCAAAGCTTAGTACATTACAAATGTCCTCTTCTGGCTCCTTTCCAAGAAGCACTGCAGATTAATGTCGCATTAGTCATTATCAATTGCCTTTTTCTAGTCTAGAGATAAATTTATTCATTAAAGTGGTATTATGCTCATAGTTGAGCTTAACTTACTATATAGTTCACAAGATTGACTGTAATAATGGTGATTGGCCAGTTGATGCTGGAAAATATTTAGAGTGAATACAAATCTGCCCTAGATACAAAAAGAATGTTCCACTCTTTTTAAGATTTGAAGGTCAATTTCAAAGTATATTTACAGACATTTTCCTGTCCCATGTGAGTTATTTATTGTTCATGCGAAGTAAATTATACAATTGAAAATAAATTATGGCAAAGTGTAAACTTATACATCCTTTCACTTGTTCAGTCACTTTATGCTCTTGTATGGACATTATGTCACTTTAAGCTTATACTATTTAAATTGAATTATTCAATACTTTCGCTTGCAAATAACTGTTTAAGAAAGGTATGTCTTTGGACTTGCCTTGGGTCTGCACCAGTTGTGCTAGACCAGTACATATTATCAAGTCATACGATGCTTTAAAATCTTTAAATTAAAGTAAACTTGAGTTTTATAATTTTAATACCTTTCTATATCTAAGAAGGGTATTCTTATGAACAGGGCATATGGAATATAGACATTCATTATTTTTGTACTTTCAGTTGAAGAAGAACATAGCTTACGACGTTCCACTTGACGACAAATTATAAAGACATGGTGTATAAAGAATGTTTTGTATGTGTCGGCCGTTAAAGGAATACAACAACAACCACCAACAGAAACAACAACAACAATAACTAATATTAAATGTTATTTAACCAGTCGTATTAAGCTGGACCCACAACGGTTGACGGTTGTATAAATTCCACAAAATGTAATATTTTAGGCAAACCTCCGTTGTTGACATTTTGACCATTTTTATAGGATCCGAAAGCTGAAATACATTCAACATCATTTAAAATATCACACAAGAAGAGGTGTATTACAAATATAATAATTGAAACGAAGTGACACCGAGAAAGTCACGGGTAGGTCTTGTTCAATGCGTGTAGACTTTAATATATACTGTTATGTATGTTTGATACATTTGTTATGCGCTTGACACTTGTCTTCAGAAAAATTATACATTGTTTAACTCAGCATGTAGTTCGCTCACTGCAACGCAATATAATAAAATTGTGAAAAATATTTTACTTTGTATTTTATTCAATAGTCTGCAAACTGGAATCTGATATTTCATTTATTTATTGTATAAATTTAGTTTCAAGAGTGATGTATACATTGTATATTGATGTTTATCAAGTTTAATTACCGTGTAAGTAGTTGCCTCCCTTTATACAAAATAAACGTTTGATGGATCTTAAGCTGGTATAAATAATTATTTCTAAAATAGTCTACCTTTTATTTTATCTTCTGAAATACATCAGAACCTACTGTCATGTACTCTTTTACTTTCCTACACTTATACTGTGGCCTAATGTTTATGCGAGTACTGTGCCAGCAGCTTCTAGTGATTTTGATATTATAATAACCAAGACAATTTCAGTGGAATAAGGCCGTAACTTTAATGATCAGATATCCAATAGTCATAAATGGCAATTACCACAAGAAATAACAATACGTCACAAAAGTATATCTAAATATAAACTGATAGATATGATGAGATGAAAAAAATGAGAAGAGAATCTCTAGCTAAAATGCATAAAGACTGAATAGACAACGCCAAGATGCGGAAAACATCGTATGTGAGAAGCTAGCAATTAACAGTGAGCTAATCACAATAAGTTTAACCTGCCATAAAACAATGTATGGAGAAGACACTGATCAAGCAAGGAAAAACTAGTAAGAAAATGAGACTAAGATGCACAACACTTCCTCTTTTAAATGAAACGATATACATATTGTTATTTTCAAACGTGTCGAAGATCTCAGATATATTATTTAGAACTCAATTCGAACTGTAATTCCGACCAAGTCAAGTCTCCCTCCTCTCCTTCGCTTACCCTCCGACAATACATGGTGTTGCCTGAAAAACTCTCATAATTTACAAGATGAGACACTTGATTTCAAAAACTTTAAATCTTTCTATAACAATCTTACATTCGCTATTTGATTTTATCTGATCCAGGCGAGTTCCTTCATTTTCGAAAACTTCAAACCTTAACTTATTTTTACATATTTCTAAGTGTTTTAATTTCGAAATAATGACCAAAGCGTCATTAATGGGTGTATCATAGTTTAGGGACCATTCTGTTGAAAATGTACATGTATTAAGGTAAGTCGTTTACATATACATGCACAGTGCATGCTCATACATTGGATCATTTGTTTTTTCCGAGATTTACTTAACGTAACAACAGAGAAAGGGATAACGATAGAAATGAGATAAGATGCTCGGTCATTGCTTACTTTTTCTTTTTTTTGTGCGCGTGTGTGTGGGGGTGGGGGTGGTGGTCATATTGTGACCTCAGGGACAGTGTTTGTATTTGTGCCTGTAATACAAAAGAGAAAAAAACATCAAAACACTCGACATTCTGATAAATACTCGATGAGGGAATGGCGGTGGGGGGGGGGGGGGGTTACGTCCCCTCGTATAAATCCGAAAGCCTCGTGTTTCGCTGCTCATTTTAATTCTTATCTTTAAGGCATTATTAGTATATTAGTAACCTTGTTTATTCGATACAGATGATAAAACTGTTTAGACCGAATAAGTATAACACATTTTAAACTAAATTGTTTCAATATTCCTTTGATATTTGCCAAACTTCCTATGTCATATAAATACTAATAATTGTATGATTAGTTTTAAAACTACATACCAGAGATCTGAATGGCATTTGCAACAAGTTTTTAATAAGGAGCAAGAAGAAAAGAAAATCACGACAAGAAATGCCAGCTTTTACCTGATGAGATTTCTTAAAAAAGACGTTGCTGAATTAAATAACAAAAAAGTAAAGGGATATCACGAACACCAAACATTGAAGTGAAATCTTAATGCAAACAGCAAAGGACCAAAAGCGAGAACGATATCCAAACTTAAGTGAGTATACTTGCTTATGAATGCTATTCATACATGTAAATAGTTGATAAGGACGGGCGTATAGTAGCAAAAATTACGAAATATATAATATTATCTTTGACACTTTTAAAAGGTATACAAATAGCAATTATAATTACTAATATCTTAGTATACCGGCAATTTTTACAGGTGTTTAATATTTTGAACGTAACTAAGGTCAAAATCTAAATGTTTTAACGAAGGGCATATTTTAATTAGTGGTAACAACTCAACTTAACCATGATCTGCACGTGAAAGTATATGTATAATATATACCGTTCAAAAGATATTTGATTTTTCTAACCAACAGTCACACGATTTGCACGTGCAATAAAATATTTGCAGGTCATTTAAGTACATGTGGATTTGTACATGGCTGAGTTGCATTGTGATTTTGAGAGAGGAGTAAAGAAATTATTGCAATATTTGTGGGTTACTGAGTAAATGCGAGTCAGAAATAAAAACGGATCTAAGTTATGAAGAAAATCGTACAATTGCCAGATGGTTGTCAATGTTTAAGGGTGGTAGAATTAATGACATTTAATTTAACGCGAGCCATTGCCACTAATAAAAATATGCATTTTTAAGTGTTTTTATAAACAAGTCATGCCTGTGAAGATGATTAATAGAGCCTTTGAAGACATTCACAATGGATCTCTTCATACCTTTTCAGCTTAAGAATACATTCGAGCCGAGTCACGACAAAACCAGCATAATGCGTTTGCGACCAGCATGGATCCAGACCAGCCTGCGCATCCGCGCAGTCTGATCAGGATCCATGCTGTTCGCTTACAAACCCTTTTACAAGTAGAGAAACTGATAGCGAACAGCATGGATAACAGCATGGTTTTGTCATGACACGGCTCATTTCGTAAAAGCATTTTTTTAACTGTTCTTTTTGGTAATATACGAGTTTATACACTGGTAGAGAGCGCTTCCGACGGCACTACGGGCATCGAACCGACCACCTCGAGACCAAGATTCCATGTATGGATTTAGCCAAAAGTCACAAGGAGAGAGGTCAGGACTATAAGCGGGATGTAGCAAAACCTCATGCTCTGCCCCTCTAAATAAGCTTGGACCAAAGCAGACCCGTACCCAGGTGCATTATCATGGAGTAATTTCTTACGCACATTTACCCAATAATCCATGAATTTTGCAATAATCTATTTGCTCTTCTCCGACACAATGCTTACAACCGGTTTACAAAACAACATGTATTTAAAATGAATGACTGGCTCAAATTGTAACGCACGTGCAAATCGTGCGAAAATAGACTGCTTGGTTAGAAAAATCATTAATCTTTCCAACGGTATAGTAAACATGTATTTTCATGTGCAAATCATGGTAAAATTGAGTTGTTGTCACTAATTAAAATATGCCCCTCGTGAAAGTGACAATTTCAGTACCAATTTGTTATGTGATATTTCGGGTTTGTTTGGTTTAGTTTACGTAATAGTTATAGTACATGAAACGAGTTAGTTACGAGGATATAACACTGGCTGGGACGACACCAAGGGATGTTTCTACAAAAAAATGGCGAGACAATTTTTTGCAGAAACATCCCGAGATGTCGCCCAGCCAGTGTTATATCCTCGTAACTAACGAGTTTTATCTACTATAACAGTTTTATCGCAATGGCATATTGTTTTCTTTTTGTAATAGAAATAAATAAATTGTTAGCTACATTTTAATTATTGATGATTAGGCAGTTTTTTTTTCCAAGTTGTTTTCGCTGCCGCAGAAAAAACGAAAAGATTTACAAAAGACATCCAATGTTAGACGCGGATTGTAAACTGTTACCAATATTGATTCAAGATTAAAGGGCTTTTTTCTCAGAGAAAATAATATCTGTCTGATCTTTGCGAACAGCTCTAAAATATACAAACCAGTTAAGGGAAAGAAAAACATATCTCAGTTTTGCAACTACACATGTACACCCGTTTATATCTATGGTTACAAGTATATATTAACACTCACAATAATTTTGATGATAATAATTCCTTTTCACAGCACAAAATAGCGGTAAATGATTGTAAAAGTCGAAAATACCACGAACGATAGAGCTTTGCCTTTTAACATACTGGCGCTTATGGAAGACAATTAAAATTACGATCATGGATATAAGAAACAATTACTGATGTTTCCTATGAATTTGAAAAGTAAAAACTTTAGCTGTCCTTTAAAAATCTTTACCAAACAAGACGTTCTTTGTTACGCAATTAAGGTAGTACTACAGGCACCAACATTCTTGTAGACTGTCTACTGGCAAAACATATAGTAACTTTAAAGAATAATATATTTGTCCGCTTTTTGTGGTGCAAATAAACTTTAAAAAAACATCGCTTATTTGCACGTACGACGTGATAAAATTAACTGAGTGTGCCTTTTGAAAAATAGAAAATCTATAACGCACACTCTCAAAAATCTTGTCAATTCAAATGGACCGCGTCATCTCATACGGTGTGTTCTATATTCAAGCTCCAATAAAAATATATCAATAGCAGGAGGGTATTTTCGTATATAGGTTATCTGGTTATTAGGTTATTCGAGTGAATATGTGTGGCTTTGACATCAGTAAAATTTTAATTGAATGCAGGAGTATTTAATTCGGTAAAGGTAACATAATATAAGTACATATATAAGTAATTAATTACGGCCCACATAAAGTGAATGGTGTCAAATGGTAAACTTTATAAAGAGTACTTTCTAACCAGTTCTTTTTCCACATGGCATAAACTGCTACAAGATTGGCGGGAAATTCCCTGACAATTTGTTTCTCTACCGTGTGGTCTAAAGTTTTTAGAGGAGACTGTTTAGTTCTTGTGTGAAATCATTTTTTGTTACCTTGACATACTAGCTGTTAAAAACAAACAAACAAACAAACAAACAAACAATAAACAATTTACAGAAACTTATATGTCTTAAATTCCATTTCAGGGAGCTTTTTCTGTGCTCAAAGGCTAATTCTGCACGAATACAACCCATTTGATTATCAGTTAAGATCAGAAAAGGAAATGTAAAAAAGTATAATTGAAAACCAAACATGGACGATTAAGATTAACAAAGAAGGCTGGCGTGTAATATACGCGCCCTCCCCACAGAAACCAGCATCACAGAGTTACTGGCATTGAGTCCAGCAGGGAAACAAGGGGAAAGGGAAAGGACAAAATGGCGAATTACAGTCGAGGCGTTATTATATAAAAACTGAAAGAAGGAAATCATAAAAAGACACACAGTAAATTATCTAATATACACTTATTGACTTGTGAGCCATTGAATATGATGTGATATTCACCGGCAGATGACGAGGTCAATATGACTTTCTGCCGGTGAATATCACATCATATTCAATGGCTCAGTAGTCAATAATTGTTTTATTATATGAATAGGCTTAGAAATAAAGAAAATCACAAACAAGTACATCCTTATATACATGTAAAAAATTTGCCTCGTTGAAGCGCAGGAGAAAACGACGCACGTGTTAGGCGTGCAACAAGTACGCGAACGCTGCTCATACAAAAATAATTCAAGTTTTTACTCATCATTGCGGTGAGGCATTTATATATAATAGTTAAGTAAATGATATTTTACTTGAGAAATGTGCCATAAAGATCAAAAAGCAATAATTATTTTTTTAATTGTCAGTCTACGGTGTATGATCTTTGAATATGAGTCTCAATCTATTTTTTAGAAAATCCAATTCAGCCCGTTAATATGATACTACATCCAATGAATATGATTTTATTAAAAGTTCTGTTAACTACTGTTTGGACCAATGACATTGTAGCTATATTTAGATCATATAATAAAGATGATTTATTATCATAGTGACTTTGTGTTTTATATTCAATCTGTCTGCGATTTCATCATCTTGTCATCGTACTTTCATCATCGTTCCATCTCGTTTTCACCATCGGAGCATCGTGCATCGCGAGCAAGTGTTAAAATGGTTACATCACGATTATTAAAACTGAACACCGTTCAGTAGATTCTAACAGCAATATTATTTTACAAAACCCATCTTTTATGATATATTTTTCTTTGGTTAATATCCGAATCTACTCGTATAACCTTTGTATATATGTATGGCGTTATGCAATGTATATGATTAGAGTTTTAACCATAAAATAATTTTATTGGTAAACTAATATATGCAATTCCACTTTTGCAAATCAGAGCAAACCGGTCCAACAATTACATGTAATATAAAATGTATAAAGTAGGGCAACGTAAACATCTAGTTTAATCACGTAAACATGCAAACATGTTATCAAAAAAATTAAATATTCAGTCAAATCAATACTACCATACCATATTAACATATGACCTAGCCCGAAAACGGCACGGGGTATACTAACGTCATCAAAGATTACAAAATGAAGCCTACATTCTTACGAAAGGTCATTGTTACATTGTGGGACATTATCATCGTGTATATCCAGTACCAGTAACGCCGAATGAGAAAATAACGTACGATTTGCGCAAACAGTTCATTTATTGACAACTTAACTAATAAAATAGGAAAAAGCCGTAAACGGCTGCGAATACAATGTACATTATTCTTAATCCCTCCCATAAAATTACTAACTTTACAAGATAATTCATGAAAGTTATGGCTTGACCACCGTTTTGAGCGTGATTTTGGCTTTTTGTCGACTCTTACTAATACAACAATGCACACTGTACAAGTCATTAAAATTTCGATTATTGGTAGGCAAGTGACATTGACTAAACTTCTAGTGACATAGAAATTTGAAAAAACTTAAGCTGTTGACGTGAATAGTTCTTCGCGGTAACGGCGGACAATGTGTATTTTTTCATATATGGTACTGAATTGTTGCACGGGTTTTCAGAATTTCATTCACAAACACGAGCAAGAGAATACACACATAAAATATAAAAATCTACTTTTACAATTAAAGAAAACTGAAAAATTACGAATTACTTAAAACTACGTACCACAAGAAGATTGTATGCTTCGAAGGCGTAAGACAGTGTAAACATGTATAAACTATTTTATTTCTATTCTTGCATATCAGACTGGCGTTTTCATTAGTTTTACCCATGCCGAAAATTTCGTCTGGTATGGGGGTGCCAGATGAGTCGCTTGCTGTACAATGGCATGCTTAAGATGACGTAATTTTACCGTTATGAATGAAGTTGCAGTTGTTATTTCAAGCGCTGTTGTAAGAAAATAGTTGCTGATGTAAAGACATAAATTCCATCGAAACTTGTTTTATTAAGGTAAAGAGTTTAAAATATAATGGAATATGGTATAATATGCAAGAAAAATACCTGACGTATGTTTGCGGTTCGGATCAGAATATCCGTCCCTCGGGATCCCACCCATGCAAGCCTCGTAACCGCCAAATGGGCAGTTCTCCTCGGGACGGATATTCCTATCTGAACCGCAACATATGACAGATATCATTCTCCTTTCGAGTACACCCCTTCTCTACAATATATGTGTTAATATTTTATAGGGGGGAATTTTATTCATAAATTTACATTTTAAAAGGTTTTTTTTTTAAAGTGCAAAAGCTAGTATTTTTTCTACGTCAAAGCATGTGTCGTCCCCCATCCTGTGATTACATCCATATATCATTATCAAGTGTTTTGATGTAACATATGATGCTAAAAATACTATTAACATAGTCATGGACCGATTCACTTTAACCTGTTTACAGACTAAAAACTAACTTTACTGTCTGTTGCAGAAGGGAAAAAATCCCGGCATATTTTATCTATTCCTTTTTTATTTATTCATTTATTTTTGTAAACAAAACATGTTGCAATATAATCATCTTTAAGAAATTCATATATGCAAGTACTTGTACACTAATCATGCTTGAAAAAAAATCTATTTTTTACCTCCACAATTATAGCCGACCGTATCAGTTTATCTGAACGAACGAGATCCGGTTTATTAATAGATTTTCATTAAATGTATTTTCACAAAGCTGTAAAATGCATTAAACATTGAATATGTTAAACCGCCTCACAGTATTCGATTTAGAAGTACACCCCTCTTCACATCCCATTGATCATACATGAAATATATTCAGTTTCGTTATATTTGTATGAGGAGAATGACACCAGAGTAGGCTCTAAACTTCTTTATAGTGGAAAAATGTTCAAATAAAATCTCAATAGATTTATAACAATTTGAATACAGGGTGTTGAAGCAAGGAATAGGGTGGTTGTGGGGTTTATTTTTTTTAAATTTCAATAAACGTGTGCATGTATCTAAAATAGTAAATTGTTTTATGACATGCAGTACATTTAAATGAGTGGTTATGCATGAAAAGTATATCGAATATACATACGTATCTTCTCGATTTATATTTCATTTAAGATTTTATTTGCCTTCATATAACATCAGGTAAAAATTGGAAATATAATCGGCAAAGGCTATCGGGATATACAAATAGTGGTTAGTACTGTTGTTTATTTTCTATCTAACTTTAAATTTTCAAGAAATAAATTAATTTTACAATTATTTTGTTAAGGAATCAGTTACGGTTATTTGGTTTATTCTTAGGTCTCAAAGAATATACATTGTGCGCAAGAAATTAGTATGCACTAATTAGTTATATAGTACAGTTTAAAAGATGATCTTATAATTCACATATATGTAACAAGATAAACGCGATACAAGTATCAATACGTATAGAACGTGGCCTCGGTTATTCCGAATTTATAATATGCTTTTAAATTTAAATAATTACTTTTCTGCAAGTGGTTCAACAAATCAATGGTTATACAACAATGTACGAGTATACATATATTAATACCTATACATAAGATTCAAATACGTAAACGCATAAAAAGATTACTTCCCGGTTATATTTTGTATGAGTAAATACAACGTGAAGGTGTGTGTTTTAATTGAGTTTCAAATCAGTAAACACATCGTCTAAAGTCTGATTAAATGCAGCATTCCCCCAGACACTATCTCCGTTAGTATGTTGTCAAATACGTCAGATGCGAATGTACTCGGCATTGAGACAGTGACATCAAATAGCTTCATATGATTAGAAATAAATTAAAAGGATTATTGAATAAATGGGAATAAATAAATAAAAATTAATTAATTAATTAATTAATAAATTTAATAAATAAATAAATAAATAAATAAATAATTTAGTAAATTAGAAACAAACAATTAAATGGAAAAATTAATAAGTTAATAGTTAATTAAATCAAAAATCTTATAAATAAAAAAAGATATTCACTAAATTAATTAATAGCTATCAATTTACACATTAAAAAAAGATCAATTAATTTAAGCATTTAAACAGTACTATGCCCTTTTATTGATAATTATAACAGAATATGGTAAAATATGCAAAAAAAAAATATCTGACATACATAAGTTTGTGGTTCAGAACGGAATGTTCGTCTGTCGGGTACCTGTCTATGGGCGTCAAGTCGTCAAGCCTCGTTATCGCCAAATGGGCGGTTACCCTCGGCACGGATATTACGATCCAAACCTCAGAATATGATTCTGATTAATCAATAATTAGGGTTTGCTCTGTTTAATTAAAATGTTACAATTTTAGCTACCGTTCATCTTTAAGACCATTTGATATGCGTTATAAATATGAATTTGATATATAACATATTTCCTTTCTTATCTAAATGGAAAGAATATATAAATAGTACTACATGTATGTATGGGTAAAACTAAATTGTAAAATTTAACTTTTTGTTGCATGGATTTACAACTTACTTTCAACAAAACTGATTAAATGTTTGTTTTATTACAGATGCGTAGGCGCGCTTATGTCAGACTTCTGGCATTTCTTGTCGTCTGCTACACCACCTTTGGTTTTGTCACGTGGTACGGGTCTTACCAGAGGGGTTCCGGTAAGTAAAATAGAATGTGATATGTCAACCTTTGTTTCTTAGTTTCTTGTGCCATAAATGAAGGTTTGTAAAACAATAAATAATTAATAATTTTATACTGATTATATTTTTTTGAATAAGTCATAACAGCAAACCATGAAATAATATATAATTATGAATGTTGTTGGTTTTAACATATTTATTCAACGAAACATTTAACAAGTGAACAATATTTACAAGTATATTTTTGGATTGGGCAGAAAGCTATAAAACTTTGTTTGGAATGAAAGTTGTTGGCAAGTGTGAGATACATCATCCGATATTACATAATTATATTCATATATGAGCCGCGTCACGACAAAACCAACATAATGGGTTTGCGACCAGCATGGATCGAGACCAGCGCAGTCTGATCAGGATCCATGCTGTTCGCTATCAATTTCTCTACTTGTAATAGAGTTGGTAAGCGAACAGCATGGATCCTGATCAGACTGCGCGGGTGCGTAGGCTGGTCTGGATCCATGCTGGTCGCAAACGCACTATGTTGGCTTTGTCGTGACGCGGCTCATATAATGATTGTTCTAAAACAGAATATAATTGTTCATACTGAATCATTTAGAACTGTATCATTTTTTTTTTCAAGCAATATTTGATAAGAATATCTCATGATTCATTTTTATTTTTTCATCAAAATTTGAAATACTTTTATGGAAAATGTGCTAATTATACACATAACGCGCTGGACAAGTAACCCGAGGTCCCGTGTGTCGGTGCTGTTCACCGGGCATGTAAAACTGTATATCGCCCTTGAAACTGGGCAATAACTATCTTATGCAATAGCCTGAAAACATATAACCTTATTTTTGCAAGTGCTTTAGAATAAAGGCAACCGAATGCGACAGTGAATAAACAAACAAACACACAAAAATAATTGTACTTCGCTACAGTTTGCAAGAGTGTAGCTCATTCCTTGCTACATCCGCATATAATTAGAAACAGCAATTATAATTATGTAAGATTTTCTCTTCAGATTTAATCCCGTTTACTTTAAAGATTAAATCAAATATTCTTTGTTCGGAATGAAATATGTATACACTTTATCATATCATACATATATAAAAACAAGTCAATTTTCAATCGTTAAGCAGCAGACGAGCTGATTTCCGGGGAAATGAAACAATCAAACTTTGCACCGGTTGTTGTTGTTGCATACATGCGCAGTGGATCCACTTTAACAGGGAATCTTATTCAGCAAAATCCGGATACATTTTACGTCTTTGAACCACTTCACGATATCATAAGAGGGTATCAAAAGGAAAAAGAAATCCAGTTCCCCAAAACAAGATTTGTGTAAGTTTTGTAGATTTTTTTTCTGATAATATCTATGTATATTACTATCTGTTGTGAAAGGTTTTACATGGTTACAAAACATTCTGTTAACTGTTACCAGTAAATGTCCTTCAGTTATTGTTATTTATAACAATATTTGCCTTTCTTAGAAGACCAATTGTCTTAAACGGTTCTAGACAGTATTGACTGCAAAACTCGTCTTGTTTGTTCACTGTACGTAATATATTAATTCTAATAGTTTCATTGATAATCAAATATGATAATCAATTAAATAGTTACTAATACGTCATTATCACCTCCCTTGCTAGATGCAGATTCACTTAAAGGAAGTATATATCTTCCTTAATGCACATATGCTTTGAAATTTTAGAGCAAATATTGATGAATTACAGATAAGAATCGACTTTGTGCAATTTGATACATATGCATAGACTTTAAAAGTTGTTAGACTTATGTAACATTTTACGGAAGCACATAGGCGACATGTCAGTTATTTCGTGGATATACAGGATATATACATGTATTTGACTGATATGTCCGTACTGTTTTTGTAGTACTTTTAACAACATCTTACTAATTCGCTCATTTTATTCAAACATTTCAGAGCGGAACGCCCATTAATGGATATAAAAGAAGAGGTTGACGGTTTATATCGTGCATGGTTCACGTGCGATATGGAATATATTCTGTCCGAGCCGTACCGTTACCATGTTGGATTTTTCAAGCACGGCCATAAAACGAAATTATTATTAAAGTGTTTGGATAATACAACATACACACTTGTCAAAGATAATGCAATGCCGTGTACGAATTACTTACAGAAATTGTGCATGGATTCAAAATATAGAGTACTCAAAACTATTCGAACACCGTTAATTTGGTTTAAAACTCTAATGGAAGAATTTCCAAACATGAAAATTGTACATTTGGTAAGAGATCCGCGCGCAATCTTGACGTCACAGCGCAGATTCGGAGAATGTTCCACAGTTAAACACGGGGGTCTCGCTGGCTGCACGAGATTTGTATGTTCTAGTTTAGAAGATGACTTATTAACGTTCGAAATATTTACTAAATTATTTCCAGGTAGAATATATCAAATTAAATATGAAGATATAGCACTTAATCCTCTATCAAAAACAAAAGAGCTGTATCGCTTTTTAAATTTGAAATATACAGACTCCATTACGAAATATATAGTCAATATCACAATGTCTGGAAATAACGCTACTTATACTTTAGATACAGTTAGACCGAATTCATCCGAAATGATTGACAAATGGCGAACTAAAATCAGTGACGAATTGCTAGATACAGCTCAAGCTATGTGTAAATTTGCGATGAAAGCATTATCCTATTACCATTTCATAAAACCGATGAAGTAAAAGGACAAGAAATAAAGAGGGCGGGTGAGGTAGACAGAAAAAAACAACAACAAAATAAAAAATAAACATTTGGAACAAAGTGAAGAGTGAAAAAAACTGACTAAATGCGCAGTGACTTTCCAATATCAATTCATAACAAAAAAAACGATCTGTCAAAAGAAAAGCGATGGAATACAGTATTTTTATGTTTATTCAATTTCTTAACGGCATTAAAAGTATTAAAAAACAGCATTGCCATCATTATCATCATCATCATCATCATCATCAACAACAACAACAACAACAACAACAACATCAACAAATTCATATCATCATTGTCATCATCATCATCATCATTATCAGCGATCACCGTTCCAATAGATTTGTTTTAGATCACAAAGAGCATGCAGAAATATTCAAACGCAAGAAGTTTAATTAGTTCATGTTATATTTTGTAATAGATTTGCCTGTATTGTATTTGGAACCGTCCATTAAAAAATAAGGGAGCATCTAAAGGCGTCATTCATTCGTAAGAGGGGTTTTCTTATACTAGCAGTTAGAAATGACTTTATAGCTGTATTTGCTACTTATCAGGCGATCTGTATTCATTGTCTAAAACAAGACGACAACAACAACAAACATTTAACATAATATTATCTTCTCACGGTTATCTCCTAACTTGACAATGATGTATTAAACGAAACGAGTTGCAAGCACTTTGAAAATTGTATTCGACAAACCACTTCACTTGACATTTGAGTATTCATTGAAGTACAATGATTCAGATGTCTTCCTGAAAGTATTTTAATCTTTTACCATTTTATCTTAAGCTTCGGTCTCATTTACTCCCGGCAGAGCCCAGCACCACCCGGTAAGTTACTGGGATGATTCGGGTAAAATGATTGTTACGCTCACATTTACCCCGGCAGCACTAGGGTGATTTCCAACTAACACCCAGGATACCCCCGGGACCATTCAGAGCCCAGGGTAAGCTACGGTTCATGCCCGTGCTTCCTTGGTCGTTCCAAGAAGGGGCCGGCAGAGCCCCGGCTGACCCATGCAGAGCCCCGGTCGATCAAGGCAGAGCCCCGGCAGAGACCAGGACGATTCCGGTAGAGCCCCGGTGGATTGAAACGATCAAAACTGATGACGTTAATACATAATTTCCATTTACTACACAGAACAGTCATATCATTTCGCGCAGCTGCCACCGTAGGGTAAGGTAAGGCCACCGTAGGGTAAGGGTAAGGTAAGACTGGACAAAAGGGAAATGGGGAAAGGTTTTAATACAAACAAGTGCAATCATCGCAAATTGCCGTGATTCTTTTGAAATGCACCGGGCTTTGTCGGGGCTCTACCGGGATCAACCGTAGCTCCATCGTCATCCTTCGGGGCACTGCCGGCATTCACTGGGGCTCTACCGTAGCTCTTTATCATACCAGGATCATCCCCGATTTGTGCTACGGTGCTTCACCAGTGTAACTCCGGTCGTTCCCGGCAGAGTTAAGGATGGAGCCGGCAAAGCTATACCTTCCCGGATCACCCCGGACCACCCCAAAGATATAGAATATATATAAAATATAAAAGATATATTAAATATCCTGAGAAGAATGCCGGATGTTTCCGGATCATCTCGGACTTTGCCGCCAGAATTACGAATGTACCCTGGTTGGCAATCGCAACTACTCGGTCCTTTCCGCCAGTCTTCGGATAAAGACCGCGAACACAATAGTATGAATACACAGAACGGATGCGGTATTTCGGTCTAACCTACGCTAAGAAACTAAACATGTAAACACATAGTAATTTAATGCTGTATGTAGTAAAAGTCCACCTAAAATGAGTGAATTCATAGGTACAAAAGCAAACAATACATTATTTATATATTTATTATTATGCTTGTAGAAACCGAAAGTACAAAAAACCAACCTGTTGACATTTAGTCGGATTTGTTAAAAAATTGAACACCAGCGTTACAAATTGTTGTCAGACATATTTTCAAGCATAAGAGTACCGAAACAGACATTTCTTTTCTTTTGGATGTCAAATATATACATTCATTTTACATTATCTCTGTTTCTGTTTACATCTGAAACCACGTGGTAGAACTACTTTCAGTCCGTATTGTTTCCGAGGTTATTATAGATAATAGCCGAGGCAGTTCCGAATGCCCTGGTTGGTCGTACCCCGGTTCTTCCCGGATCACCCCGGACGTCTACCGGGGCTCCGCCGGGATCGATGTTACTGAGACTGCAGCTTTATGTCCGTCATATTGAATATCAAAATATTATTAAAAGGGGTACTATAGCTATTACTAAAGTTGATGTGGAGAATAAAAAGTAAATATACTGAAAGGAAAATGAATATATTTCATATGAATTATGCATTGATAAATAATATATTGATGATATATATTTGATAAAGGTTAATTAACTGTTAACTGATTAAGTAAAATATTAATTTGTGTCCAGCATTCTTAATGATGCTTTTATGGAAATCAATATCAAACTGAACGGTTGCCTGGCTTTAAAATTTCCAAAATGCAGCCTTCGCTGGTATTTTATTACAAATAGTGTAAAAAGGTCTAAGGTCGACAACTACGCAAAGCAAAATACAAAGTCCTGTATACGGAACTGACTGTACAACATCTTACCCTTACGAGTTACCTCGCTTATCGAAGAAAACGACACAGGAGTAATTTATTTCTACTACAATACAAACAGGAAACTGATAATAGCTAAACGTGTAGTTTTGCTTTGACTTATACGCCAATGTACATATTTTTTAATCAGATGAGAGATTTTCTTGAATTTTTTAAACGAAAGATGAAATAACGGACTATGTTTAGAGTTACAATATATTAAAATCAGATATGGCTTTATAAGGTGTCCATTTACTAACTTAATGACATGCGCAGGTAAAGTAACAACATAGACACTAATTTATGCATTATAGAACAATATGCGGCACTGATTTCATATTTGTAAGCATATATCATTGGAATAATCATTCAAATATGTGAAAATTTGCCAACACTAAATATTGTATCTTATATTATTAACACTGTTCACTAAACAATAAGGGATACAGTTTTGTCTTTTCTTCAAAGGATAACTCGTGTATATTTCTGAGGCTCAATTTGCTTTAAAGACCAAATGTGCAAAAATCAAAACTGCCCCAAAAAGACCTATCCAGGCACCATTTTGACGTATAAAACCAGCAGCTAGAAAAAAAAGAAGAGCAAATTAGCTTAGAAAAAACTAACATGAATAAGATTGAACAGAAATACGTTATTAGATTTACTTTATAGGAAAACAATATGTATTCCTTTATGATTATGTCTTGAAGCCGTGAAAATGCATCTGCTTATTTTTTTTTTTGTTATAATTATTATTTGTTTTGTTTGTTATTTTTTGTTCGTCAGATCTGCAGAATTGTAAAGACGCAGTAAGAACCCGAGCCTGCATTGCTTCAATGTTATTTTCACTTTTCGCCCTGAGGCATTAATTAACATATTAAATATATTTAATAATACTAATAATAATACTAATAATAATAATTATTTCTATCTTAGAAATCACTCTATGCCAAGCATCTATTACAAGCTATTTTTATTATCATCATTATAATTGTTTATCATTATCATCATCATTGTTATTATTATTATTAGAATTATTATTATTTATCGTTTTAATTAATTTTCTTGCGTCTAAATTAAATAAAAAAATAAAAATTACCTCTATCTTCACGGTTGATAGAGAGTTGATCATCTCTATATAGCACAGGATGCATACGTAGCTCAGCCAGGGCTTGCATGTGAGCTTCACTTTGAAACAATAAAAAGATCAAGTTGTTTTCATCATTGTCATCGTTCATCGACCTAACCCATTCAACATATCCAGTCATATCGTGCTCCATCTGTTGAAACGTTTGAAAAAGTTGGGCTATATTAGGATTATTATCAATTCTATGACGACTTTCGTCTTGCTTCTCCTTTAACTCACTCATTATCAATAGTATGCTGTGGTAATAGTCATGCACAGCAGTTCGTACAAGTCGTATGTGTTTCAAATGGCATTGCTGGCAGATCTTTTTGGCACAATGTAGGCATATTTCGCGCTTTTGACCAATCGATCGGCACTCCTCACATTTCTGCTTTTTGAATGAATCTGGCGTTTCCGCACTTGACATCCCTTGCCCTGATCCATTATGTCCGTCTCTCGATAATACCTGAGTTGCATTTCGTACCGACGAAACCGTATCATGGTGGTTTTTGTAGAGGTCAAGAAGATTTTTCAAAAGAAAACTATTTGGAAACGTATTTGCGTTTATCTGTGAAAACGCATGGTCCGCTTCGCAAACAGGACATTTCAAAACACAGCTTCTGGATCTTTAATAAAGAAAAAAGAATAAGAAGATTATAAAAAGGGTCTATTTGTATAGCTTAATGACACCATAAACTTGTACTTAAGTGTCGGATGATCCTAATTCTTTATGAATTTAATAGTTTGTTAAATGAAAGTGTATGTTTTATCTAAACATCAGAAGTAAGCATGTTAAATTTACCAAATGCCGTTATTTATTACTGGTTGAAAACTTTCATTATAATTGTGGACCGTCTTCAATATGATTTTATTTTCATTACTGAAGATCAGTGTCTAACCATACGAAGGTAAACATGCATTGTAACAAACTATGATTTATTTTTTTAATAATTCTTCAAGGTTTGATCTTTTGTGCTAGGGAAAGACTGGAATACTGTAAACATATTTTTTTCAAAATCAAATAAGAAGACATGATCACCATTCAGATAGTTGTACGGATTAGATTCGTAAATCAAAGCCTTTATTTTTTATAATGGCTATTTTGTCCATGTGTTGATTGGTGCCCCTAAGGATTTTTTGAGAGGCGGGATATGCTAGGGCGGCGTTTCACTTTATACATGTACGCAACAATACTTGTTTCTTTAACTACTTATAGAAAACGAAAACTTAAGTGAAAGTACGGTAAAATTGAACTGCCTGCTGACACTAAAATAGAATATTTTTTATACCACTATTAAATCTTATTGTTGTTTCAAAAGATTGTTTTTTAATTCCAAACGTGTTATTGAATGAAATGACAAGTTTGGTAATCATCTCTTACCTTTGCAATAATCTTTCTAAACACGGCCTCCAACATAAGCTATGTTGGCAAGGGAGTTGTTTTGGTTCATTGACCATCCCAGTGCACACTGGACATTTTAATAACTCGGTTAAATCCATTTCTGTCACTGGATTAATTGTAAGTATGTTAACTTTAATATATTACCAACTTATCAACTTGGAGATAATAAATTGATAATTATACACCTAAAACTTGTTATCTTATCACTGTGACGAAAATCAGTTATCACTGTGACGTTAACAAGTGATTGTTATGATACAAGTGGGCGTACAGTTATATCATTTATATAAATTTAAACAAATATTTAAACACTATGTTATGACAAGAATGTTGATAAATAAAAGATTGCATGATAAATAACTCACATTTATAAATAACATTTTCTACGACAAATTTAATTTAGGCTAACTTATGTTATTTGTAAGGTCTGTGTAAATAACAGAATTATTACTGTCATGGTCCTCTGCGGATCAAGTAAGTTAAAATTCACTATAAAGTTCAAAATGTATTTACACTGACCGGGCAATACTAGTAACAGTAAACAGTTTCAACGCAACATGAGCAGTTACATGTAGCAAGTCTTACGTCATCAGCAGTACTCTCACTGTAACAGTTATTTTGTAATTACTGTAAAATTGACAATCCAGACAAATGACTCTAGACGTTTCCGCCCATAAAAAAGATTCTAAGATAAACTCTAATTGTCGCTTTTAACAATCAAAATGACTTTAGCATTAGACAGACGACCATCATTTGTAACAATTTCCTTCTTACAAAGAAGACAATCCAAGAAATTGCGAACACTATTCAACGTGGATTTTTTTCTGCTTACGCTTTACTTTTCGCAACTTACAAAAAATGCAGTCTGTGCATCTTTATTTGAGCCGCGTCACAACAAAACCAACATAGTGAGTTTGCGACCAGCATGGATCCAGACCAGCCTGTGCATCCACGCAGTCTGATCAGGACCCATGCTGTTCGCTTACCAACTCTATTACAAGTAAAGAAACTGATAGTGAACAGCATGGATCCTGATCAGACTGCGTGGATGCGCAGGCTGGTCTAGATCTATGCTGGTCGCAAACCCATTATGTTGGTTTTGTCATGGCGCTGCTCATTGATTTTTGCTATGTTGTTCGGATGAGGACAATTGCATTAGTGCTTTAACATTAATCTGTAAATATTGCGTTTAACTCAATTTCATACCAATAAGAATCTTTATTCTTTACCATTTTGCATGTAAGAGATAAGGATGCTGTTAGAGTAACATTATCCTAGACATACGATTCTCTGGCAGGGACTTATCATCTGTACAATTGTCAGCTGTTGAATATCAACTAATTTTGTGTTTTGTCTGAGCGACATCAATTGAGTGGTCATCAAGGAGTTCATCATCATAAGTTAACATAACTATCTCGGTTGATAACAGATGCAAAATGTCAGTAAATGCATTTTGATTTGGGCAATGTTCAATTCAAATTACTGGCAACTTATTAGGCATCAGTTTACTATCTTTGTGTTCACGTTCTTCTCCAATTTGGCTTGTTTGTCGAAACTTATAAAGGCTGGTAACAATACCCTGTACATACATTTAGGAACTTTAAGCTAACGAATTGCTCTATTTTATGTATATTTTGTCTTGCAAAAGTATCTGATATGAAGTCAATATTTTAAATAATGTGAATGAACTATGTACATGAAACAGAATATCAGTTAATTCTTAGAATTCTTACGACCGCCTCGAAAGTAGAAAAAAAAGAAACAAAAGACCAGTTAGAAACTATAAGAGTGTTGTTCGATTTATCGCTCGTAGTTATTCATTTTTGTCTAGATCAAAAATAAATAGAACAAAAAATATGAATAAATAAAAAAGAAATATCTGAGCAAAAGACCAATCAGAATCGATTGATTTCATTCTGTGAAGACACATAACGTTCATTTTCGACTTGTTTCTGACGCACAAGAAGCATATGAAATGAATTTAAAGGTTTCCAATTGTTACGCTAATTTTGTTCATTGACCATTGACATTTAATTCTAATCTAGATAACTAGGTTATGTACGTAGATTTAAAGACGTACAAAGTGTCAAATTATATAAGTTTGAAAACTGAACAAAGGATGGTACTTAATAGTAATCTATTTTCCAATTTAATTTAGTAGAAATAAGATGAAATGAAGTGTTTAATATAAAAATTAAAATGCATTGTCACAGTATCAAACGTAGATAGTGTAACACAGAATATATTTTCATTACACAAGACTATTTCCCAGGATTGGAGGCAAGTACATTGTTTATAAAACTCATCAGAAACAAAACAACTTCTTCTTATCGAAATTTTTTTTTTCTTGAAAATTTGTATTTGGAAAAAATGAATTATATTTCAGAAAAAAGAAGTTTTGTCACTGCAATACTTTTCAAAACCTACACCATGACCTTCAAGTAACGTTAAGGGCATCTGCTATTTACAAATACATGTAATGAAGCAAACATTCCTGTCAATTATGTGTCTGACATTTAGTCATTTTGAGTTTTTATATCTCATAGATTGTCTAGTTTATAAATTACGCTAATGATAGAGGCAATATCTTCGGACATTATAGCATTCAAACACGACATACATTTTTTGGAAACTGCTTGCAATATACACGTATATTTGTTACAGAAGTATTAAATTAACCAAATGCCCGATAGCAGTTTATGACGCTTACCCTCTACTGCGTTATCACATTTGCAGTATATGACTTCTGTGTTTATCCGGAAAAAAAATGAATGATTGCAACAAGAATGTTTTGACCATACAAGCAGTTATCTTGATTCGATAATTACATCAAGAGAAAAAAATATTGTTAGAAAATATGTAATTTATCATGTAACAGGAAGTTTACAGATAATAATAATGATTTTACATGGTATCATTGTTTGACATCTTCGATAAATTCCCGATAATATTATTTATCATCAAATTCGACGGATCTAGAGGCTTCAAAGGCATTTTTTGTAGGAAATTGAAACATTATTCTTTATTGAAATGTTTAATTTCATTGAAAATGAAAAAAGACATTCATTTTAAAGGTATGATTAAATACTAAAAAGTTATAAAAAAACATCTCAAGGATTATTGTGATTTCATGTCTTTATTTTCTTTTTATACTCGAATATGAAACTTTTTTTTCATAATTATAACTGTTTGAAAATGCTACAAGATTAGCTTAATTATATATTAGCACCCAAAGCTTTTACGTGCAGAGTAGTAAAGAATGAACGATATTTAGTAAGTAGCACTACTCGAGCCATATGATTCTCTCTCAGGGAGTAATCATCACATAACTAAGTCTAGCTCTTTCATATCAATTAATTTGTCTTTTATCTGAGCAACATCAATAACGTGGTCATCGAGGAGCATATTATTAGAAACATAACTATTTCGGTTAATAACAGATGATGCAATGTCTCAAAAACGACATTTTGATGGGGCATTGCTAAACTCTAATTACTAGCCACTTTTAAGCTTCTATTTTCTATCTTTGCATCCACGGTTTTCCCTTCAGTCGGCTTTTGTCCTAGCCTCAACTTGTACAGGTAGTTTACAATACAAGTTAACAATACCCTGTGTCTACGTTTTCCTTCAATACAATTGTGTAGCAAAGATATTAATTCTTCAGTCGATGGAGCATCTGACACTATTTAACTATGTACATGTAATGTAACAGAATATTAGATTTTTCATATTCAGCATGCATTATTGACCGACAGACACCTTTAAATTTTTAAAATTTAAACACTTTTTTAAAAACCTATTTGCCCGAAAAAATATACATACATGTTTCGCAAGATACATGTATGTTGCGCATGCTGTTGATTGTTGAAAATAATTCTTGAAATAAATCTCTGAACAAAATTAGAGGTGAAGGGAATAACATATATTTTCTTTCAGATACATTCTATATTTCTGAATAGCTGTCATTCATCATTTGTCCCGGCAAAATGATAAAAATCGAGACTTCCCTGCGACCATTTAGATACATCTTCACACACGCCATACTTAGGTACTGTTTATCATTTACCAAACTGAATAAAGCTCATATGTACTTTTTTCTTACTTGTAGGGCCGATTGCGACAGTATGTTCCGGCTCAATTGTCATTCGGATTTCCCGAAAATGATCTTAGCCATACAATTAAAACGTCCTTTACAGATAGACGTTTGACGAAGTATCAGAATATCGTTGTCCATGGAAGTAAAACCAATTGTTGATTTTTGTTAGAAAAAATGTTTGAAGTAATATGAAAAAAAAATATATAAATAAAAAAAATAATAAACTCAATTTTAATGGGGACGATTGTTTTTAAATTGCCAGTTTACCTGCCGACTATGGACAACGCTTCGTTTGTTCTCGAAATCATGAAAATTACTTCAGATACTAATGCGTAGTGTCATTTAGGAACTAATCTTATCAGACTGAATTTTCTTCGTAAAGTATATTATATTGCAATGAAACAAAACAACAACAACAACAAAACAATTGTATACTGTTCTCAGATCTTATTGTTGTGACATTCGTTGGGATCAATTAATTTCAAAGTGAGTAAATTCGCGGTCATTTGATAGCCGATAAATCATCTGAAACCATGTGCTTTTCTACTTCTTATTCATTATTAATCCGAGTTAAAAATTGTTTTTTAAATTTAATTTGATATTTGATCATAACATGGTATCTAAATCTGTCATCTTTTCAGAATTCATCATTATACCCCCCCCCCCGCAAATCATAGTTGTAAGTGCTTACAAGGGGGTATAGTGGAATCAGCTTGTCCCTCAACCGTCTTCCCGGACATTGGGTTTTCCTTGTCGACCCAAAAACTTAAGATTCCTTTGACCCACAGTCTTCATATTTGGAATTTAAATTGGTCATGGTTAGTAGATGATCCCTATTGATTTTGAGGTCATCGGGTCAAAGGTCAAAGTCACAGGGGTCTTGACTTCAAAAAGCTTGTCCGCCCAATAACTTAAGATTCCTTTGACCCACAGTCTTCATATTTGGTATTTACATTAGTCATGGTTAGTAAATGATCCCTAATGATTTTTAGGTCACCAAGGCCAGGTCACAGGGGCCTTGACTTCAAAAAGCTTGTCCCCCAATAACTTAAGATTCCTTTGACCTA